GCCCAGTTCTCTAATCTGTCATGTTTCAAGGCAAAACTATCCAATTATCACTTTCTGGAACTATTTGAGAACTGGAACAGAGGCATCTTTGGAAATTCATCTTTATCTAAATTTTGCTAATGCAATTTCTACTACTGCCAAACTTTACATGTCTACCTAGAAGTAAGCCCCATCGAGCTCAGTGGGACTTACTCACAAGTAAGTGGGTATCCGATTGCAGCCTAAATAGCACTGCCTTGGACAAGCATAACTTCTCAGTTTCAAATTAAGTTCGTTAGTGATTACCATAGACTGGGCATGGTCTGGATCACTCCTGTGGAGATCCTCCGTGGGCCGGGCTGGCATAGCGTGACGCCAGGAGAATCCCGGAATTAGCCAATCACGTGGGGCCCATTATGTAAATAATGTATATAAAGCAGACATTCCGGGGGAAACTCCATTCCTCCTCACCACTATGAGCTGAATAAAGAGCATGAAATCCACTCTTGACTCCAAGTATATTTCACTGGCGATGAAAGTGGGATCCCGCTGAACTGACCGCCACACACAGCACTGCAGCACCGCCACCTGCCGCATCGCTGCCTCGCACCGTGTATCCAGGCTTCAGCTCTGGGCCCCAAGGAATTCAGCATGGCAACCGACAGCAGCTTCTCGCTGTTCAACCCAGCATCCGGAGACAGGGAAGCGTACACCTCCCGTTTCACCTTCCTCCTAGAAGCCAAAGGGGTCACCACCGAAGAAGACGCCAAAAAGAGGGCGATATTCTTAAGCGTCCGAGGAGAGGAGACATTCAAAATTGCCTGGGCTCTCCTTGTGCCTGAAGACGTCGCTACTGTTCCTTACAAAACAATAATGGAACGGCTGAAGGGGCACTTCTCGCCGCAGCCCTCGGTGGTGGCTTGTTGAAATGCCTTCTACGCAAAGCGGCAAGCCCCTGGGAAACCATAACTGGGTTTGTGACCTCCCTCCGCCAAGCCGCCCAGTTCTGCAACTTCACAGAGTTGGAGAACATGCTTCATGACTGCCTCGTTGGTGGCCTGAAGGATGAGAAGCTGCAACGACGCCTCTACGCCAAGAAGCACCTAACGTTCCAGGTTGCTCTGGAGGAGGCCCTGGCAACGGAAGCTGCCGAGAGGACGACGCAAGAGGCACAGCTGAGCCTGCCACCCCAATCGAGGGTCCACCACAAAAACTTTACTGACGACTCAGGATCCGACAGGGAGGAGGTGCACCGAGTTCTGCGGCGCACTCAAGCAGCGCACAGACCACAGCTGCCTCAACGAGAAGGAGGGAACTGCGCAAGCTGCAGGGAGAGTCATGAGAGGAGGACCTGCCGTTTCCGCAACTCAGAGTGCAGGCAGTGCAGAAAACTGGGACACATTGCCCAGGTGTGTCGGGCTTGGCCCACCCGACGCCAGGCATTGGATGACCGATCCAAGAGCCCAGGTCCCGGGGCCCAACACACCAAGGCAACTCACAGAGATCACGGACTGCCAGGTATACCAGTTGCCCCACCCCAACATAGAGAAAAATCATGTAGAGGTACAGATAGAGGGGGCCCAGTGCCGCATGGAGCTTGACACGGGTTCAACTCTATCCATAATCTTGGCAAGGACCTTAAGAAAACTGTGCCCTACTGGGGGTCCCAAACTCAGGCCGGCCCCATTCACCCTCCGGGACTTCCAGAAACGTAAGGTCCCTGCAATGGGGGTGGGGACCTTCAGGGTGCAATATTGAGGGCGGACGCGGCAACTGAACTTGCTTGTGGTCAAGGGCCCCTATGTTAGCTTACTGGGATTGGCATGGTTTGGACCACTGGGGCTTGCCGTCACTGGGGTGAACCGCACTAGCTTACCAGTTGACGTGGACACCATATGCAAGGAATTTCTGGGGGTTTTCGATGGGAAATTGGGACAGTATACAGGCCATTGCCCTACACCTGACCCCGCAGTACGACCTGTCAGGCTCAAGGCCCGCCGGGTCCCGTTCACCCTGAAACCCTGTATAGACGAAGAATTGACCAGCTCGTGGAGCAAGGAGTGCTAGAGCCCATGCCTAATGCCCCCTGGGAAACCCCAATCATCACACCCGTCAAGCCTAATGGTTTGGTCTGCATCTACGCAGACAACAAATGTACCATAAACAAGGCCCTCACGGCCCACGCATACCCAGTGCCAGTGGTCAGCCATGTCCTCGCCACCCTGGCTGGGTCAAAAATTTTTGGCAAGCTGGACTTGGCCCAAGCCTATCAACAGCTGCCACTGGATGTGCCACAGCAGAGGCACAGCCTATTGTGACGCACAGAGGAGTGTTCAAGGTAAAGCGGCTGCAATTTGGTGTCAGTGTGGCACCAGGCACATTCCAGAATCTAATGGACTCTCTCCTTAAAGGGATTCCTGGCGTCACCCCCTTCTTCGATGATGTGTTGATTGCCGGGCCCATGCCAGAGGAGTTTGAGGACCGCCTCCGCACCGTTCTGCACCGTTTCCAGACAGCGGGTCTCAAGGTGAAGCGGGAAAAGTGTATACTAGGAGTGCCTCAGGTGGACTTTCTGGGATTTATGGTGGACGCAGAAGGGGTCCACCCAACTGGGGACAAGGTACGGGCCATTTGTGATGCCCCAGCACCTGAGGGCAAGACTGAACTTCAGGCCTCCTTGGGACTATTGAACTTTTACCATGCCTCCCCCCCATAAGGCGGTGGTAGTGGAGCCCCTACACAGACTCCTGGACAAGTGGGCCCCATGGGTGTGGGGCCAGTGCCAGGAAGCCACATTCAAGGCAGTCAAGGACTTGCTCATCTCAACCTCGGTCTTGGCACACTTCGATGAGAGGCTGCCGGTGGTGCTAGCCTTACCCTACGGAATCAGCGCTGTCCTGGGACACCAGCTCCCGGATGGAAGAGAGGTGCCGGTAGCATACTTTTCCCAGACACTCGCCGCAGCCGAGCGGAACTACTCGCAAATCAACAATGAAGGGAGTAAAAAAATTCCATGATTTCTTGTATGGGCAGCCCTTCACCGTGGTGACTGACCACAAGCTGTTGCTTGGTTTGTTTGCCCCCGAAAAGCAGACCCCCCAAGTGCCAAGTCTCCTCGCGTCCTCAGGTGGTCAATTTTCCTTGCCGGCTACCAGTATGCACTGATTCACCGCCCTGGGAAGGCGATAGGCCACACGGACGCCTTCAGCAGGCTACCATTACCGGAAACAGGCCCCAACCCAGCGCCCGCACAAGAGGTTATGAACCTGGATCTGCTTCCCAACCACCCCATTCAGGCACAAGAAGTTGCGCACCATTCCAAGAAAGATAAGGTCATCTCCCGGGTCCTGGACTGGGTGTGGAGGGGATGGCCCAGCAGCAGCCCCGGGCCAGAATTCGCAGGCTACACAACCCATAAACATGAACTGTCAGCCCACAAGGGGTGCCTGTTATGGGGAAGCAGGGTTGTCGTTCCCCATCCCCTCTGCAAAAGGGTCCTCACAGCCCTACACAAGACACACCCAGGGGTAGTGAGAATGAAGGCCCTCTCCAGGAGTTATGTGTGGTGGCCGGGGATTGACAGAGAGATAGAGGCCAGGGTCAAACACTGTCAGGCCTGCCAAGAATCCCACCCAGATCCCCCAAGGGCCCCAGTCCAGTCCTGGGTGTCCGCCCGAGCACCATGGTCACGCCTGCACGTGGACTTCGCTGGCCCCTTTCAGGGGAAAACAGTCTTCATAGTGGTGGACTCCTACACCAAATGGCTGGAAGTCGCACTGATACCGTCCACCTTTATGTCCGCAGCCATCCGGGTACTACGCAGGCTGTTTGCAACCCATGGGCTCCCTGACACTCTCGTCTCAGACAACAGAACCACATTTATGTCAGGAGAATTGCAGACCTTCACAGCGCAGAACGCCATCCACCACATCCGCTCGGTGCCATTCCACCCTGCCACCAATGGCCAAGCAGAGTGCATGGTGTGGACCACCAAGGACACCCTCCGCCGCATGACGCAAGGGGATTGGGAGTACCACATTGCCACATTCCTTCTAGCACAGGACAGCACCCCCAGCTCAACGACTGGCCAGAGCCCCGCTGAACTATTAATGGGCCGGCGCCTTGCAATCAGAGCTCCAACAGAGCTCAGGATGAGGTGGTGGTTGGGGAAGGCAGGAACCCCCAGACTTTCGTGGCCCAGGACCCAGCGTAAACAAAGAATTTTGGGGCAGGCCCGGCATGGGTACTTGCCACAATCACCGGGGTCACTGGCCCCGTGTCGTACGAGGTGCTAACGGAGAGAGGGGCCATGCTGCCACTGCCACTGCGACCAGATACGGCGACGATTCCCAGGAGAAAACCAGGAGGACGACAGGTCAGAGGAGTCCCAAGGAAACAGTGGGGCAGTGAGGCCCGTAGAGCAGGAAGGGCCAGCAGGGAAGGCAGAATCAGTAAATACAGAGAGGACCCATGAGGCCGAAAGGACACCGGAACCAGAGCCAAGACTGAGCGAGCTGGTTGCGCCAGACCAAACGGCCTCACTGCAGCCAGCATCCTCGGAAAATGAGCCAGAACCCGAACCCTTGACCAGGGAACACCCCAGGCCGCAACACACACGTAGGCAGCCGGCGTACCTTGAGGACTATGAATGCAACCTCCTGGGCAGGACTGGAACTTAGAGGGGAGGAGTTCAATAGGATCCAAAATCTGATTGGTCCTAGAACAATAGGATCCAGAATGCAGCAGTCTGATTTGTCCGCAGGAGCCACCCAATCCAGCTCCAGGTGGAAGCGAATCCGCAACCTGATCGGCCTACAGGAGAAACCCGGAATTAGCCAATCATGTGGGGCCCATTGTGTAAATAATGTATATAAAGCAGACATCCTGGGGGAAACTCCATTCCTCCTCACCACTACGAGCTGAGCATGAAATCCACTCTTGACTCTGAGTATATTTCAGCTGCCAAAAGGTCAGCAGCCAGATGAGAAAGTCAGGATGGCACCTTCTGCAGAATCAATTTAGCTCCATTAGATGCTCAAATTCCCTGCTTTTCACAGAAGAGCAGTTAGCTGCCAAGGAAGCAGGAGCAATGCAGTCATCCCTGGGGAGAGATGCTCCAATGAGGTCGGGTTGCAATCAATAGGGGCAGGGAGAAGCCCTTAAAGCAAGATCTGAATACTTCACCCTTTTCTAGATGACTCTGTGCAACCCAATGGCCAGGCTTCCCTTATCGTAAGGTGACGGAGGGCAGAAGGACTCCTTCTTGCAGAGGAAATTAAACTACGGAGTTGGCATGAGCAAAGAAGTCAGGAAGGCTGACTGTTATGGGATAGCTCCATAAAACACACCCACTGCAACTGTGATACATTACACAAATAGGGAAATGTTGACTTATGCAGTTTCACAATTTTATTTTGAAACAAAATAAAAAAATTCCTTCCAGTAGCACCTTAGAGACCAACTAAGTTTGTTATTGGTATGAGCTTTCGTGTGCATGCACATTTCTTCAGATACCTGCCAACCTAGCAATTCGAAAGCACGTCAAAGTGCAAGTAGATAAATAGGTACCACTCCGACGGGAAGGTAAATGGCATTTCCGTATGCTGCTCTGGTTCGCCAGAAGCGGCTTAGTCATGCTGGCCACATGACCCGGAAGCTGTACGTTGGCTCCCTCGGCCAATAAAGCGAGATGAGCACCGCAACCTCAGAGTCGGCCATGACTGGACCTAACCGTCAGGGGTCCCTTTACCTTTACCTTTAAGGTGCTACTGGAAGGATTTTTTTTACTTTGTTTTAACGATGACAAACCAACACAGCTACCTACCTGTAACTAATTTTATTTTGTTATGCTGCAGAATCTGAAATTATGTGTATTTTGTATTTCAATACTTTAAAAATATTAGATGTTACAGGAAAGCACAGAGGTAATAGGAAAATGAAGAATCATTGAGGGCTTTATTGTGTACAAAGAGGCTTTCCTTTTTATCTTTCTCACATCCTCTGAAATTCTTGTGCAGAGCTGCCCTCTTTTCCACGTATCAGGAAGACCAATCCTATCCTTCTGCTACAAGCCATTATGTCAGGACTAACATCAGCACCACACAGATGCCGTCCTATGGCCAACTAGTGGCAGAGCCATCACCTCAGTCGCTGCAGAAACCAAAGCAAGTGTAGCAAAGACAACAGAGAGTCCCTTCCTGACGACGAGGTCCCTGCATACCAACCAAGCCTCCATTAGCCTTCTATGGAAGACACCAACGGACATGTGGCAATGGCAGAATGCCAGAATGACATCACCCTTCCCAGCTCACATCCTGTATTCCCTTCTTACATATAAGGCGCAAGCACATTCCCAGGAATGGGCAACAGGACCTCCCACATCAGAGGCCTCCCATGACCCTCTGGCCACTTCCCTTCTTTGGGAAAATTGCCTGTTTATTCCTACCTTCTACTTCCTCTATTTAACCTGCTCTAGGACTACAGGAGAACTTGAACACTTATCCTGCAACTGCCAAGTTGACTCAGGAGCCACCAGTGAGGGATCTTGCTCACAGCTTCTTTGGAATCTCAAGAGTGTAATGTCTACCAGACCATCCTTAATCAAGTGCTTGTTAATATAATCAAAGAACTCTTATTAATATAATCGGAGTACTGAGGCAGCAGCTACTTTTGCAGAAGCCATGCTGATTCTTCTTCAGCAAAGGTTTGTTCTATATACTTAATATATATATTTTAAAATGCACCGCTTATTTTCAACTTTGGGAGGAGCAAAGTTTGTACTCCTTTTTGTTCTCTTTATTTGGACAATACTTCCATTTTCTGAAAGACCTTTTACAGGGGCTGCAAACAGCTTCCTTGACTCTTCTTATTAACTACACTGACATCCCCCCCAATCTTTGATATATACTGCAGCTAAGTTTCTTTTATCATTGTTTTGAAAAACCTGCAAGCATCCTGGAGAAAATGTGACACTTTTGAAAAACCACACAGAAGAAATACAAATAACCTACAGGATAACCAGACATAAACAATAAAGAGGTTCTTACCAGTTGTAGAAGAGGGAATTTGGGATGGTGTGGCTTGTCATACACCTGTCCCAAACCCCTCTTTTATATAACTGTTCTAAGCACAAGGCCCAGATCTTCTTCTCCTTTGCACCTGAGAACTGTAACCAATGCCCTCCCCCCGGCCCCAAATATAACCCCATCAGACTTTACTGGGTCAGTCCCAATTTTGATGCCATTCCATGTTTTCATGAATGAATCACTTTAATAAAGGAGGAGCCAATAAATATCAAAGTTATTATAAAATATAAAATAAGCATGGGGATGGAGTTGACAGGCAAAAAACAAACAAACATATTTATCATAGAATGAAGAAATGGAATGACAATAAGATAAGATTAAATTAAACTGAAAAAGAACAGGACTGATTTATTACTTATAGATGAGAATCAAATACATAAATATAGCATGGAGGCTAAACAGTTCAGCAAAAAAAAGTTGCCAAGAAGGATTTAAAGGTTATGGCACATAATAAAACTTTACAGTTTACTTGATAAAATGCTGCCTGCCATATGAACAGAATTTAATTATTATTTTAGCATTTCCAACTACTTTCCACTTAAATGTCTACAAGACAGCTCACAACAATATATACACTAAAAACAATGGATAAGCACAGAAAACAAAAATTAGAGCAGCTGAGAGTGCTAAGCAGCATCCAAGCCGCCTGCCTGTCCTTGGGGGTCACTGAATGGGCCCCTGCTTCACAGGTGAAGGTTTTTTTGGGAGGTCACAAATAAGCTTTTTCATTCTGTGCCTTCACTGTGAGGAGGGAGTTTCACTCTGGGTGGGGCTGGTGAATCTTTCTCCCTGAAGAAATGGGGAAAGCACCCCTGGAAGAAAAGCCTTGCCTCCAGCTGGGTTCCTTCACTTGGTTCAAAGGACGCCTCTGACGCCTCCTCACCCCCCAGCAAATGGGGCCCTTCTCCAGCAGAGCCCAGCCCAACGCCTCCTCTCTGGGGTGCAAGCCCTCCCTGGATGCTCCCTGCCGCTGTTCCAGGGGGCTTGAAATGCAGCCTTTCCGAGGGATGGGCTGCGCCAGGGCAAAGAAGAGTACAAGCCAGCTGTCCCAAGGCAGCCTCTTCTGCAGATGCTCTTCTGTGACTGTCGGGCATTAAGAGTCACAGCGCCAGCAGCTCAGGCCACAAGGGAAGAGAGTTGTGCAACCCAGTAAGAGATGCCCACTCACTGCAGGGAACCCTAAAAGGCACAAGCAGGAAGAAGCCCACAAAGCACACCAATGTCTATTATCACAAATGGGGAAAGCCCTACTTACCCCTTCTGCCAGCCCCCTTTGGCTCAGGTCATGGACTGGTGATGAGCCAGGAAGAAGACATGGAGAAAGGGCTTCCCGCCAGACCTGCCTGGCTCACCGTGAGGCCCTCCCTTTGCACAGGACTTTCTTCTTGCAAGAAACTAAGTGGGAGGGAAGCCTGAAGCAACAACTTCCCCCTTCAGCAACACACACAGGCATGCAGCCTGGAAGGGAAGGAAGTGCTGAGCCTCCCCAGCGACTGCCTGGCACCGTGAAGTCAGCAGCCCCATGGAGGCAGAGGTGGGAAAAGCAGCAGGCAGCTCTTTGGGTCAGGCGGAGGAAAATAAGAAAAAGGCTCTTCCTGCTTTATCTAAGCCCAAACAGCTGGGCACTGACTGGCCAAGGGGCTTTTGACCACTTTAACATCACAGAAAGCCCTGGGTGAGCAGGCTGAATTATTCAGCTCCTGGTAGATTCAGCTTTAAAGACTGCTGCCAAGAGCCCCAGTGTGGAGAGGATCCTTTTAGAAAATATCGGATGAAGCCTGCCACTGCTCTTTCCCTGCCCTCTTGTCCTCTGCAGAGAGACAGCTGCTCCTCTGGGCTCTGGGGAAGGGGTTCTTATCAGTCTCAGCTGCTTTTATGGCTCCTGTGGTCCCGCCCTGAACCGCAGAAGCATTACAGGCTAAGTGAGATTTCAAAGGGCAGAAGACCATTAGTGAAGTTGCATCCTCAGAAAGTGACTGGGAGGCACAAAATAGCTGCTCCATGGGAGAAGATAAGTGAATCAGTCTCCCTGAAAATTAGCAGCACAGGCTGAAATTCGGGGTGGAGGGACCATGAGGGCGGGGTTGCTTAACCCTTTCCTTCCTGAAAAGAGCTCCTCTACCAGGCTCCCTTCTGGCTTAAAAGGGGAAATAACAGCAGCAGCTGGTGGGTGCTGGACCTGGTAGGGCAACTAGGAGGTCATATAGGCAGGGGTGGTGGAAAGGGGGAAGTTGCCACCCAGAACTGTTAACAAGGGTTGCCATAAACGCCCAGAGCTATGAGAAAAGGTCCTCCTGCTTCTTCACTTCTAGACCTACTTTCCAGAATATGGAGTAACATTGTGGGACATTTATTGGATCTGGGAGAACAGGGTAAAGCCACGGCTTGGCCCTCAAGTGAGGCCTTTGGCCAGTCATTGTCTCTCAGCCTCACCTACCTCACAGGGTCATTGTGAGGATAACATGGGAAATGGGAAACCAGGAGGGCCACCTTGAGCACTTTGGAGGAAAGTTGGGGTATAAGGGGAAAGGAGTCATAGAATCATAGAATTGTAACGTGCGAGGGGATCCCAAGCAGCTCAGCTGGTCCAACCCTCTGTGATGCAGGCATCTCAACTACAGGAGAGCCCACAACCTCTAAACAGTACCACCAGAAAGCTCTTCCGGGTGTTCAGTTGGACTCTCCTTTCTTGTATAGAGCATTGCAACAATCTATTCTGGAAGTTACCAGAGCATGGCGTCACCACAGCCACGTCTTTCTAAAAGGGGCGAGAGATGGTGAAGCAGTCAGAGCTTGAAAAAGGCCCTCCTAGTCACCAAGGCCACCAGCTGAATCCAGCAACATCCCCAAGCTGCGAATCTATTCCATCCAAGGGAGTGCAACCCTGTCCATGACCGGATGTCTCTCCACTTTCTGGGACACTAAAGACCTTTTCAGGATTCAGCTTCAACATATTGCCCACATCCAGGACATCAATGCCTCCAAGCACTGGTCTGATTTGTTTGCACAAAGTCTGCAGAGAGTTTGTCCACCTCTGGTGCCCACCCAGCACTCAACTCTCACCTGTGGTTCCTAGAAGCTGTCGGCACGAGACAGCGGACACACCCCGGGAAATGGCATTGACTGGCCAGCTGAAGCAGTTGAGGGGAGTTGAGGGGTCTGAAACCCTTGGTGAGTTAGGGATTTCCATGAAGGCCAAGAGAGGACCCAACAGTCAAGAAGGTGGTTTCTGCACATGCTGTAGAGGGAAGTGAGGAGCAGATGGGGCTTGTCAACCTGGGAAGGGAGCCCATCTAGGAGAAAGAACACTCTGACCTTAAACCTCTGCTGCCTTGCAGGACATCTCCAGGAGAAGAAACGCTCAGGGGTCAACCCTACACAAAACTGGAGCGGAGGCCCTAAGACGGTTAGATGGCTCCCTGTACGCCTCCTTCCAGCAACCCCTGCAGTCCACCTGGTGCCAAACATCTTGCTCCGCTTTCCTTTGGGCCCCATCAGCGAGGCTGAGAGAGGGGGTTTGCCATCCCGGCAGCCCAGGACCTCCAGACACTGTCCCCAGGCTTGCACCCCAGGGAGGTCGCACTCCCTTGTCTCTCCAGACAGATGGATGCCAACAACATTCTGATTTGTTTGCAGGGAGGTCAGATCCTGCCTTGAGCAACTATTACCCCGCACTTTCCAGGGCATTTTCGCGTCCATCTCCTTACTGCAAAAAGTCTGATTATGAGGGGAAGGGGGTTTGTTGCCTGCAGTCAGCTTCCACTGTGCCGGGATGTGGGTGAATTCCACCCCAAACCAGCACTCATCTGGCTGTGCCTGTGAAACGGGGTCATGAAGCCGGGTACCAGCTTGGGCGCTTCCTGGGATTTTCTTTCAGGTTCACACGCCGCCGCCGCCCGGGAGCAGAAACCCCGGGAAGAGGCCGAGCGGGGTAAGAGGCCACCATCCCCGCGCGCCCCTCTCGGGATCCCCCTGGCGCGCGGGCGCAGCAAAGAGCCTCCGCGGAAAGGGAGCGCGCAGCAGCCCGAGAAGAAGAGGCGGGGGGTGGGGAGTGCCGCTGGCAATGACCATTGTACCACACGACCCTCCGGGCGGCGCCAGGCCGAGGCTGCCCAAGGCCGCCCGCTTCCTCCCCCGGGCGCCCTCTGCCCTTGAGCAAGGCCCCCGGCCCCCGGGACTGCGCTGTCTGGCCCGCTGCGCCCTGGAGCTGCGCCGCCCCAGGCCCGGGGCGCCCCCAGGCCGCCGCCTTCCCTCCGCGGCCTCGCACCCTCCGGTGCGCCGCGACCCCGAGCCGCCTCCCCGCGACGGCGCGTACCTGCTCCCTCCGGGATGCCGCCGCCTCCAGCTGACCCGCGCGCAGCCGCGGCGCCGTCTCGGCGGAACGAAGGGGCTGCCGCAAGGAGGACCGAGAAAAGGAGCGCATCTCTTCCGAGAGACAGAGGAAACCTTCGGAGCAGCCGCAGAAAACGAGCCGGGCGTTTGCCAGGTCGGCGGGATGCGAAGCGCCTTGCGCTGCCTCCGTCACGGGGCGCCTCCAGAAAGGAGTTTCCTGGGCCAGCACACAAGGTTTTGCAGCAGCCACGTGAGGGCATGAAAATACAACAAACAAACAAAACACATTTATGGTTTTGGTTTTTGGTACATTTAATACGATTTCCCACTTGAGAAGTAAAAAATAACCATTTTACATCTGCAGCCACTGCTGGTATAGAAGCTTGCCAGCACATTTGTCTGTGGGAGAATCATGGCATCAGAGAATGGTAGAATTGGAAGGGATCCAAGGGTCATCTAGTCCAACCCTGTGCGATGCCAGAATCTCAGCTAAAGCGACCCTGACGGAGGGCCATCCAACCTCTGCTTCGAGGAAGGGGAGTCCACCACCTTCCATCCCACTGTTAAACAACCCTTACAGATAAAAAGTTCTTCCTGATGTTGAGTCGGAATCTCCTTTCTTGTAACTTGAAGCCATGGGTTCGAGTCCTACGCACCATAGAAGGAGAAAACAAGCATGTTCCCTCTTCCGTGTGACAGCCCTTCAGATACAATATTGGAAGGTGGCTCTCCTATCTCCTCTCAGTCTCCTCCAGGCTGAGCATATCCAGCTCCTTCAACCGTTCCTCATCAGGCTTGATCATCTTGGTCGCCCTTCTCTACATACGTTCCAGCTTGTCAACATCCATGGGTATAAGTGGGGGGGCAGCTGCCCCTCATCAAGTAAATAAATAAAAATACTGAATTAACTGAACAATTGTGACACAGATAACTCGGTTCTGCCCCCTCCCAACATAAATCCTGGCTACACCCATGTAACAGCCTTCTTAAATTGTGGTGTCCAGAACTGAACACAGTATTCCAGGTGTGGTCTGACCAAGGCAGAATCGAGTGGTACTATTACTTCCCTTGATCTGGACACTTGATTTCTGTTGATGCAGCCTAGAATAGCATTTGCTTTTTTTGCTGCTTCATCACACAATGGACTCATGTTCAGCTTGTAGTCCACCAAGACCCCAAGGTCCTTTTCACATATACTGCTAGTCAGCCAGTGGTCCCCTGGCTGCCCCACTGCTTCTGCTGCCACTAGACACGCGGCATTGTTGTGAGAAGATAAGTGACAATGGCTTGCTCTCCTTTTGCCAAGTTTCAGCAAGGGGGGGCAGGGGGCACATTCCTGTTTCACTTCAGGTGGCAAAGTGGAGTGGGCAGGCCCTGGAGGCATGGGAGAAGACAGAGGAGCCTGGGAGATGTGGCTCAGCAGATTGTGGTCCTTTTCTTCTCATGGCAGTGTCTTGGATTCTCACGCCAGGTTCCTACATGTGACTCTTCTGAGCATTCTAAACCTTTCCCAGTATAGCCTGGGATTATTTAGTAGGCAATGCTGGGGACTGGAACTGGGAATTCCACCGTCTGCAGACAAAATGGGGAGATCCTCCTGGAAGGCATGGACAGTGAAGAGGTAGCTTTGTTGCCTTCAGTCCCAACCACTAGGTCAGGGGTCAGCAACATTTTTCAGCCGTGGGCCGGTCCACTGTCTCTCAGACCATGTGGTGGGCCAGACTATATTTTTTTTTAGGGGGGGGGAATGAACGAATTCCTATGCCCCACAAATAACCCAGAGATGCATTTTAAATAAAAGGACACATTCTACTCATGTAAAAACACGCTGGTTCTCGGACCGTCCCTGGGCCAGATTGAGAAGGTGATTCAGCCGCATCCGGCCCATGGGCCTTAGGTTGCCTGCCCCTGTTCTAGGTATTCTGCAACCTACTTTCGTCCATGGATCTGTTCGGGTGGAGATGTTAAAGCCGTATCTGGGGTGTATATGGGGAGTTAGCAGAGGGCTAGGGCCTCTGGTGGGGGACACCTTGTGCTCCTTCTGCAACAGTTTGCCCACCTTGGATCCCCATTCTGCACGCAGCTCCTAGAAGCGTCTGCAGCCACAGCAGCCACACCCCGGAACGGCTCCATTGTCCCCATTGTCTCTCGAAGGAGGACAGCAAATCCCTCTTCATCTCGGATGACGAACTGCTTCTCCTACTAAATCTTTACTGCCACCTAGCGGCTGATTCTGTTATGTAAGCAGACATGTTCAGAATTGGGCTATTATTTTATCATTAAAAACTTTGTAATAAGATTAATAAACATTTTAGATTCAGACACATAATAATATTTTTGTTCCCTGTCTACCAATATTTGTCACATAGAAAATTCCTGGCAAACCACGACATCTACTGAAGGACATGCACAACCCAATTAGATGTTAGAGGCAAAGGAGACCATTTTCCAACTCTCTCTCCTTCTGTCTGTCTGTCCCTGTCCCTTTGGGTTGAGTAGTTACTACCCTGTTTCAAATATTCTCTTTCATGTCAAGGTTTAATTTATTAATTGATATCTCAACTTTATGTATAGAGTACAGTCAATGAGGCTTACAACATATAAGATACAAACACAGTAATGCATTAAAAAACAATCAGAAGGAATGATTATGGATGGACTCTATGGGGCTGCCTTTGAGTCTTCTGCTAGTGCAGAATGACACAGGCTAGCAAAGTTTTCCCAACAATTGAAATCAGGAGGGGGGATAAAAATCCTGGGGGTGAGTACTGAGGAGTGAGAGGGTAGGCTCTGGGTTGGGAGGGAGCCTTCAGCAGAGAGCCCCCCCCCCGGCTCTCCTCCTTTGTGGGTAACGGTGGGCCTGCGCTCCAGGGGTGGGCATCCAAAACACCTCCCCTAGCACCCTTTCTCCAGCAATCCTTTTTGGCCCGGAAACTTTTAAAACATATTTTTAAGACAAGGATCAATATAGTTTGAGATTTTCTTTAACCTGCAGCAGTTGTACAGAAAAACAACCCCCCCCATCCTAGTGCAGCACTGGGGCACTGAAAAAACCTGGGGCACTAAATTGGCAGGAAACTGGACCCCTGGCCTGTGTGTGTGTGTGTGAAGAACTGAAGCCAGATGAAAACATGCTTGTTTGAGGCTGAGCTTTGTCCCACTGTCTGTTTGCAGTTACCTTGGACTTTCTCCTGACTCTGTCGTCATCACTTCACCTGGAGCAGCTGCCAATGTTTGCAGAGCAGCAGTGGTCCTTCCCCCGAGGAACAGAACATGCCAGATTGCCCTTACACAGCATTTCTAAAAAGGTGGAAAGCCCTCACTTTCCCAGGGCCTGCACTGGCAGTTACTTCTCTTTAGGCTGAATGCTTTGAAACTCAGTGAGCAGCACTGCTACTCCTGCCCATGTAAAATGTCGTTCCTTGTTTATATGCTTTGCATCTGCTGCAATGCTCTCAATACCTCTGGGTCTTATTGTACCAGACTTTCATCTCCCTTCCTCTGAGAATCTGGCAGAACTCGGGCTCTGCAGCTGCAGCACAATGAGCCCACAACTGATGGGGGGTCACGTTCTAGGGATCACACCTAAAGTCAAAACTGCATACACAGTAGTCAAAACACACACTGGGCTCAAGGGCACGTAGGCAGGCCAAAGTCTTTTTCCCCTGGATGCTTGTCCTCTGTTTAATTCTTTTGCCAGGCATGTAAAACTGAATGTGCACAAGTTAGATGTGCCTAAGCTTATTGTATTCAACTGACGTGCCCCCATAACCACTCAGACGACACTTTCACAGGACTTCATTCCTCGGTTCAGCTCCCAACATGGTACATGCTGTCGTCCGCCAGCAAATCTATCACAGAAAATAGAACAGGAGTCTCTATGGGAAAGAATAAATGGGCCCAAGTCTGAGATCAAGAGGAAGCCCTGCGGCATTGAGCTTTGGTGAAACAGCAGCAAGAAGAGACAAGCCAAGAGCTTCCCTGCAGCAGGAAATCCCCACTTACTGACTCTTGCTGTCCCCCCAACCTCTCCAATATTGCAGGAGACTCTTGAGCTGAAATCCCCATCTATCCTATCATTTCTTATGAAATACTGCATTTTGATGTGTTTCCCGCAAACCAACTTCAATCTGAACTGAGAAAAAGAATGAGCTGGCTGTGTTTTAAGTCAGCAATGTGTACACAGACTTGGAGCCTTGGAAAAAGAAAAAACAGTAAGAGGCTCAGGACTGATTTGAATCCCTTTCTCTGCCCCTCAGGAACATGATGAGACCCCTGGGCGCTTTATGCTGAAGCTGAAGTGTCAGCTGGAGAGACAAGGAAAGATGAATTCTCGTGATGGAAGCTGGGCAAACATATATGCTCGACTCAAAGCATTACACAGTCACCATTTGTTTTATTACAGATCTTGCACAATTGTACAAAAAGATTTTTAAAATTCCTTTTATAGAAGACTGCATGAATCAACATGGCTTTCTCAAAACCTATAGTAAATACCTGTGTATTACTTATAATAGATAAGCTGCCTATTGCCCGGTCTGCTAACTATCAACACCTACCAGCTTTGGTCAAATGAGCAGCAATGCTTTTCCTTGTGCAGCCTTTGAGCTATGTCTTGCGCATGTCTTGCAGCCATCTGAACATTAATGATTTGGGTAGAAACCCGGACCTGAGTTTGAGTTCTCCATCAAGTGGGAGCCACAACAGTAAGTTTCCTTCTCCACTAAAGTCCACCAGTTCACCCACTTAGCATGGGGGCCGCTAGCTTTTCAGGCTCAGCACCAACCGTTTCTTCCCAGGCACTTCTGCCGTAGGGACCTGGGCTCCTGGATAGGCAACACGGACTACCAGGGACTCTCTAGCCTGGGAGGCTTGTCTGGGGCCAACCCATGAGACGTGAGAAAGGGGCGATGGACAGCAGGAATCCATTGCTCATTACTGCCTTCCTTAATCGTTTTTGGGGTGGGGATGGGGAGGCTTTTTCAGTCCAAGGGCTCTGTTTCCATCTGGGCAAACTTCCCACGGTGCGCAGGGCTGGGCAGAGACAAAAGTGGCTCCAGCAAGGACTAGAAAGGTGTCCTTTGATACAGGCGGCCAGTTGCTCCACACACATTTCTTTCTTTCCTCCCTGAAGGAAGCAAGAGGATATGTCAGGGTACCAGGACCCCTTCTACCCCACCCCCCAAAACACTCCAGGGGTGTGGCCTGTGAAGAGGTCCAAGGGCCACACAGAGAGACCTGATGGGCCACATTTGGCCCTCACGCCGGAGGTTCCCTTCCCTGGGCAGTGTGGGACTTTCTCTGTTTTAAGCAGTCTCTCCCTGCCAGCTTTTGGGCAAGACTAAAATGGCCTCAGGAGAATTATTCGTGTCTCTCTATAGGATTAACTTCCAGAGCAGAAACTCAAGCTTGGAGATATTGAAATTGACCTTGATCTTAGGGATTGATCATGATGAGGTGATTAACCGCTGTGACTGAAAGGTTATGCAATATTTCTTATCAAAGGCTAAACGATTGGCTTTGTGCAATGAGGTGGCCCTCCAATGACACTTGGCTCCCTTTTTATTTCTACTGAGCATAAACCAGATATGAGCTCATATCAAAGATGGCTTTTGCATGTTATTGTAGAAGCAGACATTTAATATTCCAGCATTTGCCTGCTTCTACCCTATACTGTGTGAGGCAGCTATAAATTTATAGGGAAGCTTTTAATATTTGATGAATTATTGTACTTTAATATTTTGTTGGAAGCTGCCCAGAGTGGATGGGGTATATATTAATATTAATATTAATTATTATTATTATTATTATTATTATTGTTATTGTTATTTTGGGGCAACTGGACCACATGGGCAGAGTAAGGGCAAGTCAAGGCTGCAAGCAGGAGGCAAGTCCTGATTTCTCTTGCTTCTTCTACCACTCCCTAAATAGCACGGCCTAAAATCTTCTAATCTAAAGGGTAATTCTGCGAGGCATGAACACTTCTGGTTTATATTGGAGCAGCAAGAAACTGAGCATGCTGTGGAAGCCTGCGCTGAGGAGGCAGGAGTAACCATGACATCTTGTTGCAATTTTGCAAATCACAATAGTAAAAAATAAAAATGGGTGTGGAAAGGACGGGGGTCGGGGTGACAATGAGGGCTTTGAAGGATGGCCACTATGTGCACAAGCAGCTGGAAAATGGGGTGCTGGGGTGGGAGTGGGAAACGGGGGTCCTGGAACTGCGGGAGGGGGAGACTGCCTGCTTTCCCCCAAGCCCTGGAGCGACGGTGACAAGCACCAAAAATGAGACATCTAGCCTGCAGGCAGGACAGAGCAGAAGCGGCTGCAGTATTAACTTCTGCCATGAGTTGCGAAGAGAATCCGACAACTTTTCCTGGGTCCCAGATGAAGGCAAAGTATAGTTTGCTTGGATAAGGGACTTATCAATCAGGCATTTTAAATTGAGTGCACCTTACCATGCTCAGTTTGTACCATATATTTAAGTAGGAATTCTCTGCCCGTCTTGCAGCCAAGTGACCAAGTTGGTTGCACATCAGATATGAGTTCAGCATTTCTAAGCAGAACACCAAGGAAGGGGCAACCAATTATGGCACGCGCCCTCCAGGTGTTGCAGGACTCCAACTCCCATCATTCCCGACCGTTGGCCAAGCTGCCCGGAGCTGATGGGAACATCCGGAGAGACCCCTCGGGGGTCAAAGCCTGCGGGGAGTCCCGACGTGGCGCGCGGATTGCAGGGAGCCCGGCATGTCCGCTGCAGGAAGCTGCGCTTTGTGCCAACTCAGCGGCTCCTGCTGCGCGATTTGATGGATTTCTCCATTTATCAGACAGTCAGTAGCCGGAGCGACCCAAGAAGGAGGGGCGGACGCGAAGACAGCCGAGGGAGGCCGAGCCCCTGGCCGGAGGGGCGCGGCGGGGCGGGGCCGGCCTGCTCCAATGGGGCGGCGGCGGCGAGAGGCGTCTTTAGGGCGCGCGGCGGAGCCTCGCCTTCTCCGGCGGCGGCGGCGGCGCGAGCGGCGAGCGGCGAGCGGACCATGGCGTCGGGCGCCGCGCTGCGGAAGGTGCTGCTCAGCGACAGCCTGGACCCGTCGTGCCCGCGGCTGCTGCGCGAGGCCGGCGTCGGCGTGGCGGAGAAGGCCGGGCTCAGCCCCGAGGAGCTGCTGGCCGAGATCCGGGTGAGCCCCGCCAGAGGCGAGCGCGGCGCCCTTGCCGCTGCCCCCCCCCCCGGGCAGGGGCGCCTTGGCCCCGCTCCTGCAGGGCGCGCGGCGGAGGGAGGTCCGAGGGCAGCCCCGGGAAGCAGAGCCCCCAGGCGGCAGCCCGGAGCATCTCCGGAGCTGGAAGGGGCAAGGCAGGGCGCCTGCTCGGAGGAGAGAAGGGCGACAAGGGGCTTGGAAAGAAGTTTATCACGTTAGCATCTCAGGGTTGCCCCTCCTTTTGCAGGACACGTCCTCCTTTTCATGGGTATGTAAAATGAGAATCCTCCTAGTGATCCATAGTTAAAAGCAGAAGTCGGCAAATGTGTCCTCTTTTTTGCTCTTCAAAATATGGCAAACCTGTATTGGAAGAAAGCAAGGTTCTGCAGTGACCCACATGCCGTCAAGGCACTTTGATAACTCTGAAAATGGTTGGGTTTTTTTAGTTCCTCTTCCAAGCCTGAGACAGGCAGCATCAGACCCTAAGAATGCCTTGCTCCTTCATTAGCTGGGCAAGGCAGAACAAGCGCTGGCAACCCCAGGAAATGGAAGAGTTGGCATTGATCCATCTCTTCTTCAACATTCCTGGTGTCGCCCGCTTTCCTCCTGGCTGAGCTACTCACACACTTGCTACAACTCTCCAGTCCGGTATAGCTTAGAGCACCAGCTCACTCAGACACGGGAGAAGAGACCTTTAGAATGGGGAAAGCGATGGAAAGACGAGAAAACTTCAATAGGGAACGGGACAAATACAGACTACACTTAAAAGAGCTCTTTGGCAAGCTTTTAGTAACTCTTGCAACATTACAAAGACTTTGGATATTTTGGAGGACCATAATGTGGAAAAAGTATAATGTGCAGTTGATTTAGATATACAGTGGTACCTCGGGTTACATACGCTTCAGGTTACAGACTCCGGTAACCCAGAAATAGTACCTTGGGTTAAGAACTTTGCTTCAGGATGAGAACAGAAATCATGCTCTGGCAGCGTGGCAGCAGCAGGAGGCCCCATTAGCTAAAGTGGTGCTTCAGGTTGAGAACAGTTTCAGGTTAAGAACGGACCTCCAGAACGAATTAAGTTCTTAACGCGAGGTACCACTGTACAGTCATACCTCATGTTGTGTCCTGGTTACGTGTTTTCGTGTTGCGTCCCACGACAACCCGGAAGTACAGAAATGGGTTACTTCCAGGTTTTGCTGCTTGCGCATGCACAGAAGTGCTAAATGGTGCCGTGCGTGTGCGCAGATGGTGGCGCTTCGGCTTGCGTCAGTTCCATGTTATGGGCAGGCCTCCAGAACGGATCCCATCCATAACACGAGGTTCAGCTGTATAAAGGATCCACGGAGGGGAGGAGGGGAGTCCTAAGATTTGGAAGAATCTTGTTTTATTTTAAAATTTAAATGTGGTAAATGTGAGTTTATTTTGTAAAATCAATAAAAATGATTTCAAAAAAAGAAAAGAAAAAGCAGAGACATTTTGATATCGAACAGTTAAAACTTGGTGTGTGAAGTTTTTGACATCATGGATAAAATACAAAACAACTCTAAAGTAAAAATTGTAATTGTTCGGGTAGTTTATCCAAGCACATGCACACAACTCTTCAGACATGCTGAAATTAGGATGCTTGCATTTTTCATTGCCTTCATTTTCTTTTCCTATTTTGAAACCAGATCTCAACCAATTTAGAGCAAGTGAAAGTATGCAGGGGGGACTCATTCAGGAAGCCCCCTTCCTTGGGGAGCTCACCTTCATTTCCGTGGGACTGGAGGAGAACATCACATAGGGTTGCACCCCTTGTTCCTTATATTTCACTGTTGCCCTACCACAGATGGGCAAAAGTGTTTTCAGGTTGATCGCTTCTCTGCCTTTTCCTCTTTCATGGTCCTTAGCTTTATTTATAGACAATCTCCCATTCCCATTTCTCACAGGGAGGGGCTTTGTGGGAGAACCACTGGAAAATATTCCACCATGGAAAACTGCTGTTTTGTTAAAATGTGGTTGGCTGGCGCTAAAGAAATGCTGCCTCTCCCAGTTTTTTGTGCTTGTTTAGAACAGCCGAAGGTGCAGAATATCTGCTTGGTTTAGCCTCAGTTCTTGTGGAACGGGAATGAAACTTGCCTCCACCTGTCTGATTTTACAGCACACCTCAGAATTTGAAAGACTAATAGCAGAGAATTTGATTAACCTTCCTCTTGATGTGTCAGCGTTCAGCACTCTCTGCCTTGAACCACATTGGCTGAAAACACGTTCCTCATCCCTATTCCAGCTTTTTCTGGTGAGGAGGGTGACAATGTTCTTCTTTGCAACATAAATTGCAAAAGCCAAACAACAGTGCATTTGTACATGTGTGTGTCTGCACACTGTCTATACTCCATGCCACTGAAAGCCATCCCAGCTGAATGGCGAGATTCTGCCCTTGTGGAATGGGCAGCCTTATGTGGCACTATTGTGTCCATCCTTTGTGGCTGAAAGTAGCTCCCAGATGGTCTTGTGAGTGAACTTGACGATCTGTCAAGGGGCCCAAGGGAGGAGGCTTTTTCCTTGGGTTCAGAGGGTTAAAGCCTCTCAAAATCAAAGCCAGCACCCTGAATTGTTTGAGCCAGGCTGAGGACACAGACCCTGGTTCAATGGACTCTTGGCTGAGCCCTGTGGATAGGCAGCCAGTTGCTGAAGTATCTGGGCAGCCATCAGAGGCCAGTCATCCCATGCAGCCTGCGTGACAGTCATTGCAGTGCACCTGGAGTTTGCATTTTGGGTTTCTCTGGCCATATTTTGGCTGCACTTTTGACTTTCTGCCTTAGCTCGGCTGCATTTGGGGACAGGTGCTGGGTTACCCGCTTGGCATGGAGCCCTCAAAGCCAGGCCTCACCTGTTCATGGTAGAACAGCTTCTTCCCCCAGGTCGACTGCAGGAGAGAGATCCCAGAACTGGAAGCTGATGGCCTGCTACTGTTACCTAAAGGTGGGACTTCTTTGGGAGATTTTGTGCCCATGGTGCCATAGTGCCCAACTTGACTTTTGCTGACTCTTTGCTCATAGCGCAACCCTGGTAACACTTCTGTGCGTCTCTTCCCATTCTCTCTCTCACAAGGGGCTATGTGGCTGGAGACTGAGCTGAGGAACTGCTGGCATATTATATCCACAGATATACCTATCAAGAGCCATTATTTACCTCAGTTCTGCACCTAGCGTGGTCTAATCCTGCCTCCCTTGGCCTTCAGACATTTCAGAGTCAAACCCCTAGATAATAGTCCCACCCTAGTAGCTACGTTTGCATAAATTAAAGCATGGCATTCAAATTTCTGAATTTGCATACCGTAATACGTCATTCATGCACCTTAGAGAATTTGGCTATTGGTGCAAAATATTTGTTGCCTTGGCCAATGGTTTCAATTTTTTAAGCCCTGTTCCTCCGCCAGCCTCTCTGCTGGCTTCCGGTTCTCTAGGCAGCCCTTTGCTCACTCCTGCTGTGATTTCTTTAGGACTGCGATGGGCTCATTGTGCGATCTGCCACCAAAGTGACTGCAGAGGTCATCAATGCTGCTGAGAAGCTGCAGGTCATTGGTAGAGCCGGGACTGGCGTGGACAATGTGGATGTCGATGCCGCTACGAGGAAAGGAATCCTGGTCATGAAGTAAGCCGCTTCTCACATGGGCTCAGGGGGTGTCACAAGATCAGAGGAAGCCTGGCAGGAAGGGTGTCCAAAGAAGGCGGAGGCCAACAATCTATTAGTTCAAGACTCCCCAAGGTATCCCCCCCACATAGTCACACACGCACAATGTAGTTCATAGAATCGTAAATTTGTAGGGTTCGAAGGGTCATCTAGTCCAACTCTCTGCAATGCGGGAATCTCACGAAGCAGCCTGTGACGCTCCAAGGAAGGGGAGTCCACCGCCTCCTGAGGGAGTCTGTTCCACTGTTGAACTAATAATAATAATAATAATAATTAATAATAATACTTATACCTCACCCCTATGACTGGGTTGCCCCAGCTAGTCTAGATAGCTTCCATCATCATATAAAAAACACAGTGAAACGTCAAACATTAAAAACTTCCCAATACAGGGCTGCCTTCAGATGTCTTCGGAAAGTCATATAATTGTTCATCTCTGACATCTGATAGAAGGGTGCTCCACAGATCAGGCACCACTGCCAAGGAGTACCAGAAAACAAGCTTTTTTAATCTTCCATGTGACAGCCCTTTAGATATTTGGAGACTGCTATCCTGTGTCCTCTTAGTCTCCTCCAGGCTAAACAGACCCACCTCCCTCAAGCGTTCCTCATATGGCTTGGTTTCCAGTCCCTTGATCATCTTGGTTGCCCTCTTCTGCAAACATTCCAGCTTGTTTTGGAGCTGGGCTCTCTGCCAAAACATTCAGTCCCAGGGACAGGGATTTTCCCCTGTGGTTGAGCTGTGCTCCCTAGTGCCATGTAACTTTGAGTGATCCTTGGCATAGCAAGGGGGGAGGGCGAGCTGTACTTGTCTCCCTTAACCACAGTTAACACTAATCATATTTCTCAGTTCAGCTATATTGGGTAATTGCAATTTACTGAAAATTAAAGCAACAGCTTCTTCCTCCTAACTGCACCACAGGAGGAGAGGGAGCAAAGTATTATTCTGCCTGTGAGGAATATTTCAGGTGATAACACATCATGCTCATTAGGGGGATTTAGATGCATTGCTAGCTTTGCCCAAATTTGTACAAGCAGAACTTGGGAGGAAAGTTGTCTCATGTGTCCACAGGGAGTGGGGTGTGTGTGCTCAGACATGGAGCTTTTGAGCACTGACCTGTGCCTTGGTGGGCAGGTGTGGGTGAGCCCTAAAGGTCTACACAAGAGGGATGCCAGGGAGTATTTGCTGTCTCTGAAGAACAACAGGCACAGAGTTCACAGCTCTCATTGTGGAAGAGTTGGGGGGCCTTGGAGCTTTTTGCCAGGGGCTCCACCCAACTTCCTCTGCTTTTGTTTTGCTCCTCAGCACACCGACTGGCAACAGCCTCAGTGCGGCCGAGCTGACGTGTGGCATGGTCATGAGCCTGGCAAGGTAGGTGATGGGGCTCTGGGAAGAGAACAAGGCCTTCCAGAAGCACCGGCTGCACCGCACTGCATCTCTTTGGGCTTGAGAAGAACCTGTAGCTCTCCCCAACGACATGTTTCACATGGAGCTGCACACTATCTGGGCAGACATACTCCATAGAACTAGGGCAGCCCCCTTCTTGTCACAGAAAAGCAGCTTTGGAGGGGTGCCTCACCCTTCCCTCCTGTTATTTTTCTGCTGAAACCCATCTCTTCAAGCTACACGTTCCCATGCAGAAAAGGGCCCTCGCATACACATCTGAAACCCTGTTTGGGAAAGGGGATGTTTTTGGGAGGTGGATTCTAGAAGAATAGGGAAAGGGTGAAGCCATTACCTGCCACTGTTCTACTCCAAATGTCCTCCTCCTGCAGTTCCTTTGCCTCATGGGAAGTAGCTGTTACATTTTGTAACACAAACAAAACACAAACACACTTGTGAAAATTTCCACAGCTGTGTCTCTTTTGGACACAGGCCATTCCTACCTTTGGGAAAATGAGCTTCCCCCACAACCAAAACAATCTTAAATCTTCCGCACCAACATGTCCAAGAGAAGAAGACATGCAGATGGCTCCTCTGCTGTGGCTTGCGCCCTTGTTGGAACCTGCTAAACTGGAGTCTTTCATTTCAGGCAAATCCCACAAGCTGCAGCTTCAATGAAGGAAGGGAAATGGGATCGAAAGAAGGTAGGAGGCTGGGTTGGGGTCTCCATCTCCCGCTGCGCAGGCAAGGCCTGCCATCTTCTCACACGGAGGTGTGCTTTTTGCCTTAGTTCATGGGGATGGAGCTTCAGGGGAAGACACTGGGCATTCTTGGCCTAGGCAGGATCGGACGAGAAGTGGCTGTCCGGATGCAGTCCTTTGGCATGAAGGTAAGAATGCCCTTACAGAGGGGGACCACTTGTGGTCTGGAGGAGGCACATCCTGCAGCCCTGATCTGTTGCCTTCTCAAGAGGCCCTGTGCCTCTCTTCCATGCTGGGGGTGTTGAGATGGGGTGGGGAATCTCAGCGACCTTAAAGAGCTCTCGGTCTCTCTCCGCCTTGGCCTTCAGACCATAGGCTATGACCCCATCATCACTCCCGAGGAATCTGCTGTTTTTGGAGTTGAGCAGCTGCCTTTGGAACAAGTCTGGCCGCTGTGTGATTTCATCACCGTCCACACCCCTCTGCTGCCTTCCACCACAGGTAAGGGGTGCTCCTGGGGACTGCCAGAGGTGATCCTGCAGGGTCCTGGGCTGCTTGTGTGCCTGCAGAGTGCTCCACTGGGAAGCTGCCTGGTTCCACCACGAATGGGGCAGCAGGGCTGTGTGTGGGGACTGAGGAGCCCCCACAACTTGCTTGGGCGTGGGAAGTTGGCTGAAGCAGCAGAGGCAGCCCAGCCTTTGCACGGGGGGAGTGCAGAAGGTGGATCATGGATGTGAGGGAGGAAGGGTGATGCCAGAAAGAAAAGTCCGTGGATCGCCTCAAGCGGGAGACATACAGCTGGTACAGAAAGGCAGCAGGGGAAAGCTGTATTGTTGCTGCCATACTAATAACGATGTTTGCCTGATGGCTTGTTTTTCATAATTCTGTTTCTGTTACTCATGCAGAGGAGCAAAGAGTTAATATGCAGGAAAGCGTCAGAAACTTCTCCTGGCACTCTATGCATTTTTCAAATTTTTCAACTTTAGGATTAGAAAACTGCTTCCTTCTTTAAGAAACTGAAAGCTTGATTTCCAGGGTGGCACCCATCTACATTTGGGGGTGTGGTAATCATAGACGTGCAGCCCCAAAGCCCCCCAGGGGATGGTGGGCTCGCTTTGCCGCCCCCCTCCTCAGGAAAGCCGGCTGCGGCTGGAGTGGCGTGGGAGCTGTTGCCACCTGTGTTTTGACAGCTGCCTCCTTTCCAGGGCTCCTGAATGACGCCACCTTTGCTCGGTGCCGGCGTGGGGTCCAGGTGATCAATTGCGCCCGAGGAGGCATTGTGGATGAGGGTGCCCTTTTGCGGGCCCTGCAGTCTGGCCAGTGTGGGGGAGCAGCCCTAGATGTCTTCACGGAGGTGAGGTGCTTGGGCATTGGATTTCATTCCCTGGCTTTCCTTGGGGTGCCACCAGGATCTCTTTCAATGCCTCAGGCTGCACACGAGCCCTTCTTGCTTTTGTGTGGTTGTTGGAATGCCAGCATGTGACTAGAGGGTCTCATCCAGTGCCTTGCCTTAGAGCAGACAGCCCTTCTGCTCCCCTGGCACAGATCAGCCGCACCAAAGAGGCTCGTGGAGGAAATGCTGCTGGGGAGGGAAGCCTTTGGAGTGAGCGCCTGAGCCTTGCCAGGACTTTGCTGAATGTGGAAGCATGAAAGGGCTCCAGGACTCCTCCCCTGGTTCCCAGAGAAGATGGCTATCTTTGCAGCCTTGGGCTTGAGGGTGTGAGAACAGAAGAGCGTGGCTGCTGGATCAGGCCTGGGGCTCATCTTGCCCAGCATCCTGTTCTCACAGGGGCCAACCATATGACTGTGGGAAGCCAGCCAGCAGAACAGGAGCGCAAGAGCCTTCTCCGCTCCCGTGGTTGCCAGCCGTTGGCCTTCAGAAGCATGGCTGCCCCGTGGCTGGTAGCCCTTGAGAGCTACTCTCCTCCAGGAATTTGCCTCGTCCTCTTCCAAAGTCCTCCATGTTGGGGGCCACCACTGTCTCCTGTGGGAGCGATTGCCGTAGTTTAACTCTGCGCTGTGTGAAGGACTTCCTTTTGTCTGTCCTGAATCTCCCAACATTGCCCTTCACTGGCCGTCCGCGAGAGATCAGCTTGGACAAGGTAGCCGTACAAAATGCTTTGTGGCTACAAGGCAGGCCTTAGCAACTGACTCGGCTCTTCTTCTTCCCCCTCCAGGAGCCACCCACGGACAAGGCCTTGGTAAACCACCCCAATGTCATCTGCTGCCCCCACTTGGGTGCCAGCACCAGAGAAGCTCAGAGTCGCTGTGGCAGGGAGATTGCAGTGCAAATAGTGGACTGGGCCCAGGGCAGGGCACTGGTTGGCGCCGTGAGTCCTTCTCTTCAGTTGTTCTTCTTGTTTTTCAATTTATAAAATTAATCTTAATATTGGTTTTTAGTTTAAATCTGTGGTTTATTTTGGGTTTTTTTGTTCTTTTTTGTTTTGTTTTGTTTTGTTTTCTAAAATTTGAGCTTTTTAGCAATTTAAGATGCAAAATAGCTGTTCTGCAAAGCATGAGCATGTTGGTTTTCTCAATGCTTGTTTAAAGACAAGCTTGCTAGATAAAGCAAAATATTCTGCAGTGCAACTCGGCAGACTTGTGTCACGTGGCAGTCTGGCTCAACTTCTTTGCAAAGCAAGTGTCACGCTTTGATCCAGCAAGCTCAGCATTTGCACTCTTCAACTGCCAATATCACTGTTTAGCAAATGATAGCAACAGTAGAACTGAGCCCAGGCAAGGTCTTTGGATGGATGCCTGGGTAGGTTTGCAGGAAGGCAGAAGGAGAAGCACTGCCCTTCATTAAAAGTGTTGTCATTGGGGCTTGGATCCCAGGCAGTACAAGCAGGAGAAATGGAGCAGAGGTTTTTTCTTTCCCTCAGGTCAATGGCCAAGCTCTCCACAGTGCATATGCACCTCATACCAAACCATGGATTGCCCTGGCCAGGGCCCTAGGGACTGTGCTGCAGGCACTGAGCCACCCAGTGAATGGAGACGTTCAGGTTGTCACTCACGGTGAGAGGAAAGATCCAGGAGCAGCACTGGGCTGGAGATCCTGTCGGGTTTTATTTTTCAAATGCCTAAGTCTATTTACCCCTCTGCTTTTGCTCTCTCACCTCTCCTTAGTGCAGGGTTCTGTGTTCTTGTGCTTTAAAACCCCTTCTTCATTCTGTGTGAAAAACAGTTGAATTTTGCAACCCATATCAATGAGTTTTTGCCACTCATGAACCATTTACATTTAAGGCAATTGCTGCAACCATGATGAGTGCAAGCTTGTTTTTCTATATGTAGGAACATCCAAGGTTCTCAGGGAGCTGAATCCTGTATCGGGTCCTCCTTTACGTGCTGGTGCAGAAGACACAGAGCCCTGCTTATTTAGCTACCACAAGGCTGGGGAAACCTCGCTGTGGTTGGACTCCCAACTCCACACCAACGCAGCCCGCGGCCAGCACGGGTCCTGGGAGCTGTAGGCCCAGCCTTGGGGGGGGGCTCAGGTCCCCCCCCACATGCTCTATCAGTTGTTCTGCAGCCCTCTTGAAAGCTGCTCCTTTGTCTCCTCCTCTGGCCTTTCTGCCGCCTCGCCATGCTGCTTCGTCCTCCTGCAACTTGCCTATCGCAGGCCCAGCGCTCTGCCCTGCTGCTTTGGGTGTGTGCTTGCTCTTCTCCCTCCTCCCTGCTCTTCTGCCAAGTCCACAAGGTCTTGGTGGGGAGAGGCCTGCCCCTAACTCCCTGCGTCCCCCTCTGCTCTTGCTGCTAAGGAAACATGAGCAGTCTGTCATGGGTGGTACTAATGAACACACAGAAGAGATGAGAATGTGGTCCGTTGCTGCAGTGTTGCAGTTGAGGAGAAGCAATGGGATCTTGATGTGTTGCTGCAGCTGCAGTGAGGCTTGTGGGCTTGTTTACCGGCCCTGATGCTGTCCCTTTAACAGCAGCCTGATGGCTGAGCAAGTGAACCTTTCCTGCTGCTATTTAAGGTGCCAGTATGGGGCCTGTGTAAAGGGAAAGGGGTGGGGGGCTGTTAGCCCACCCGGCAGCTTTTGTCTCACGATTCCCACTGGAGGGGAGCTAGTGAGAGGCTTGCACATGAGGAGGCAGCAGCCCCAGTGTTGCTTTTCACAGATACCGCCAAGAAGCAAGTCAGGCCCCAGGGTCCTGCTGATTGGGGTGTCTGGTTCTGGCACAGCCCTTGATCAGATGGTCTGGTCTCTTCATTGACTCGTCTTCTGGTTGCAGGGTGAGGACAGGACAGGAAACACGCAGGACACTTTTAAAATTAATTGACCATGCCTGTCACACTCACTAGGCACAACCTTGCAGAAGGCGGGCAGCTACCTGAGCCCTGCCGTGGCCATCGGCCTCCTTAAGGAAACTGTGCAGAAGGACGCGAACCTTGTCAATGGGCTTCTCCTGGCACAGGAATCTGGGCTGAAGGTACGTCTGGTGCCCTCCGCTGACAGGTCCCTAGGGCGGCTCCTTGGGGAGCCTTGACGTAGCAGTGGGGTCTTTGAGCCTTTCCTTTGGTCTGCTCAGGAGAGGGTGGCGTCTCCCCCCCCCCCCGACATGGTTTTTATCTTTGCAGCTGCAAAACAGTCAGAAACTCAACTGGTGCAGCTTCCTCAGCACAGATATGTGGCTCAGTTTCACATACTGAATTTCTGCCCATTGAGCAGATTTTACACTTGCTGTTCCCTGCCTCTCTCTCTTGCTCCATGATGGGCAAGAGCTGAGCTCGCCTGAAGTTCCCCAAAGAGGGAATCTGGAAGCAGATCTCCTCTGCAATGAACAGGCTCTGCATCTCTTTTGCCATTTCCCCCCTGCAGATCACCACAAGCCACAGTGGCAGAGCCCTGGGTAGTGACGAGGCCCTGCTGCAACTCTCTGCACAAGAGTCACCCTATGTGTTAGTTGGGTCTGTGGAAGGCAGCACTCCTGTCCTGCATGAACTCAGCGGAGCCGTCTTCAAACAGCATGTTCCCCTCTCCGGCACTCTGCTGTTCTACAGAGCCAAGACCTCTGATGCCAGCCTGTTGCCAACCGTCCTTGGTAAGGAGAGGCCTCCTCTTCCCTTTCAGAGCTCCCTAATCTAACAATTGGCACGGGGAAACCCTTGTCTCTTGACAGTGCATCCTTCACTCTCCGGGGCCGTGTAACAGAAGAGGGCTTTGCTGGGACGGAGCTTGTCAGGCCTGGAATTGCTCAGGGGCTGTTGCTCCAACCCTGTGCGCCCCAAGACGAGAAGGGCATGTGCCAATGCTTGAGGGTCCTAACACCCCACAGATGAGGAAGGATTGGGGTGGAAAGGAGGAGGAAGGGATCCTGGGTGGGATGAACAGGAAATGGGAAACCTCTGGGGTTGGGTGAAGACACCAACAAGGAAAACCTCAAGGGTGGGGAACAGATGCAGGGAAGGGCAGGTGCAGAGAGCAGCTGTAGACAGGTAAGGGAAGAAATGGTCTCTCTTTCCCAGGGAGAGGTTTGTGCCGCCCTCAGGCTTCCTCAGGAAGATGGCCACACCTGGGCACTCCTTAAGGGGCGCAAAACTTCTCTTACCCAGCATACGGCCATGACTGTGTCCCATTATCTGCAGCCCCAATGTTTTGTTAGATCTTATTCCTCCCCCAATAGAAGCCATTTTAGCCAAATAGAGCAGTCTGATCTCACTATATTTGTCTCCTAGGATGCATGGACTCAGTGTTGTTTTGTTTGCAGGACTGCTGGGGAAGGCAGAGCTGTTGTCCTACCACCGTTCCGGCACCGTGGCTGGGCAGGCGTGGAACGTCCTGAGTGTGTCCTCTGCCCTACAAAACCTCCAGGAGCTGAAGCGACACGTGACAGAAGCTGTTCAGGTTGCCCTTTAAGCTGTGGTTCAAAACCTGGCAGGGCCAGCAAGTTTCCTTAATTAAATGTTGCACATTCCAATAAAAAGAATTTGCAAAAACTGCTGTCCACTGCATCCTTGAGCTACAAGAGCCGAGGGGTAACATTTTTGTTGATATCGGTCTGTCTTGAGAGACAATGGAGTGCACCTCCAGGGGTGAAGTCAAACCACTGCATTAGCAGCCCTGAAGTGACCTCTCCAGAGCACAGGCCTGGGGGCAATGTGTGTGAAGGTCCTGGACTACCCAGGTGAGAAGACCCCTCTTTTGGCCTCGCTGAGGGGTCCAAAGGAAAGCAGAGCACTGAGGCAGGCTGCAGAAGAGCTACCTCCTGTGGTTGGCATATTTTTTATCACAGGGATTTATCATAGAATCATAGAGTTGGAAGGGACCCTGAGGGTCATCCAGTCCAACCCCCTGCAATGCAGGAATAGGCAGCTGTCCCAGACGGGGATCAAACCTGCAACCTTGGCGCCGTCAGCACCACACACTAACCAACTGAGCTATCCAATCACGTTTCCAAAGTTGGGAATTATTCATCAGCCTCTGCAAATGCTCCAGAAGAGTACAAAAAGTCAAATCTTATTTAGAACAGGATGAAGTGAAAACTGCCTTTGAGACTACAACTAAGAAATTACCATAGATGTAAGATTTCTGCATGTGCCAGGATCTCTTTTGATGGAAGTCACAAAAACCAGCCCCTTTCCCAAATAAAAATATCCCTCGCCTTCTGTGTTAAAATATTTTATATACTTCAACAAATCTTTCTTACACTAACAAGGCCTATTGTCCAAAAAGGTGCCAACAGGGAGAAGCAGATGCCTCCAAGCAAAGGGAACCCGGAGCTCAGCAGTGAAGGCGGAGCAGGAAGGTGGGGGGGGGGAGGGGAAGGAGCAGAGGCAGAGGGGAGGCCCTTCTCCCTTAGCAAGCATGGAGAGGACACAGTGCTGTGCAAGAGGGACGCTGCCCCCGCGCGCCCCCCCGCCAGAGCAGTCATCTTGAGAAGTGCAGGCATAGGTCGACTTGCTATTCTTTCGGATGGTGGAACCATTCGCCTGGCCTCCTTCCGTAAGGCTGAGACTGTAGGGGCAAAGAGAAGGGAGGTCTGGTCAAACTAGCTGGCTCTTCCAGATGGGAAAGGGGGGCTGCTGCAGTCCCCTTTCAGGTCCACTAAGGGGACAACCAGGTCATAAAGTACCTGCCACCTACTTTGGCTACTTGCCTTGGAAGACATTAGCTATGCCCAGTGTGGTATTCTGAGTCACAGAAGAGACCAAGAAGGTGCATGGAGCCTGAGACCACCAGGCCCCTCTTCATCTCATGAAGCATGTTGGCATAAAACCTTAAATAACACGTTTTCAGCTCAAAACGGGGCTCTGGGAAATCGTGAAAGGTTTCGGGAAAACCTCTTAGCCTTTCTTGTGCTGCAACATTTCCCTCCCACTTCTGCCAGAAACCATTTTGAAACTTCTTTTCCCTTTCTCTTTTTCTCACACAACCATATTGTTCAGTTTCCGTGAGTCTGCTGGTTCATGGAAGCTGCTTTGTGTCAGGGAGAGAGCAGGACTATAAAAGCGGAAGTGCCAAACAATTCGAGCAAGAGCTGGCCAAGCTGCTTCTTGATATTTCTCCCTGTGCTTTCTCAGCCCTGAGAGAAGTCCTAGGTGGAGATGGGTTGGAGAAGGCTAATCTGAAGGAAAGACTCTGCGGCCAGAAGGGCATTTGCTTCCCTCGCCAAAAGCTGAGCTGCCTTCTCTGGACTTCCCCACATGACAACTCAGCCCACATCAAGCGGCTTCCCTTCAGGGACTGCTTTTAGAGCCCAGGATTTTGGCTTACCAGGAAAATCCCTGCTCCTGGCTGTTCTGCTCTCCCCTAGACTGGTCTCCGGACATACTTCCTGCGGTTCTTGTCATCCACTTGCTCTATGTACCAGGTTCCTGGGAAGAGGTCATCCTTGGACCCGTGTGGGGTGTGGCCCACTGCAGAAAGACAAAGCAAGAAAGTGGGGTAGAAAGGCAGAGGGAGGGACCAGGACAATATGATGGGGGGGGGGGTGTCACCCACAAGACAGGCTGTGAACACTGGCTCTTCCTTCCACCGTGTGCACTTGGTGATCGGAGGTGGCTTAGGTCTTCAGGAGATAAGATGTTGGGGAAGGCTACTTTAGAAAACTATTACTCCCTTTCAAGCCTCCTAGAGAGAGACCCATTTATTCCCCAGAGCAATGGCAAATCTGTGTACTGTGTTGAAGTGCCTTTAGAAACTCCACAGAAAGAAGAAAGTCCTTTTATTCCAGAGGGTGCCTTGGGGCTGCTTTTTCTAACTGCATTTCCAAGAGCTGAACCTGATTTTATATTTCCCATTCCCCATAAAGAAACGTAACTTAATGAACATCATTGAAAATGCTCTCACCAGAAATGCAGAGCTCAAGTGGTTTTTGCAGGAGACATTACTAAGCAAGCAACTGGAGTTTAGCTTTCTCCCTTCAGATCTTTCCTGCCAAAGCCAGTTTACCTTGTGACAATGTCTTTCCAGGTCCTAAGGTAAAGCTTATTGCACCCAGGTGCACAGGTAAAGCTGCTCACATGCTCACCCAAGTGATGAGTGTCCTCTCTGAGTTTCATGATCTCAGAAAACTTCTCTGGGGGAACACATTTCCGGGAGTCCAACCGAGTCTCCAGATCTGAAAGACTGGATACCAGTTTTTCCAGAGGGGAGCCTGGAAGAGAGAGGGCACACAGTTTCCCATGAGAAATCCTGCTGCTTCCAGGGACCCCAGCAACCCCAGATGTCATGGGTGCAGTAACATTTCCCCAACAAGGCAATGATTTTGGGGCAAATGATGAATTAACTGGCCTGGTTAGTTACTGTGCTGAAATGAGCCAAAAAACTGTGAAATGTGCATTTGGGAGGCTGCAAGAAGAGCTTCTGGGTGTAAGAGGATTGGCCCCATGCAGCGTCAGCACTGGGCACCATTGGGCAAACCCCAGGACCCCAGCAGGACCCACCAATGCAGACACGAGACCGTTCTGGGGTCCTGGTTCCTTTTATATTTTCCCTTCTCCAGGGTTCAAAGGAGCACTGGGCACCAGCATTTTCATTCCTCCAGTGCCCCAGCAATGTAGAGCACAAGGACTTTTGCAGGCAGCACAAACTCAGGATCCTCTAGGAGTTCAAAAAGTTTGAGAAGAGGAAAGGGAGCTCTACATCAAGAAGGGACTCACCTGGAGCAGAATTCTGGGTCACCCTCAGGGAGAACATGCTGGCTGCCAGTCCTGAGCCATAGGAGAAGACCCCAATTCTAGAGCCAGCCAGCTGCTGGGCAGAGAACCTGCCGGGATTGAGACCAGAAATGTCAGAAAGGAAAAGAAAGGGAAAGTTTCCTTTCTTCCCCAGAAATCACACCAGGCAAGGGCAAACATTGACGCCCCTGCAAAAATCATTACCTTGCAAAGACTTTTCCAGGTGGTTGCAGTTTTGGGGTGAGGTGCAATCACACACTTGCAAATTCAGCTGCCACAATTCAAGCTGATTTTGTGTTCTTCCACAACAAGCCCATTCCACACCCACCCACACCCAAACTGGCCTATTTGTGATAAGGCAAGTGATGAGAAAATGCACAGGGAAGTGCAACATTGTATAACCCTGCAAACGAATCAGGATGAATGTTCAAATAAACAGGCTGCCTTGAGGCAACCTTCCTGGCTCATCCTGGTTTGCGGGGAATGGCAGGGGTAGTGTGACAGAGGACGTGACGGAAACATGTTTTGGAAGGTTGTGTTGCAGTGTACAGCAGACGGGCAAGATGTCCAGCGGGTGGCAGGGGGTCAGCAGCATCCATTGCTCCTTGGCGCTACTGTCAGAGATTTCTACACAGCCACAGTCTCCTCTCCCTGCCAGGCCAAAAGCAGCCCAGGAGCTGGGGAGAGGCTGGGAGGCCAGATCCAGCTGCCGATGAGCCACCCCAGGTTTAAAGTTTTAAAATGCCACCTTCTGCTTGAAAGCTCAAAAGGCAGCTAGCAACTGTCACAGGTTAAAACCAACAAATGCGGTACTATGCAAAACCCCCAAAATATAATGAGCAGAAACAGGAAATGTTTTCATGGGTATGTGAATATAAAAGTAGGGCTGCAAGGGAGTGGGGGCCACAACTTCAGCCCTTATTTAGCAGAATTAATCACCTTGGCTAAGAGGATTTTTAATCATCAGAGAATAATGGCTTCACCCATACCAAGAATCCTGGGAATTGTACTTTACAAGGCGTGAAATACAGCTCCCAAAGAGTCTTTAAATGCATGGTGTGTTTGCAGCCCTTGCTTTCTGACCAAACCTTATGAAACACGACTATTTTTGCCATTTCTGTGTCCTCTTCAGCTGCCCTGGATTTGGAGTAGGAATAATCCATTATTGGAAAGAGCAGGGGAGGCGTGGAAGGAAAGAGCAGGGGTGACTTACTGGGCCAGGAGAGATGCGAGGCAGCCGTACACTGAGGGAGTGTACATGTTTCCATTGCGAGCAGAGAGGAAGAGAGAGGGCTGTGTCTTCTGGCGGAACAGCTCCTGGCTGGCCTTCTGGAAAGCTCTGTCCACCTCCTTGCTGGAGTAGGTTTCTTCCAACTTCACCTTACTAAAAGGGAAGGTGGGCAGTCAGTCCTGGCCCCAATTGTGGAATACCCTTTTCTCGGGGGGGGGGGGGAGGGGAGGAGTGAGGCCAGGGAATGTGCTCTCATACACAGAGGCATGGGGGTGCACTGAGCTTTCTCTGCTTGGCTTAATTTTCATAAGCACATTTTAATAAATTAACATTTTAAAAGAGCCTAAAACTTTCTCCATAGAGGTAGAGGTGGCAAGTTCAGTTAAATTCAAAGCTGGCAGAGAAATAAACATTTTCTGGAGTTGTCCTCCTAGCCTTGCTGGAGGCGGAAGCCTTTCTTGCTCCCCCGCTCCTATCAGGCTCAAAGTACTTTGCTGAGAAAGACCCCACTGCATAAAAGACATTTTTTAAAAATCACTCGACTTTCAGTTGCTTCAGAGGTTTGCTCAGGTTAATTGTTAGTTTTACAGGATTAATTATTAATACTGGGTTTTGCTTTTTGATCCGTTTTCAATCTTTGAGAAAAGTAATTTATAAATATCTAAACAAATAAAACAGATAAATAAGCTTTCCCAAAGAATATAATTTTTTTCTATCGGCAAATATGAAGGAAGTTGAGGATGTAGTAGGTGCACTGAAGGCTTTGCTGCTGGCCAATGGGTGGCTTCGCATGGGAAGATCAGCAAAAGACAAGACTCTGCCTCAGCAGCCGGCCGGTGAGTTTGACAATGGGTGAATACAAGCTAATGGAGATAAAGGAACTTCAGGTGAATTTCAAGTCAGGGATGAGAGCTAAGGGTTATCATCTCTAAAAGAAAAGAATACCAGCCCCGTCTAAGTCCCAAGGCAGGTGTGAGCAGATGACTGGCAAGGTCTCCTTTGTTTTCCTGGAAGTGCAAGGTCAGCCAACCAGAGGCAGGTGCAAAAGACGGAGGGAGGAGGGGCAGGGGAGACCAGATCCAGACACCACACCCTCTCTCAGAGGACAGAGCCATTGATCTACCATGCGGCATGAGCTGCATCCTAGGACAACCTGCATACGCAAGTCCTGTACATCTGAGTTACTTCAGATAAGAAAGCCTAATCATTTTAATGGGAAGAGGGGCTTTCATTTTTACATTGGAGCTAGTCCACTGTAGATCATGCAAGGATCTAGATCTAGATCCATCTTCTGCCCATCCCTGTCCTGAAGAACTTCTAAGAACAAGCTTGCCCCCTGTCCCACTATCTTCTCCAGTTCTTGGGTGATGTCTTTAAAAGAGGTAAAGGTAAATGACCCCTGACAGTTAAGTCCAGTCGCGAACGAATCTGGGGTTGCGGCGCTCATCTTGCTTTACTGGCCAAGGGAGCTGACACAGTTTTTCTGGGTCATGTGGCCAGCATGACTAAGCCGCTTCTGGCGAACCAGAGCAGTGCACGGAAATGTCATTTACCTTCCTACCGGAGCAGTACCTATTTATCTACTTGCACTTTGACGTGCTTTCGAACTGCTAGGTTGGCAGGAGCAGGGACCGAGCAACGGGAGCTCACCCCATCACTGGGATTTGAACCGCCGACCTTTTGATCGGCAAGTCCTAGGCTCTGTGGTTTAGACCACAGCGCCACCCGCGTCCCATACAAAGCCACTAATAAAGGAAGCTACACTCCACTGACCTGAAGTCCTTCAGCCCCTTGTAGACCCCACACTCGACATCAGGGTTGCGGGAGGCCAGGAAGTCGTTCAGCAACACCCGCGCCAGAGACTTCTGCACCAGCTTGCAGAAAGGTGTGTGGAAGATCATGAACTGGAAGTCTTCGAGGGTGCACTGCTTGGAGATCCCAGCTGCCTCGGGGGTAGAAGAAAGCATCAGAGAGATGGAGCCCCCCCCCCACAACTGCACCCAGGAAATGAGACGTGCAGTGGAGACACACCACCTGCTCAGCCCTAGCATGCAAGATGTTACCCCCCAAAAAATAGCTAGCACAGGTGCCTGCTTTTCGTAGTGCCAACCCACACACTCCCACCCCCAACTTCAGTTAGGATTCTCCTGATCTGCTGATAATGTGGTGGTGGGGGGTAGGTAATCCAACATAAAATTGGTGGTGGTGGTGGGGTTATGTTAACCACCCTGAGATAAAAGGATGTCACATAGAGGAGGGAGAAAGGTTGTTTTCTGCTGCTCCAGAGAAGCGGACACGGAGCAATGGATCCAAACTACAAGAAAGAAGATTCCACCTAAACATTAGGAAGAACTTCCTGACAGTAAGAGCTGTTTGACAGTGGAATTTGCTGCCAAGGAGTGTGGTGGAGTCTCCTTCTTTGGAGGTCTTTAAGCAGAGGCTTGACAACCATATGTCAGGAGTGCTCTGATGGTGTTTCCTGCTTGGCAGGGGGTTGGACTCGATGGCCCTTGTGGTCTCTTCCAACTCTATGATTCTATGAGATTATTCATCTTTGGATGAAGGGCAGAACACACATTTAATAAATTATCATCATAATCAAATTGCAAATTACCCAACTGTGGAAGTAAAGAAGCATTTCTGGATGTTCTGGGGACCTTTTGCTTTGGGGTTGTTTTTTTTAAAGGGAGGGGATGTTATCCTGGGGGCCACAACCACCTTTTCCCTCACCCCCTACTTCTGTGGGCAAAGTACTCCTCAGTGGCTGTGGGGGAACACTAGGTGTGACACACAGCTCTCCCCCCAATCCACTCTTTTGTGCATGTTCATGTGTATTGGAAAACTCACAATGGACCTTAGGTTTCTGGAGCTCAGGGAGGGTGGGGGACACCCAACCTCAATGTGAACAGAGCTTCCCACTTGTGTAGATAGGAAAGACGGAGCCAAAAGGGGCCCCCCCACCAGGTGGGGCGGGGTTTCTCCCTCAGCATCCTGGCTGCTGGCTCACTGAGAGGGAGGCTGGGAGGTTGGCATGGTGCAAGCACCCTGGCAGGACCAGCGTGAGGGCTTTACCAGTGCATTTGAGGCACACCGACCTCCTTGCCGCCTGGCCCCCTCCCGCTTCCAGTAAGCAACAGCAACCTAAGTAGAGCAGCTCCTCCCCAGCCAGCAAAGCCCTTCTGGACAAGGTTCAACCAAAAGCAGTCGGGTGCAAATGAACGTGCGAAGAAGCACGCATGGACAATTGAGACTGGCGTGGTCCATGTGCACATTCATGCTCTGGTGCGCCCACAGCCAGGAAGGAAGGCACGGCTGACTGTTCTCCCAGCCACGCTGACCTTTCTGCCACTGGCTCTCGATCTTCTTGCGATATGTGGCATAGCACCGATCCAAGGCTCGAAAGTAGCACTGGATGGAGAGCTGCCCATCCACCACAGGATACTCTGAAGCCAAGTCTGGCTTATAGAAGTCATAGACATGTTCCATGTGGGTCCCACGAAGACCTTGGCAGGAAAAAGTCACAGGTGAGCTTGCGTGGTGCAGCAATAATTCTGCTAGCACATTTGAAAGATAAGCAGGGTCCGGCATGGCTCCAGATTGGATGGGAGACCACATGGTGAGATTCCTGCATTGCAGGGGGTTGGACTAGATGATTCTTGGGTGTACCTTCCAACTCAACTATTCTATGACATCCCAGTATTAGCAATGGCAACAAAGGGAATAATCCTCCAGTTATTAACCATTGCACTTGAGGTAAAACCCACAGATACCCCTAATAACTTTTTCTTAGTCTGACTGGTGCATTTTCTGCTTGACACGCTTGCTTTATGCTTCCAAGCTATGCATCTTTCTCCCAGGTTCCATTTCAGTGGCATCACTTTGTCTAGGAGCAAAGATGCAAAAGGAGAGAGAGAATCTACTGGGGGAGTACAAAAGATGCTAAAGCAAAATTCCACCCTGAGCCAACACTAGTGTTGCCCAGACACTGATGCCTATGTCCAAAATAAAAGAACCTGGCTAGCTCTCTCCCTCTCTTTTCTTTTTTAACTCAGGGAGCTCCGAATCTCTGGCAGCTACTCTAAGAGCTACTAGGCATAAGGGCCTATTCTCCTCCCTGAAAAGCTTGCCTGCCCCTCTGAGTGCAGAAAAGGAGGAGCAGCCCCCCCCCCATTTGCAGCTTTCCATATGAATTCCTGAAAACTGTGTGAGAGAGGATGCATTTGACTATTTTGGCAGAGATGTGCTGCTTTCCCACCAGCAAGAGCTCCATGAATCTCCAGCCCAGCACACCACAATGGACTCATTCATGCAGGCTTAATCTGTTTGCATAGAGGGGCTTATGAAGCCTGGCAGAAGTCCATCTTTGACTGCCCTGGTTCTCTTCTACATTTCCACTCAAGCAAATCCACAGATCGGACGTCATGTCCCACTTGTTCTGTGCTGCATGGATGTAGTCAGAATTTTCTTCTAGGGGGGCAGGCTTTATGTTAGGGGGGAAGAACCCAGTTATCTGTGATGCAATTGGTCAGTTAGTTAAGCATTTTTATTTATTTTCTTGGTTGGGGCGGCAGCTGCCCCCCTTGCACCCCTCTGGCTATGCCCACGTCCAGTGGACCTGTTGGGACACAGGCAGTGTGAACGTGTCAGCCACCCAGTCTGCCCTCTTGCAGCAGGAGGGGGGATGTTGCATGCTTCCCCCCCCATCCCGCCCTCCCTTTTTCTTTTTCTTTTAATGGCATGGTTTCAACTGTGACCATAGCACCCGCTTCAGCCAATGCAAAAAAATCTAATGGATGGCTGGTTGGTTTATGGATAAAATCCCTCGCTATGCAAAGCAAGCTTTTTAGACACGGCCGCGTTTGGATACTCACCTCTCTCTAAGGCCAGGGGAGCATCTGGTCCAACCAGCATAGCTATGGCTCCAGCACCACCCGTTGGCCGCGCATTCCCGGTGGCATAAACAGCAATATCGCCACAAACCACCAAGGCATAGCGTCCTGGCATGGGAAGAGCATCACCAAAGTGTCAGGGCTGATGACGAGGAAGGCAGGAAAAGCTCTTCCTGGTCTGCGTCATCATAAAAACGTATCAGTGTTTCACTTGCAGGTGTGAGCTGCAATATAGTAACAGCTACTTCTGAATCTCTGTCTGTCTGTCTGTCTGTCTGTCTGTCTGGCACTTCACACAGTCAGAGCAGGGGGGGGAAAGACAAATCCCTCCCCCCACCAGCTTACAGTATAACTACGACAATAGTGAGTGAAGAGAAGTACTTAAAAAGAATGGCAGCACCTTACAACTGAAATAACAAGCACACACACACTGTTCATAGGCAATCCCATGTAAAGATCTCACACATCTAGTTTGGCCCTGAGGACTGAAAAAATAAATGGCTGGCAGAGACCATGCCTGATACTACAAAGCAAAGGTACGATATGAAAAAGGAGAGCCTTCAGTCCTTATTAACCTACTCATACTCTCCCAAAATGCTTTAACTATTTTTCCAATAAAATGCACAGCAAAACAGGCATTCTTGTTTTCTGCTAAGCCAAAAACACACAGGTTTCTAGGTATAAGAGTTTTGCAAGTAGCAATGATGAAATGGTGAACCCACCATCTTTCTCCTTAGGCCTGTTAGACATGGAACAACCCCCAGAAAAGAATTGTTCTGGACTTGAGGAAAGCACAGCTGTCTTCCCAACAGCCAGAGGCTTCCAAGGATCTTCTGAGTGGCGCACAAAGACAATGGACTACCCCTCTTGCTTGTCCCCAGAATCTGGCATTCAGAGGCACCTCTGAACATAAGAAAAACCTGCTGCAGTGGCGGACGTTGGGGTCTCCTAAACTTCAGTGCCTGCCTCTCATGCTCTGTTCCTCTAAACCATAGTTGCAGCATCCCCCGCAAAGCTGAGGTTCCGTGCCCAGTGGGACCAAACCGGTTGCATCCCCCTAGATCCGCCTCTGGCCACCTTGCCCAGCCTCCTCTTCTCACAGGGGCCGCCCCGATGCCTGTGGGAAACCAGGGAGCAGAACTAGAGCACAAGAGCAGCCCTCTCCCTCCCAGGGTCTCCAACAACATGTCAGCGATGACAGTGAATTTGTGGTGGATTTATACCCGACCACCCATCGTTCTGCTTTATTTGTCGCTCTGGGATGCTTCCCAAAACATTGCTGCCTCATTGCCACCTGGAGGGGGCACTCTAGCACAACAGAGCAACAAAGGACAGACCAAAGAAACAAACAAAGCCTAGAACATTTGTGGCATGAAAAGTTTGAGGGCTTCATCATGACATTATGGGACTTGTACCAGTTGGAGACAAAGCAGGAAGACCACCCAACAAATATTTTGCAGGCGCAAACAGTATCAGGAGTAGGATTGCGTATAACCGCCCCAAGACCACCTCAAGCATAAACAATATGAGAACATTGCTGTTTCCTTTTTGTAAACTACTTTGAGGTTGGTTTGCTTTTACTACCAAGCGGTATATAAATTTTAATAAACACATGATCATAAATGCACAGTAAAGAGGGCTGAAGGCACAGATGGCAGCCCGTTCCACATGTTCACGATGCCTTGTGTCTTCACTTTTGCCTGTCCTTTTGCCTTCCTGCATCTTCTGCCAGTCAATGGACCAGCAGATGGGCAGAATCATGCAGGAAGAGCCTCAATCAGTGGAAATGTATAACTAAGGAAGGGAGACCAGACTATGGCCTTGGAGGTCTTTCTTGGGTGGGGGCCTGCCCCACTTGACCCAACAAAGGAGCCTCCTTTGATCATAGGTTTACAGCAGTGGCTGCTTTATTTTCTAATAAAATCCCTAAAACTGGTCTTTTCCATCGCTATGGAAAACTGAGCTTCTCACCATGGTCCCTATCAGTTCACATCCTGTCTAGGGATCTCTATTGTGTTAACATTTCCCAACTCTGCTGCATTAAATCAGTTATCAGTCCATAAAGGGACCTGTTCCATTTCCTCTAAGTTTACTCAGAAACCTTTCAGGAGGAACTTCGTCAAAAGCTGAGCATGGGAGCGCGAGGACACATCTCCTCCCATATCTGCAAGGACTGAGAAAATTTGGTCCATTGTAACTATGATTAAGCTAACTTATTGTAGATACATACACTCTCTTTCCTTATAATTCTTTCCTTACAACCTGAAAGGCAGGACTTCTCTTTGCAGAAACCATAATAATAATCCTACTATATGCTTGCAAAGTTTATACAGATAATTGCCTGGCTCTCTTGGCTCTCTATCTCTCTTTAAATGGTTTTCCTTCCAAATCTCTGGTCAGGAGACGTATTTTTGTTAGAAGACCTATGACTCATATGTGAGAACGAACCACTCGGCTTGAACAATCTGCAACTCTCACTCAGATGTCTCTGGGAAGACTCTGCAATATGGAGGAGAAGGGTTGCATCTCTGCACAGTTGGCATTCAGAGGCAAACACTTCTTGCTTTGTTCCTTTCCCGTATGCTTGTGACAGAACTTAGCAACTAGATTCTTCTGTACTGCTAGAAACAATGGCCTTGTGTCTCCTTGAGGTTTGTCTAGCAAATAATTTTTTTTTAGACAGGGAGCAGTTTTAACCTCTTTACTCCCGTAATACAGGGGTGAGGATCTAGCAGGTGGGCCACCTGATGGGAGGGCATACCTGTCATCAGGTGTAGGGTGGGCGTGGCTTGGCCAAAATAGCCTTGCAGGCCAAATGGTGGACTAATTAGCCTGATGGGCTGGAAGCCCCCCATCCCGGCTGTAACAGGTGTTTCTCTAGCTCTTTCTTCCCCCCCCCCCCCGGCTAGCTCTCCCCTGGTCCGCTTCGCTTCTTGTGTCCCTCAGAGAGACTCTGGGAACTGTGGTGCCGCAAGAGAATCTATAGAGTCTACATGGCACCCACCAAATTCCTTCTCCTCCAGGAGCACAAAAGTGAACCGCCACAAGCTTTCTTTAACGTGAGGAGAATGGGCAGCCCCAATGTCTCCTGATGGCAGAAGTATAAAACTGCAAAATGCTACCCTATAGCAAAAAATGGGACAAAACCTGCCTGGGAGAGTCACTTAAGCAGCATGCCTTCTCTACAAAAAGCTCCAGGAATAGGAAGTATCATTTGCTGAGTGGAGCCAAGAAACGTCACAAAATGTTTTACTCACAGCAACTTCTGAAAATTCCAAAGGAGGGAAATTTGAGGGTGATTCCCACACAGTCCAGCCTCCTAAACATTTCCAAACTGTCTCCTGGTGTGAGACCTCAGGCAAGTGTTTGTGGCCCCGAGGCTTCAAGTTACACCACCTGTTATTCTGAGACCGGCTGTGCCTTACATCCATGCCTTAGAGATGGGGTGTAGGCAGGCATGGAAGGATATATGACTGGGCCAAGTCGGCCCTGTGGACGTGCCTGGATGCTTGTTTTTGGAGAGGACACCTTCCAGGTGGGGGTCTGAGGGGGTGCCACTGAGACCACCATCACTTACCATCCCAGGAGCTGGACTCAATCCAGTCAGCTGCGTTGAAGAGGGAGGCTGTTCCTCCATAACAGGCATTGGTGGTGTCGATGCCTTCAACATCTGTGTTTCCTGAATCTTCAAAGAGCTGCATCAGAACTGTCTTGACAGCTTTGGATTTGTCAATGATGGTCTCTGTGCCAACCTCTAGTCGGCCGATGGACTCCCAGGGCAGGCGGCTTCGCTCTACCAGACGCTGCACGACTGTCAGGCACAAGGAGTTGATGTCCTCGTGGGCCGCACAGAAGCCCATCTGCTTCTGCCCCAGGCCCACGGTGTATTTTCCAGCCTCCACCCCATCATACTTCTCCAGCTCAACCTGATCCACATACTGGGAAGGGAAGTACACCTCCAGAGCAAGGATGCCCACATCATTGGGCCAGGAGGAGGAGGAGGAGGGATTTGCCTGGTGGTGCACAGAGCCTTTGGAGAAACTGCAAGGCAAGCAGAGAGAAGAGTTTCCTTACAGTCTACAAAGGAAGAGGATCTCTGGCTGCTCAGACAAGATGCATGTAACCAAACAGATTTCCCCGTGGCATTGCTTTCCTCAGAACTGTCTCCATGGTGGATCATCACAAAGCAGCTGCACTGACCTCTCCGCAGAGGTTCAAAAGGGATACTTGGCCAGGGGGTCGGATTTAAGCCCTGGGCCCCGAACAGTGCATCTCCTTCCGACTGAGCTCCCTCCCCAGCTCTGCTTACAATTGCATCCTAGTGAGCAGTGCTTCTCAAACTTTTTTCTCTGGGCCACACTTTCAGAATAAAAATTTGCTCATGCCACACCATTTTTTTTAATTGATAAGAAAGAAAAGCATTGGAAAACAAAAAGAAACAACTCCTAGCAGTGCTTGATTTATAACACAGAACACAACTATTTTATCATATGATCATGGGGCAGCCAGAAAGCATCAAACAATGCAGCTACATAAGAATGTGGATCATTCCCAAAATGGATTGTTCTTCAATCTTCTGGTCACCCTTGTCCTCCTCTCCTGCCACACCCTCTGAAAACCAATGCTAGGGAGAGACTCTAACATCCTGCTCCTAGGTGACATATCAGAAGGCCTTCTCCCTGGGCAGCCAGCTCTGGAACTCTTTCTGCTGTGAAATTTAGACACCAGCTCAAAACATTTTGGTTAAATGTGTTAATCATTCTTCAAAACTTCCAGCATTTCTATTTTTATGTTTTATTGTACCGTTCTTCTGAGAAAGGCTCTTGTAGGATTCTCTGTCTTTCCAAAGGCAGGTAAAAACCTTTGAGAAGTTCTGAGAAGCAGCATCTCTGTTTTTTGCTTCTGTATTATTTCCTGCTTTGTTGTTGCTGCTATTGTTTTTATTATGTACATCCCACTTTTCCTCCAAGGAGCTCAAGGTGATGCGGATGGTTCTTCCCCCGCCCATTTTATTAGCACAACCACCTTGTGAGGTGACGGGTTGAGAGTGACTGGCCTAAGGTCACCCAGTGGTTGGGATTTGAACCCTGATCTCCCAGGCCCTAGTCCAGCGGTCTAACCACTGCACCACACTGGCTTTCATTCTTCTTTCTGTGACGAGTGCATTGTGCAATTTTTATTGCTGTTGTTTTTACTTTATAAACTACTGGGGTTTTTTCCAGAAATATTTTAAGATTTAAAAAATGAGATGTGACCTTCTGCCCCACCCCCACTTTGAGGAATGGCTTTGAGCTGTGATGCCCCTTAACATTGTCACCTCTGCTGCAACATGGACCCGGGTGCCGTCTGATAAACATTCTTGGTTCCTTTGCCTCCTCATGGACCTCCTTACCATCCCATATCCTAACCCTAAGATCAAGAGATTCCTGTGTTATAATCTCACCCTGCACACTGACTCTTATCAGGAGGTTAATGTTTAATTGAAAGGTCTTTGATTAAGCTGATGCAAGGTCAACATTTCTGGACACAGCTCGAGTTCAGGTCCAAAGGGCAAATGTATTTTTTCAAACTAGATTTGTATTCTTGCCCTTTAACAAAACCCACTCTCCATTTTATGAAAGATCCACCCCCCTGTTTTTGTGCCATATTGGTTTATCCTGCTCTTGGTTTTATCATAGGAAACTGATCTAAGAAATTTGTCCAGGTTTTAATGTGTTTTATTAATTTTTTGAGCTTTTTTGGTAGCTCATTTGAGTTTATTTTATAAAGAAAAGGAGGGCATAATAAATTTAATGATCAGTCAAACAAAAAAGCAAACATGTTCTCCGGTTCCTCTGCTAGTGGCTCCACTTTGTCAATCCACTTTCCCCCATCACTCAGTGCCTGGTCTAAGGTCAGTTTGGATGCAGAACGTTTTCTCCCTTAAGGGATTTGTGTGCAGGAAGGAATACAGGATCACAATGTTGTGAAGGAAGCCCAAGTCCATCTATGGATTCTGCAGTCAGGATCCTCTGAGTAGGAACTTTGTCTCCTACTTGTGGATTCTGCCTGCAAAACACTTCTGTGAAAATGTTTGCTGGATACAGGCTATTGGTGCAGCTAAAATATGGGAAATGCAGCCAGAAATCAATATTTCTCTTTTTGTCATGTAGAAAGATTTTCATGAGTGCTTTCATGAGGCACCCCTTGAGCTATTGGTTCCTTTGTACTGGCAGCCTCCAGGTATGAAAATCCACAAATACTCTCCCAAAAGTTGGAAAGGAACTGGTGGTAATTGTTTTGGAAGGTGTGACATAAAAAACCCCACAAAAAACTGGTGTGGTTGTTGTACGGAAAAGGACTTTTCAGAATGGCCTGTTTTCCATTTTCAAGTAGGATGCAGGTGAGTCTAGAGAAAATGTAAACCTGCTGCCTTTTGTTAACTCCTGCATTCCTTAGAGCATCATCATTTTGTCAAAGCCTTCTAGGCAGATCATTTATATATTTCAAAACTTGTGCGAAATGTCCTGTTTACACAGATTGAGGCTGTCAAGGCTGCCCCCTCCCCCCTCCGGCCTCCTTACCTGTTTTGCTGCACCATTGCTGGCAAATGGACTCGCCCAAGGGGCCTTTGCAATGTCCGTTTCATCGGCCAGCAGCGCTTTGCATTGCTGAAAAGCCGGAACATTTTCACAGGCTGGCTGGAGAGTCAAGCTAAGCTGGGGAGTGAATTCCTCGCAAACCCCACTGGCTCTTAAAGCGATTCCCTGAGCCCCCACAGCAAAGCCCAACTAAGTCCCTCCCCACCCTTATCAAAGAAGCCAGTGGGATGTACTTCACTATTTCCCAACTAAAGGTCATAGCACACTGACGGATCTAACAGGCTTGAACACCTTTTTTTGCAGCATTAGTGCTGGGGATTCCTTACTTTGAAGACACCAGTCATCTCTAAGCCCTGAGCCTTGCTACCCTCAGGGGTTCCCATCCCAAGGAAGAGCCCTTCTGCTTCTTCCTCTCCCTTTCCACCCTCTGCAAGAGACAAAATGCTCACCTTCTATATGGTGTTTTTGCCAGCTAGGCAAATAGCACTAAGACAGAGGTATTTAGATCAAGAAAATGCCAGGGAGGAAAAGTCTCCTCTGCTAGCCCCTCACATAATGCAAGAACCGAAGAAAAGCCTGGCAGACAGATCAGGCCAGTGGCCCACCTGGTCCAGCATCTCGTTCTCACCGTGGCTGAACAAATGCACATAGGAATCCCGCAAGCAAGAGCTCTTTCCCACCTGTGGCTTTTATTTCTTAAATTACTATACCGCCCTTCATCCGAGGGTCCCAGGGCAGTTTTCAACAGAGAACCATGAAAATAAATAAAATAATAAATAATAAAATAAATAAATAAAATTTATTATTATTATAAAATAATAAATAATAAAATAAAAACAATAGCCCCCACCCCCACCAGTTTAAAAGGCCAAAGCTTGATTAATCAACCAAAGGTTTCCAGCAACTGGGATTCAGACGCCTTGCTGCCTCCAGCTGAGGAGGCAGAACAGAGTCACTGTGGCTGCTAGCCATCGGCAGATATTGACAGCCCTCTCCTGCTCCTCCAAGACGGCGCCCCATCCTCTTTTAAAGCCATCGTGGCTGGGGATCATCACTGCCTCCTGTGGGAACGTGTTCCATCGTTTAACTATGTGCTGCATGGAGTCCTTTCTTTTATCTGTTTCTGCAATAGCACTGCTTATGCTGGGGTTTCAGCCATGCCTATGTTTGCAAAATAAAAATGCTTTTCATTCAACTGCTGTCTCTAGCTTTAAAAACATAGGCGCCCTCTGACAATGGCTGCCTGTGGACGGCTAAAAGGCTGCTGGCTTGGCTAGGGCCCAGAGCCCCTCAAACCAAGGGAGGGGGCAGAAGAGGCTGCTCTGCACAGCTGCCCCTTGGGATGTGGCTGGACTCTAGCTCCCAGGAGCCTCAAGCAGCACGGCCAGAGGGCAGAGAGGGCGGAAGCTGGGGAGGCATAAGTCCCCCCCCCCCAGCTCCAAAGACACCCAAGTCCAACTCCACCAGCAAGGCCTGTGTCTAGGAGTTCAAAAGCAGCAGGACGCTGGGTTGTCCATGGGTGGTTTCATTGAGAGGATGAAGGCACCAAGAAAGGAGGTGGCGCAAGGATGGCACCCTGAGGTGGCTCTGTTTTCTTTTAACACACACTTGAGGAACAGGGTCCAGTTGAATGCAGATTTCAAAGCAGGGGCCCAGCTGGGGGGGAGGAGGAGAACAAGGAGCTGCTCTGCTTCAGAGGAGGCCCTGGCAATTCAGGGCAAAGGCCACACAGGAATGCAGGCGAGAGGTCAAGGCAGCAGATAAATTCTGTTGAAACTGCCAAGTAGCATGTGAGTCTGAGGGATCAGAAACGAGAGGAAGTTGCTAAGGATCAGGACGAGGGCTCTCACCCGCTGGCTGCCAATGAGAGCAACAAGGGTGAGGAAACACTGCAGGGCAGAGGTCAGGTGGCCACACGCCACCCCTGCAGGATGAGTCGGCTGCCTTTCTCAGGGCAGAGTCGCAGGCTGATCTTGCTCAAGAGGGCAGCTGCTTTCAGATCCTTCTGATTTGGCCCTCCTGACAGGGACTTTAGACTCAGTCCCAGTAGGACTCTACAAGAAGCCTTCCTGGAGCAGATCCAAAGTTAATCTCGCCCGGCATCCCGTCTCCCACACTGGCCCATCCAGACACCCTGCGAAGGCTTGAAACTGGACTTGAGTTCAAGATGGGCTCCCTCTGGTTGCCCAGCAACTAGCCTTCAGAGGCACTCGAGCTCCAATACTGTGGCCATCGTGACTGGTAGCCACCCATTACCTTATGAGTTTGGCTGATGTCCTTCTACACATTGCCGGCTGTCCCATCCCATCCCGTGTGAAGAAGTGCCTCCTTTGGTCTCTCCTGAATCTCCCACCTCTCAGGTTCATTTGATGACACACACTCCCTGCCAAGTATTATGCAAGAGGGAGCAACTCTTCCCTTGACCCACTTTCTCCCTTCCATGAATAATTCTATAAATCTGTATCATGTCTGCCCCAAACTTAAAAGTCCCAAATATTATAAGCTTTCACTTATTTGCATAAATATTTATATGCCTATTTATAAGTATACATTCGTACCCTGGATCCCGAATGCCTTGTGAGTCGAACATTTTGGCTCCCAAACACTGCAAACCTGGAAGTGAGTGTTCCGGTTTGCAAACATTCTTTGGAACCCGAATGTCCAACGCGACTTCTGCAGCTTCTGACTGAGTGCAGGAAGCTCCTGCAGCCAACCAGAAGCCGCGCTTTGGTTTCCGAATGTTTTGGAAGTCGAACGGACTTCCAGAACAGATTCCGTTCGACTTCCAAGGTACCACTGTAGATGCAAATGAATAATGAAATATATCTCACCACAGTGGAGAAAACCATGGCCAGATTCCTACCCCCATCTGGTCGACTTTGCTTTGGCAAGTATCAGAGAAGTGGGAAAGCTTTTTCTATGTTGCCCTGGGCTCCTTTAGTAAGACTATAGGGCCACTGACTTACCGGGGTGTGAAAGTCAGGAGCCACCCACAAGTAATAAGAACTATGGCAGAGAGAGTGTCAGCAGATGAGCTGTTAGCCATAATTGTATTTCCATACTAGAAAAGGCTCAGCCTGTTGAATTTCTCCATGCTGCACAGCTGTTCAAAGTTGCAAGAGGCCTGCTCTTCCCCAGCACAACCTCTAAACCAAGAAAATACCTCATGTTTCATGGGCTAGAGAGGGGGATATAACAATATTTAAGATATACAGCTTAAGATGTACATGCTTTGATAAATTCAAGAGTTGCTAAAAAGCAAGCTGTACATTCTAAGAGAATTTGTGGTGGTAATTTATATACAGCTCTTAATAATATGCCAGTCATCTTTTTCTTATTTTAGCAAAAAGGATTTAAGCCTCTGATATTAATATATCCATTTAAGTGTTTGTATCATCAACTCACTCCCACTTGGCCCCTTGGGGGAAGGAAAGCAGTTAACCCCCCTTCCCTTTTGACTGCTGCTGCCACCCATGTAACAGCCCCTCCTCTACAAGGCCATTTCTGGCTAAGAGGGACATGGAGGATTTGCTCCAGGAAGAACCCAAGCTCCCCATAGCTCCCAAAGCAATGTGTGGCTCAGAAAATGGAATGCTCTGGAATGTGCTCTTCTGTCCAACTGATCTAAGGACTGCTCTTCATCTTTTCCTTTGCAGCTTTGAAGCTGCTTAGAAAGGAAAGGGACAGGATGGGGAGAAGAGCCCTTGTAAAATTGTAAGTAGTTTTTTTTTAAAGTTTATTTAGTTTTGCCACAGCCTGATGCTTATCAGCTTTCCGTGATGCAGAGGACAGCTTTTCCCTGCTGGCACCACGGTTGTGGAATGCCCTCTGGGCTCACCTACAAGATCAGCAGCTCCATTCTGCTGGCTCGTGAAGACAAAACCTGCTGAGGCAAGCATTCCCCTGAGCTTGACCTTGCTGATCTGTTTTGTTTAACTGTTTTAATTGCTCTGCTTTTTAACTGTCTTGTTTCATTGTCTATTTTAATTATGGATGCTTTGCTGGAATTGTTTCATTGTGCATTTTAATTATTTATGGACTTTATCATTTATAACTACTTAGAAGAGATTTTGGCATGCAACAACAATGGCAGCATAGTGGGATTCAGTAAACAGTAAGAGGATTCAGTTCCATACTATAAAAAGTTGGTGTGCTTTTCTTTAATTGCTAAATTCCCCAAAAGGAAAACAAATAAATGAGAGAGAGAGGCACTAACAATGTCTTTATGAAGGAAGGACACACACCTGTAACAGGGAGTTGCAACAGTATATCCTATATCATCAGCTATAACCACATTTGGAATTTGAAAACCAGCCCAACCGTGATGAAACCAACCTTCATATCATACTTGTTTTCTTGATAGGAGCTATATGTGACATTTTGGAACATTACAAATCCATCTTGACTAGGTGCATTCACTACATTGCAATTTCGCCATAATACTGGAACCACCAATCTTCCAAGCATTTATGTACTCTTCACGGGACATCCAGCCTTCTGCAGCCTGCTGCCACTTGGCTGCCGAGGGACTCGCTGAACAGAGCCTTCACGGTTGCTGGGATCTAGCAGAGCTTGGTTCCCAGTTGCTGCAGAGCTGCTTCTTGTTCTCCCTACAGGAAAACAAAGGGATGCTAACTGCAGAGCTGTATTGTGACCAACTATCAATTGCTAGCATTGCTCAAATACATAAAAGTTGCCTAAAGTTTATCTATAACACGATATACTCTTAAGTTTGCTCTTTTTTGCTTTTATTATTTAATTTTAAATAGCAAGTCAAACATTAAAAAGCAAGTTAACACATGTAAATAAACACAAGCTGTCAGATCAGTAGTTAACATAGCAGTCCATAGATATCACTCTTACTATTTAACATAATATGAGTAATTGTCTCTTGTCTTTCACTCTGTCTTACTGAGGATCATGAACAAAACTATACTTCACCTAGTAAAGTATGTGGGTAATATTCAATATCAGTCATAGAGTAGACCCAATGAAATCAATGGACTATTCTGAGTATTACCAGTGTCGGATATCATCCTACAGGTTTATGGCATCAAGAACTTTGTTGTTTGAATAAGAAATTTTAAAAGCCAATTTCTTTATGGACTTGTGATGTCAGCCTTCTCTGACCCATATATTTATTAATTTGGTCCTATATGCCAGATAACATGTTTTTAGTACCTAAGAAGGTGGATCAGTTTCCCCACCCAATTATGGGCAAGTGGTCATACAAACTGTGGTCATTATGAAATTCTCACTGGGTGCTGCTCATTTAAGGTAACCAAATATTATTACTAAAGGATCTTTTGGTAAATCATGACCAACAATACTGCCAATAGTATTATTTCTGCCATTAGAGTTCCAGTATTTGTGGAAAGGTTGCAGAATGTGAAATATGTTTACTCTAGAGGTTTGAAAATGCTAGCACTGATCTCTCACTTTGTCTTACTAGTGTTAAATACCATCTGCATAGTAGTTGTGAGCTACAGTCTGACCAAATATTTAAGGAAAGCAGCACACTAAGCCAGACTGAAAGAGGAGCTCAGCTCAGCATCAGCAAAGGCTTGCTTCATCCATCAACACTTATTCAGAATTCTTATCCTAAACTTTACTTTTACAAACAGTAACTATCCAGGTAGCATAACCAAGTCCACCATCCATTGCCTCTGACCGTCAATACTCCCTGCAACTGGCAAGGGACCTAAAGCCAGCAGAGCTTCTCTCTGTGTATTCCTCCCTCTTTCCTCACCATACAAAAAAAAATATTCTCCCTGCTGACATCATCTTCGATTCTTGGCGTAAGAGAGAACTGCTCTGCATTTAGGAATCCTGGGCCTCCTCCAAAATAGCAGGACTATTGAAAGCAACAACTGCACAACACACATTGAATTTCCGTTAAAAGCAGAAAAGCTTGCACTTCCTCAAACAATTCAGCAACTCGCATCCCTCCCAACTGATTGGTGGGGCTGAGATTCAAGGACACCTTTTGTCTAGATGTCCCAGCTTCTCCTCACTGGGTCCAATTTTATGACAAGGTATTTTTTTTCCTTACCATTTGCATCAAAGTGAGCAACTATGTGGCATTTCAGGGTGAAAACATAGTTCTTCTAGTACATAATAATTTATCACAATGCTTCAGAAGGGTATATTTCAGATTCCCAAATTAAGATCTAGCAACTATTAAAAGATGGTATTCTATGCTCTTGGCACTATAATACTGAATGAAGGCATATTCAGGCCTATCTAAAAAAGTAATACTGTAAGCCTGCAACTTACGCGGGGGTAAGTTGCAGGGGATAATGCCAAAATCACATATAGCCAAAGCAGACTGGATGCAATGGCAGGTGGGAGTGCCAAAGACTTTTTTCCCCAGATGCCAGCCCCCTTCCTGCCCCCATTTTTTAATTTTATTTTTATTTTTTGCCAAGCACATAAAACTGAATGTGCACAAGTTAAATCATGCATGTAAGTTGCTGGCTTGCTGTATTTCCAAACAGCATCCACAGAAGTTACTGCTACACTAATATAATATAATGTAACACTAATATAACAATGCATATAATAGCACATTGTGTCACCATCACCACGAAGTGGAGAGAACAAGGTAAAAGCAAATCCCGAGCCTTAGGATTCCCTGGGACTCTGGTTTCCAGGGCTGGAGGAAAGGGGTGGGGGTAGAAGTTGATCATCTCTGGCGCCATCTCCCAAGGAAAGCTATACATTTCTTTGTCACTTCACAGAATCACAGAACTGTGGAGCTGAATGTGACCACGAGGGTCATCTAGTCCAACCCCCTGCAATGCAAGAATTTTTTTGCCCAGTATGGTGGTACCTCGGGTTACAAACACTTCGGGTTACAGACTCCACCAACCCGGAAGTAGTACCTCAGGTTAAGAACTTTACCTCAGGATGTGAACAGAAATCACACGGTGGTGGAGCGGTGGCAGCGGGAGGCCCCATTAGCTAAAGTGGTACCTCAGGTTAAGAACGGACCTCCAGAACAAATTAAGCTCGTAACCAGAGGTACCACTGTATTTTCCCCTTTCATAAGAGTCCATCATTATGTAGACTTGGAATTTCTATTCTGAATGTATCTATCCAAACCCTTGTGCTATTTGAGAAATTTGTTAAAGTCCATCCTTTATGTTATATACCAAGAACTCCAATCAAAATCTTAAAGCAGGAATCAATCCTCCTCCGATGTTACTGTCTATATGGAAATCTGTTTCTATTCCTCTCCAAGCCTTCCTCCTCCTCCAGAATCCAGTCTCTCTACATGACCCTCAACCATAGGAATCAGTCAGCCTTTCAGGGAATCCAGTTTCTCACTAGGCTCTCCTGCACACACATAGAATTGCCAGATACTTTTCCCCAGAGGGTGAAGTGGAAGCTGTAGGAGGAGGCTTTTCATGTGTACAGAGAGGTAAACCCTTTCTACCTCAAACATGATTAATCCTGATGGGGCAGGTGGCTTACCAATGGCCTTTACCAATTCAGCTGCAGGGTGGATCCCTCGACTTCCCCAGAGGGCATTACTGCTCCTAAGTGTCTGCAGCTTCCTTCTGCAATTCCAGCCTGAGACCTCATGCTTCCTGGTGCACACAGAGCACTGAAGGGCAAACAGCAGCCAGTGCCAGCTGCAGATAAAACTGCTGGGGAGCAAGGAAGGGACAAAGCAGAGGAAGGAGTCTCTCTCCTGTGTATATGCAATGGCATTCTGAAGGGGACACACACACACACACACACACACACACACACCACTCAACTTTATATTGCCACACGCATACAAAACTGCTCTTGAAGGATTTGCCCAACGTTTTCAAGAACACTGAATTCAGGTATCAAAAAGAATGGACAGAACATTTTAGCCCAGAAGTCTGAATTCCGAAAGCTGAAGATTCCAACGCTGTATCTTAGGATGAACAGGTTATGCAGTATGAACAGAAAAGGAAACTGTACAAGCACTCCAAGCTCAGTCAGAGCATCTCAGAAAAGTAACTCAGCCAGAGCTTTCCAGAGCACATGGCAGCACATGACAGGCTAATGCATTTGACAAAGGGGCCTCTGCACGCATTGCAATGTTCAGGTGTGTCTGAACCAGGCTATCGTGATCCCAAGTAGCAAAAGGCACATGGGTGGCACAATCCAAAATAGCTAAATCTATGCATGTCATGGGAAGGCATTCCTCTGTGGACGCAACCCAGTCTGCCTTTTTGGTCTTGACATGCAGCCCCCTCAGAAATCACCAGAAATTTGAGTCATCTCTCCTGCCAAGAAGGTGCATTTAGGATACGCCCAAAAGAAAATATACCGTCTTCCACATTCTCTTAATAAAGTGGTAGTAGTATTAAAAGCTTCCTATGTTTCCTCCCCCCAAATGCCATCTCGTTAAAACTGCAATGAACACTACACAGTGTTAATTTTGTATAAGTTAAAGTACTAACCACATTTACTTGGAAACAAGTTCTGCTGAAATCAATAGTACTTACTATCAAGTAAATGTGTTTAGGATCTGGAAACAAGAGAATAACTTTTTGAAGGGGATTCTCTTTTGGTCACAGAAGGCTGAATTAAAACCCAGTAGGTAACGAACACACACAACCTGCAAAAGGAGAGAACAGGCAGCAAGAAAACTGGAAAGAGCCAGGGGGACCTTGAGAGAGAGGCGAGCAAGCTGCAGCAGGACTGTAGACCACAGCCTTAGTAACTCTTATTCTCGGAGGTCGAAGGGCAGAGGAAAGTGAAAGTGGTGCAGGGATTTTACTGGTCTTGGCAGAGACAAATGGGGGCTCTAATTCAAAGAGAGACACAGAAACAAATTAGAAACACCACATGGCGATAGACACAGAAACAAACTTGCAAATGCTCAAATATCCCAACAAATGTTCAAAGATGTATGACCTGAATGCTTTGTTACACAGGGTTATGTAATCATGGCTATTTTTACTCCCCCTATACAATTCACAATTAGTGGAATAATTCTGCATAGATACTTGTATTATGATCTTTTAGCCAGGTTGAAGGATTTAGGAGGAAACAGGGGCTATATCACCTCTATTTCAATCTCTTCAGTTGTCTTCTTGCAATTCTAAGCCATTATGTGATACACCAAAGGATCATGATTTTGTAAATATGCATATGGATTTCTGTGAAATGTTCCTGATAAGATACTAAATGACAGAAGCATAAGCAATGCATTGGATCAATTTTGCTCCATTCTACTTACAAAGAGGCACATGCATGGAGAGAAGAGAAAACAAGGCTCACAGGGCAAGGTAAGAAGGAACCTGGTTCTGTTGTAGCAACCTTCATTGTGGCCGTGACCCCACTAGTGCACAATGCAGAATGAGGGGCAGGCACAGCTTGGGGGGATTCCTTTGTGCAACAGGGTGAGAAGAGATTCCACACAAGAGGCATTCGTGTTTCTCCCAGACTTTCCTCAGTCTCAAAATCATTTCCTTCTCTCAACAGTCCTAAATCACCTAAACATGTTCATCCCAACCACTGCACAAGACAACTCACTTACGTGTGGTTAGGATTTTGTGTTTCTGGAGAATGAACTTATACTGCCTTTGTTCTAACTCAATGTAGTGTGGTAAAACTGACACATAAGATCTCTTTAAAGAATTATAATATAATAATCATGATGTCATTATTATTCAACAACTTGCTTCAACTTGTTTTATGCTGCTCGCAAGGAAGCCAGTGTGAAATACTCCAGTTGTTATGGAGTCGCTCCCATCACCCCTGATCATGCTGGCTGGGGCTGATGGGAGTTGTAGTCCACATCATCTGGAAGGTGCCCAATTGGCTGTCCTTCCCCTGAGCAAGAGTGGCTGACAGATGTTAACGCCTGATGCTTCACACCAGTTCTACCTCTGTGTAAAACCATTCACCGCCTGAATGGCTCCCTGAATTCCCTGCCTTTGGTATCTTTCAGGGCTGTTCAGGAACCTTTTAATATTGCTCAGGCTGTATACCTCCGCTAAGCCAAGGCTAACGATTCATCAACATGTATTGTCACAACGTTACCAGAAAAAAATACTGAAGGTCTTTTATGATCACATAAAATAGCAGGTCATATATTCCTATCCAACATTGCTGAAAAAGTGTGGAACAACGTGGGACCAGATACCATAAACATAGGAACTAAAATCTGAAACTAGTGATTTCATGTCAAAAATACCCAATGTGAAAAAGAGGCCTTGCTCCCAAAGGATTGGGAAGTGAGCAATAAAACATCTGGGAGATTGAGGCAGCAAATTATGAGCTATTTCATCTAATGCTTGATCCACCTATATTCGTGGAGACATTACTAAAGAAAGAAGCACAAGCTTTGTTCAAGAAGAGTTAGCATGACTTCTGCAAAGGCAAGTACTGCATCAGCAATCCTCTGAGTGTTAACAAGCATGTTAATAGAGGAAGATATTATATACCGTATTTTTCGCCCTATAGGACGCACCGTCCCATAAGGCACACCTAGTTTTTTGGGGGGGAAATAAAGGGGGGAAATTATTTTCCCCCCAGGCGCAGGGCTGGGATGGGGGAAGCCCGAGCTTCCCCTGACCCCAGCCCCCAGAGCAGGCAACTCTCCGCAAGCCGTGGGAGCCCGGCGCCGGGCTCCCGCACCTTGCGGAGAGCTGCGCGAAGCCTGGAAAGCGAGAGGGGTCAGTGCGCACGGACCCCTCTCGCTCTCCAGGCTTCAGCGAAAGCCTGCATTTGCCCCATAGGACGCACACACATTTCCCCTTCATTTTTGGAGGGGGAAAAGTGCGTCCTATTGGGCGAAAAATACGGTACTTTGAACTCACAAATATCCCCCACCATAGTGGCAAAAGTTTTCCTCATATGAATCAGTAACTGGACAAAGAACAGGAAAGAGGATAGATGCAGGATATAAGCTGCAGAGTCCGCAAGGATCTGGAGTGACTGGTAGCATATAATACAGTCATAATACAATCATATAGATAATTTATGATAGTATTTAATGATGCCAAGCAAATAACTCAATGAAGCAGAAAGCTAATCTGTGAGCAAGCAGGTAAGGGGAGGTAATAATGAAAAGGCTCCTTAGAAAGAAATTTCCTCCAGACCAGGGGACGGTAAGAAGATAAAATAAACAGTTCAAACAATTAAAACAGGGTCCCGAAACCCAGAAAGGCATCCAAATTGCAAGTTGAGAAGCTTAAAAAGTTAAGAGTGTTTTTAAAAAACTTTTAAAAATAGCAGATAAAACCTTTTTGCAGGAGCAACGCCATGCCTCTTTATATAGATCCCCGCTGTGCCACCATCTTCCCAGCTAATCTGTATTTGATTTATTGTAAATTATTGCTTATTTCTGAAGCTTTTTAATAGGTTTTATTGGATTTGCTGGTTTTGTAACTGGATTTGTAATGGCTTTTAGCCAAATACAGTAAACGATTGACTGAAAGTATTTAAGTAATTTGAGTCAGGCGTACAGCAGTTCAATAGGAGTAAGTGGGGGAAAATAATTTCAACTTCTGTACACTGATGAGGCCTGAACTGGTAGTGATTAACCAGGAAAGAAATTGGGAGGCCATGCTGTACCTCTCAAAGAAGATGTTGACGCAACTGCTGTGAAAAAGACAAATTCCAGGCTTGGGGTTATTCATTTATTTATTTAATATGTCCACCGCCCTTCCTTGAAAGCAGCCCAAAATGCTTGTCTGGTGAAAACATGGGTGTCAATTTGGGCCTCTGCCTTCCTGTATGTAATATGTAATATGAAGCCTTCAGCTTGCTAGACTGTTTCATCTGGGTACCAGTTTGAGTCTGTAATGCCTTCCATAATCAATTGTGTGGTCATAGCTGAGAATACATTCCTGGTTGACCCATCTCAAAAGGATACCGTGATGCTGGGAAAGATGCAGAAGAGGACCACCACCATGGCCAACGGAGTCGGAACACGATTCCCATGGGGAAAACTAATGTACTTGGAACTTTTTGGTTTAGAAAAGAAAGGAAATTATTGGGGTGGGAAAGCATGATAAAAGTTTATAAAAATTATGCATGTTGTGGAGAAAATGGATAGAAAGAATTTTCTTTTAATATTAGAACCAGAGCCATACAATGAAACTGTGTGGAAGTTAATTAAAAATGAAACGTAGGAGCGGTTACTAAAAAGCGTTCTTCAAGTAGTCGTTAGCTGGAAGCGCAAAGTCAAATGATCATCTGAAGCCAAATAGATGAGACCTGTTCTCCGGATATTATCCAGGTTTTGCAGCAAGCTTCATCAGTCCATAATGCTAAATAATATAGAATACAGAATGGCATTCCAGTTACAATAAACGAATGCCCACAAAATACATGCAATACAGTGGTACCCCGGGTTATGCACGCTTCAGGTTACATACACTTCAGGTTACAGACTCCGCTAACCCAGAAATATTATCTCGGGTTCAGGTTGCTTCAGGTTGAGAACAGAAATTGTGCTCCGATGGTGCGGCAGCAGCGGGAGGCCCCATTAGCTAAAGTGGTGCTTCAGGTTAAGAACAGTTTCCGGTTAAGAACGGACCTCCAGAACAAATTAAGTACGTAACCCGAGATACCACTGTACCCATTTCATGTTGTATTTTAATCACTCAACACGGTTCATTCAAGACAAAAGGTACTCACAGGCACAGCAAATGTAGAAACTATAGAATGTAGAAACTGGTGGTACCAAACATTTAAATACATTACAGGAGCTTGGAATCCTGTTAAAATATAGAGTTTGGGATATACTCACCGTATAAGACTACCCCCGCCTGCAGCAAACTAGAGGCAGCCCCCCCAAACCTAAAGCCCGCCAAGCGCCGCCGGGGCAGAGCGTGCACCCCTCCGCTCCCTCTGCCGTCGCAGCAGCAGCAGCCCGAGGTGAAGCGAGTGAGCCCCGATCGGCTATCCAGCAAAGCGACGGGCTGCGCTCACCGGCTGGTAGTTCTGGCAGTTGTGGGGATCCCCAGCTCCTTGGAGCCCCGGCTGAAGCCGCGCACCACCTTGCTGTGGGAAGGGGAGGCTGCTGCGGTTGCTGCTGCTTCAGGAGGCAGCCAGGGATGGAGGGGGGGGGCAGCTCTTACCATCCTTCTGCCCGTCGCCATTCCAAGCTAGCTGCTGCTGCCACCACCTGTCACCACCATATCCGGCGTATAAGACGACCCCCGACTTTGGAGAAGATTTTCCGGGGTTCAAAAGTTGTCTTATACACCAGAACATACGGTACTCACAGGCACAGCAAATGTAGAAACTGGTGATACCAAACATTTAAATACATTACAGGTGCTTGGAACAATGTACACATGATAGAGATTGTTGATAAGGAAATTTGTATGGTATTAGCAAATTTAAAAACTCAATTAAAATCACAGAAAATGGACAAGTTGGTGCAGATCACAAAGAAGGAGTTAAACACTTACACTGATGAGATTAAGAAATTGAAAATGCTGAAATTTAATAGGGATAAAAATGATTATGCCCATAACAACATATACTGGTGGATTAACTACGATAAAAAGGGTAAAATACAACCCAGAAGACACGACAGCACTAGACCACGTGATTTCCCTAGTGATTATGATTCTATCAGTGCTTCCAGCCACAGTGACAGCAAGACGGAGAGAGATAGGGAATTGCAGCTTAGGTCCAGCAGGCGTTATCCGGGTTTTCGCAGGAGCCGGGGAAACGCCCGTCCAGGAGGAAAGGATTCCAACAGAATCATTAGTTGTTAATTTGTCTTCTGACGAGTAAATTAGAGTGGAAATATACTTGAGAAAGGATTGGGTTTTGTGCCCACACCTGGCTATTCCGCCTTTCAAACTCGCGTAGAAGTTCATAAAAGCTTAGAGACTTTTTTGCAGGCGAGATATACCAGCCTACTCCATTGAGAATTAAGTCCCGGTTCAATCCTGTAACACACAATCATTATATCCAAACATATCAGTCCTTAGTGTTAAGAGATATAGAGAAAATTGAGTGGAAGAAACAGTATAAATCCTTCAATTTGTCTAGGGAAGAAAACAATATTCTTAAAGAGATTTCTGAGAAAAAACATCTCGTTATTAAACAAGCGGATAAGGGAGGGGCCGTTGTAGTTTTAGATAAACAAGTGTACGAATAGGAGACCTTTCAACAGTTGAGTAATCACAATTATTATCAACCCGTGAATTATGATCCAACTAATGAGGTCAGACGTAAGCTTTTATTGGTAGTCCAAGAGGCGTCTGCCCTTGGTTTAATATCTGACTAGTTAGCTGAATTCTTAGTACCAAAACATAGTCGTGTTCCAATTTTTAACACCCTCCCCAAAATTCATAAAGGTATTTCCCCCCCTCCCGGCCACCCCATTATCTCTGGGTCTGGGTCCCTCCTTGAGCCTGCAGGACAATTTGTGGATTCAATCCTTAATCCTTTGGCAATAAGAACCCCATCCTACATTAAGGATACTCAACATTTGATTTCTGTCATAGAAGGTCTCGCTGTTCCCCAGGGTGCTATATTAGCTACTTGGGATGTTGAAGCTTTGTATACTAATGTTTCATTGGATAGATTACGTTCCCTGGTTGAACAAATACTGCATGACAATAAAACAATAATCAAAATGATCCGCTGGTACATGTGTTATTCAATCTGTTGGACCTTATTCTTGAAAATAATTTCTTCCGCTTTAAAGAACAGTTTTATTTTCAATGCAGGGGCGTGGCAATGGGCGCCCGCTGTGCACCATCCCTCGCCTGTGTCTATATGCGTTATTTTGATTTAGAATATATTTTGAGTGATTCGAATCCATTTAGGAAGCATTTATTGGCTTATTATCGTTACACTGATGATCGTTACATTGATGATTTTATTTTTGTTTTGGACCAGGAATTTGACATTTGGTTAAATCAATGTGATACAGCTTTAAGATTTACTGGTAAAAAGAGCGAGGTTAGCATTTCCTTTCTAGAAGTTGAATTATTTTTTGTTACTGAACGTAATGAACATGTCATTAATTTACACCCATTTTGCAAACCTACTGATAGGAATTATTTACTTCATTATCATTCTAACCATCCAGTCCAATTAAAAAAAAGTCTCCCGTTCAGCCAATTTATTAGACTTAAAAGAAGCTCTTCCCTTGATACTGATTTTTTTAAAAATGCTGCATCCCTTTCCTCTTCATTAAGAGATAGAGGCTATCTGGAGGAAATAATTCAAACGGCCTTTGAAAGGGCTAAAAGAACTTCTAGGCAGGAATTGTTGGTACCGAAACCCAAAAACAATCAGGACAGGATTTTTGGTTCTATAGAGTACAACTATTTATCTTCTATTGAAAGAGTGATTACGAGACATTGGCACATCATTTCCCATATTCCAGGCTGTGAAAATGTGCCCATTTTAGGCAAAAGGCGTACTAGATCGCTTAGGGACATTCTTTCCCACACTGATCTACTTGAATACCATAATGACGACCCACACACTACGCTGAAAGGGCATTATAGATGCAGTCATTGCACATGTTGCAGATTTGCTTTGCCCGTGAAATCATTTACCAACACAATAAATGGGCGAAAGATTGTCTTGCAACAGTTTACAAATTGTTCTACAAAAAATTGTGTGTACTGTATCTGTTGTGCTTGCGGGCTTTTATATGTAGGTCCTGTGCAATCAGGACTGGAATTTATGAGCAAAGGTCCAAAATATGCAATGCTTGCCTACACGTTAGTCCAGCATTTCCAGCAAGAGGCCCATACTGAAAATGACCTGAGTTTTTTCATCCTGTGGACTTTAAAAAAACTACCTTTTAGATCTGTTGATATATGAAGAGCCTTGATACAAAAAGAGTACAAATTAATATTTCAACTAGGAACCTCGTTTCCAAAAGTTTTGAATACTGAATCTAACTCTGGTTGTTATATATAAATCTATTTTTGTGTCTTTGTTTGTTTAGCAATAACAGGGAAGTGTTACTATACCTTTAACCATGTATGAATGTGATTACTGATTCCAAGCACCTGTAATGTATTTAAATGTTTGGTATCACCAGTTTCTACATTTGCTGTGCCTGTGAGTACCTTCTTTCTTGAGTGAAACGTGTTGAGCGATTAAGTAAGATACAGCATGAGATGGGTATTGCGTGTATTTTGTGGTCGTTCATTTACTGTAACTGGAATGCCATTCTGTATTATTCCATATTATTTAGCGTTATGGACTGATGAAGTTTGCTGCAAAACCTGGATAATATCCGGAGAACAGGGCTCATCCATTTGGCTTCAATTGATCATTTGCGCTTCCAGCTAACGACTACTTGAAGAATGCTTTTTAGCAACCGCTCCTACGTTTATGGCTTTGTGCTTCCAACGACTATTTGTTCCAGCTATGTTGACATACTTATTGCATACATAACCAGTACAGCAATGAGAGAGACACTGGTACATTCTATGTTTATGAGTAGCTCCAGGCTTGGTTATGCACACTGCACTTTAGTTTGCTCATTGTCTAGTTGGTTTATGAGGTTATATATTTATTCTAGTAAAATTGTTGTTTATATTCATAAGCCAGTTCTGGTGTTGTTGGAAAGAAAGTGAAGTCAGCAGCCACTTCTCTGTTCCAAGCTTTGCCTTCCAAAAGCTGCTTTTCCAAAAACAAAACAAAAAAGAGGACTATTTTGTGTGCACCATGTAATTTGATGCTTAATTCAGAGGAGCCACAAATGTCAGGCTGTAGCAGTTGCTCCTCTCCACACAGCAGCACTCTTCTCCTCAATCAGAAAGATGGGGGGGGGGAGAGAATGAGGGCTCTTTGCTTCTTTCAATGCCCCCTCTCAGCCTTAAAAAGCAAGATCTATAGTACTGACATGACAAGAGTGCTGCAATGAAAGTGGGGAGTAGGTGAACAGGAAGGCAAGAGCTGGGCAACTTTTAGCACAGCTCAGGGTGGTAGATACAATATCAGAGATGGGAGAAATTAACAAGCAAGCCCAAACACAGAATAAATCCAGGGGGTTGTATGTGGGACCTCGGCCTTTGATCGGTAGGAAGCCATCCAGTTAAGTGGTCTAGTGCTGCAGACTCCAGTACGGACCAGAAGAATTAACAGATCATTAGGTATGTGAATGCATGAATGAATGCTCACCAACATAAAACCGAGAAGGGCCCTGAAAGAAACCAGGGGGCAGCCTGTTGTGCTCAGCTCCCCACCTCCTGCAAGCTTGTCTCCTGTTGACCCACTTTCTTTCCTTCTCACACGTGTGCCTTCATCTCAACTGCCATGCCTTCCTAGTGGCTGAACAGCTTCCCCATAGTCTTCACAGTTTCTACCGCAAACTCCCCTTTTCTGTGCTGCCTTCTAGTACTTAAGCCTCATCTCCCTGGTCCTCTGCCTCCCGCTTTATAAAGCCTTGTTTTTGCCCTTCTCTTGAATGAGACTGTAACCCGGAAACCAGATTATATCCAGTGCTAAGCACAAACATGGTCAGAATTGCTGTGAAGGGGCCTTGGCTAAGAACAGACGGTGCTATGACATAAAATAAGGCCACCAAAGAACTACTGCTTCTGGTCAACATAGATATGCTAATTAGAAGCAATAATTCTGAACTATGACAGGCAAAATGTTCATTCCTGAACTGTAGAAGAACAGTAAACAAGGTGAACAAAATTGTATCTGCTCTAATAATGTAAATATTTACTGATCTTTCAAATGCTGCCTGAGAAACAGACATAAAGGGTGATCTGGAATGTATATCATATTGGGACTGCAATGCTCAATGCACTTTGACAAGTCTAATTGAAAATCAAAAGAATTTACTTCCCAAGAAGCCTAGTTAGGATTAGACTGAACGCAACACAAGAATGTACAGTTGCATTTTATTGAAAACTTGCTGACTCAGCAATAGCTCAGCGGCAGAGCTTTCCCTGACATCTCCAGGGGAAAAGACACACGTGAAACCCAGGAGAACAGCTGCCGGTCAGTGTTGACAACACTAAGCTAAACAAATGGCTGACTCATAACAAGTGGGTTTCCTATAGGCCCAGGAACACAATACCTATTACACAGGATGTTATCTACAGCTTAGAAAGTGGATGTTAAAAATCAGTAAAATAAATTCATGCAGAGAGTGGCACTTATTTTTTTAAATCTTTGGTTTTAATGGATTGTGTGCAAAAGAGGATCAGGCTTGAGTGATATAGAAAATATCAGAGGTCAGAAAATGGACATTTCACAAATTCTAATTTCAACTGCATAGCAAAGAGAGTAGTTTTTAAAATGGCTTTATACTTTCAAAGATGTATAACTTCAGTCAAATTTGCATGATTTATACAATTCTCAGTTTGCAACTTGAAAGCTATTAACATATGGAAAGAAAATGATACTGTAGGCCCATCCTAGCAGCTTAACATCTTCTTCAAATTGAGAACTGACTGTGGAAAATAATCAAAATGTAGGAGAGGTACTCAGATGCTTAAAGATACTCTTATCGTTGCTACTAGTTTCCCTGGCACAAATTAAGCCCTGATGAGCAGCAGCCTTTAACAAGCACCTCTTTCCTTAAGGGATGGGGCACCACTAACCTCGCGCTGGCTCAGGAGCAGCCTCAGCACTGACAAGCCTCTGCCCAGCACACATGGAGCGCAGCATCTGGAAAACAGCCAAAGGTGCCACATTCATGCGCAAAAGGTCCAGCAGAATCCTAGAAGGGAACATAGGTAGACATTAAAAGTACTATACTAACAATTCATTGTCTGGAAATTAGATTTCCTGATTTGTTTCTTGTTGCTGGGTTGCTGTTTTTTGGTTTTTCCCCAAAAAACGCAGACTGCAGTTCACATTCTCTTTAACTTAGGCCCTGTTTTATGTGAAAGTGTCATAGAATCATAGAATTGTAGAGTTGGAAAGGATCACGAGGGTCATCTAGTACAACCCCCCGCAATGCAGGAGTATTTTGTCGTCCAACGTGCAGCTCCAACCCACAACCCTAAGATTAAGAGTCACATGCTCTACCGACTGAGCTACCCTACAGTCAATTAGTCTTGAAACAGTTACAAAAGAATGTCCTGCAAATTCAAATTCAGTGCATAGGTATTATCCCCATATTGTGGACTGAACTGGAGACAATGTGGCTTACAACATACCATTTATCCCCACAATGTGCGTGAGCTTTCTGGTCTGTGGGCCTAAGATGACCTGTTAAGCCATGTCCACCCGCCCTACACCAGATGTCATATATGATGCCAGGTGTGAGGCAGGTAATGCTGTAGCTTTGAAACCCCACACAATCAGCTGATTGTTGGGTCTTGGAAAGTACTGAGCACTAAGCTTGACAATCAGCTGGTTGTCTGAATTTTGTTGGCTATGCCTTTGCATGCATGGGCAAAAACGCATCACCCGACTCCATTATGTCCATTGGCTGTCAGGTGGGCAGCCCTACCCATTTTTATTTTTATTGTTGTTGTTATATGCTGCCCATCTGGGTTGGCCCAGCCACTCTGGGTGGCTTCCAGCAAAATATTAAAACACAAAAAAACTCAAACATTCAAAAGTTCCCTGTACAGGGCTGCCTTCAAATGCCTTCTAAAAGCCAGAGAGAGGTTTACATGGGGCAGGGGGAGATAGCTCAGTTGGTTAGAGCATGGTGCCGATAACACCAATGTTTGATCCCCATACGGGACAAATGCGTATTCCTGCTTTGCTAGATGATCCTGAGTGTCCCTTCCAACTCTACAATTCTATGATCCTATGGCTGCCTGAATCCAGTTCCACAGCCCTGCCAGGAATTATCATTCATACTGCAACTGAGACTGACAGAGGGAGTGGTTTACAGAAAAACTTTGAGCATAAGAGGTAAAAAACGAAGGTCCTGGGAGCTCTGAGTAACACAGGCAGGAGTACCTCTCTGCTGCCAGCTAATGCTGACAGATTCCTTTAAGAGTGGTAGCTTAGAGCAGATGCCACTTATAGACTACTCTGGGCTCCCTGGCCCCATAAGATACTCTTTCCTGCTACATAATACAGTTGGGGGGCAGGTGGAATTCAAACATGTCACATGTAGTGCCTCTGACCCCTGTGGTTGTGGGAGCACTTAAGAGGAGTGCCAAGTGGCACTATTTCACTTCCTCTGCAATGTGGCATTGGAGGGAGTCACCATCAAGGGACAGGGGCCTCTGAACAGCTGGCAGGCGAAGGCTTCCTTGCTCCCACAGGGAACTGGTTGCTTTTAGTGAAGCTGGTGCTGTTCTGTCCTTGCTATGACTGTCTGTGTGGTTTCAAGAGATCTTCTGTGGGTGGTGTTAGAATTCCTGCTCCATGATTGCTGTCATGGGATTGTTGTCCTTCACATGACGGTGTATGTTTTGACTCCACAGAGTGGGAAGTGATGGAGACAGGATGTTTGTGTTCCTGTGTTCCGTGAAGTGGGACTATTGACCTTTGTTCTTTTTCTTTGCTGTCTGATGCTAGAGAGAGAGGGAGCCATGCTGGAGTGCTCTGTGTGTGTTTATATGTAAATAAAGTAGATTAGCCAAAATTCTGTGTTGCTGAGGTCTGTTATGCAAACTGTGAACACTCTGTGGATCCCTAAGTGTGCCTGTCTGTTGGCATCAGTTGCTGTGATGTTCGGGCAGAAGAAAGCTTTTGAAGCTCCTGAACAAAAGACCAGGAGGGAGAGAACATGCCAGTCAGGCATGTGTCTCTGCCAGGGTCCTACTCAAGTGTAGGACGAGCTCCTGACATGTGGGTGGGTGTTATTCTATGAATACTTGTTTTATTTAATAATGGGTTTACACACACCCCTCCAGCTTTTCACCTGTCCTTATTTATCTGCAATCTGCCTGGAGTCCCATCAGGGCAAAAGGCAGGGAGTAAAGAACAAGTGGCAATTACAGTAACCATAGTCTGGCTTAGCAATGCGGAGCCTTTGATTCCCCCTCCGGCTTTTGTGTGCCGCCTTTCGCGCGAGGGTCGCGGGGCGGATTACAAAGGCGCGTCACGTTACGCCCCCCCCCCGCTCACTTGAACACTTCCGGGTCGAGGCCGCTCCCCGCCGCCTGCGCCAGCTCGAACAGTTCTGCCTCTTCCGCTGTGAGGAGCTTCCTCCGGGGGCGAGGCGCTCCGGCCCCCGCCTTCGCCAGCCCCGCCGCCGCCGCCGCCTCCGCGCCCGGGCCAGACATCGCCCCGCCAGCCGGCGCGAAAGGCATGCTGGGAGCGTCGCCGCGCCCCGGCGCCCGGCCCTGCCGCGAAGAACTCTGGGAAGCGAAGTTGGTCGGAGGCGGGAGGCGAGTCGCGCACGCGCGGCCCCAGCGCGAAAGCCCCGCGCCGCGTCCTCCTCCCGCGCTCCGGGGGCGGCGGGGAAGCCGGGAGGGAGCAGCCCCGCGCGCGCGCTCAAGGGGCCGGAGGCCGCCCGACGAGCCAGGCAGCAGCGCCCCCCGGGCTGCCCTCGCCTGAGCCCTCGGTGCTGCTGCTCAGCTCCCGCTCAGTCTCAGAAGCGGGGGGTGGGGCAGATTCCTGGGGCGCCCCTCGGCCAGGACCCGCTCGCCGGTCTGGACGAGGCAGACATGGCAGACGTCAAGCGGGGGGGGGGGGGCGCTAGGAGGAAGGAGGCTTCTCCGTCCCTCCCCCCGCCAGGAGCGAGGGGCGGCCGCACTTACTGCGCTTATTGCGGCCTCGGGCTGTGGACAAGGCGCTTGAAAGAGGACAGCCAACCCCAGGGCGGGGCCTCTCTTAAAAGACTCGCCCTGCAGCAGTTGTCTCTTAGACCCTTGGCCTCCTGGCTTAGGCCTGGGGAGAGGGCCAGGCGCCTGGACAGAGGCCCTCCCTGGACCCGAGGCTTGTTCCTCCCTCCCTGGTCAGGTGTCCAAGGGGGCTGCGGCTGTACAAATACAGTGGCCCTACTCTTTCTAGCTTGTGCCAGGTCCTGGGGTGGTCATACTATGAGGTCCTGCAAGACTGTGTTCTACAGTGGTACCTCAGGTTACATACACTTCAGGTTACAGACGCTTCAGGTTACAGACTCCGCTAACCCAGAAATATTACCTCGGGTTAAGAACTTTGCTTCAGGATGAGAACAGAAATTGGGCTCTGGCGGCGTGGCAGCAGCAGGAGGCCCCATTAGCTAAAGTGGTGCTTCAGGTTAAGAACAGTTTCAGGTTAAGTACGGACCTCCAGCAAATCAAGTTCTTAACCTAAGGTACCACTGTACTTAAATTGCTGGAAGCCTAGCTATTTCTAAAGGGCCTGTCCAAAATACCTTCTGGGGGAAAGGAAATTTCCATGCAGATACTTTCCAAATTGCAACCCTATGTCAGAAATGAGCACCTCTCAGCTTAGGGCTCCTTCAAATGATCCATTTAATGAGCTTTCTTTTTTAAAAAATATATTTTTATTATCAATTTCAACATAACCAATTATCAAACCATATAATCACATACATTATTCCCCCTTTCCCCCCTCCCTCCCTTCCATCCCTCCCTCCCCTCCCCTACCAAAGACTTCCCTCAGCTCCTCTCTCTGATTTCTCAGCTCATATTATTCTCTGCGTGTTATAAAATTTTACATATCCTTACATTATCTATCTAACATGTTATCAACTAATAAATTTGTGTATGTTTATTCAAAACTTGCCAAGGAGTCCAGTTCATTTTGTTGTCTTTTTAGATAGTCATACCTCGGGTTGAAGTAGCTTCAGGTTAAGTATTTTCGGGTTGCGCTCCTCAGCGACCCGGAAGTAATGGAGCACATTACTTCCAGGTTTCACCGCTCACACATGCGCAGACGCTCAAAATGACGTCATGCGCGGAAGCGGCAAATCAAAATGCGCCGACGTGGGTTGCGTTCGCTTCAGAATGTGAACGAGGCTCCAGAACGGATCCCATTCGCATCCAGAGGTACCACTGTAATTTGTAAAAAGTTCCCATTCTTCCTTAAAGCCACAGTTGTCCTTGTCCCAGTTCCGCATAGTTTATCAGTTTTTTTGCCACTGTTCTTTCATTGGGATTTCCTTGTTCTTCCATCTTTGTGCTAACAAGACTCTTGCTGCTGTTGTGGCACACATAAATAAGTTTTTAAATTTTTTTTCTTGGCAGGTCTTGTCCTACAATCCCTAACAAAAATGCTTCTGGTTTTTTTACAAATGTCATTTTAAACATTTTTTTCAATACATTGTATATAATTTCCCAAAATTTTTTAATTTCTCTACGTTCCCACCACATATGATAAAAAGTCCCTTCTTTTTCTTTACATTTCCAACATATATTTGACCTGGTTTTATACATTTTTGCGATCTGTACTGGTGTAATATACCATCTATATATCATTTTCATATAATTTTCTTTCAAGAGAGAACAATCTAAATTTCAACTTTACTTTCCACAGTTTTTCCCAGTCCTCAAATTGTATATTATGTCCTATGCTGTGCCCATTGATCATAACCGGTTTGACCTCCTCATCTTTTGTTTCCCATTCTAGCAAAATACTATATGCTTTCTTCAGCAGCTTCCCTTCTTCTTTTGAAATCTAGAAGTTGTATAACTAAACCCTTTCTTATTATCTTCCTTGTACATCTCATGTAGTTGTCTGTAGTGTAACCAACTCTGAAAATGGTCTTTAATTTCCTCGTAATCTTTTAGCTTCCATTTCCCTTCTTGATCCTTCAGCAATTCTCTATATGTAGGCCAATTCCCTTTTTTGCCAAGCGGTTTGAGTAACAAAGCTTCAATTGGCGATAACCACCAGGGAGTTTTTTGTTCTACTAAGTCTTTATATCTCTCCCACACCCTCATTAGTGATCTCCTAATTATATGATTGTAGAATCCTTTGTGGATTTTCCCTTTCCCTTTCCCATACCATAAGTATGCATGCCATCCAAATCTGTTATCATGACCTCCCAAATCTAATGCTGCTGCCTTTTCCAGTTTTATCCAGTCCCTAATCCATACCAAACATGCGGCCTCGTAATACAATTTGAGGTCTGGGAGGGCAAACCCACCTCTTTCTTTTATATCTGTATCTTATGTTTAATCCTTGGCCTTTTGCCTCCCCCCCCCCCGACAAACTTTGAAATATCCTTCTGCCATTTTTTGAGGCAATCATCTTTCACCATTACTGGGACTGTCTGGAACAGAAAGAACATTTCTGGCAATACATTCATTTTTATCGCTGTTATTTTTCCTAGTAGGGAAGGTTCATTCTGCTCCATATTTCTAAATTCCTTTTTATCTCAGACCACACTTTTTCATAATTGTCTTTGTAGATATTTATATTTTTTGCTGTTAACCATATCCCTAAGTATTTTACTTTTTTATGAACTTCCATCTCAATACTTTGTATCAACTCTTTTTTCTTTTCTTCAATTTTTTTACTAATAGCTTAGTTTTATTTCTGTTTAATTTAAATCCTGCCACTTCCTCAAATTCTTGAATCTTTTCTATCACTCTAGGATTAGATTTTTTTTGATCCTCCACCGTAATTACTAAATCATCAGCATATGCTTTCAATTTAAATTCACCTTTTCCAGTTTTTACCCTGTGATCTCCTTATCTTTTTTTTTTATAAGATATTTATTAGGATTTTTTTAAAATATTACAATAAAAAATGAAAAAGAAAAAAAATACAAAATAAAAATGATTAAAAACACTCAAATTTTCCATTGCTTATTTTTCCTTAGCTTGTTTCCCGGACCTCCTCATACCTCCCTATTTTGTATTCCAGTTCAGTTTGTTGGTTCAGCAAATCCTTACCCTCTTTATTTATCCTAATCTTTGGTCTTAAAATAGTAACGTTAGATTTTTACCTCTTAACAACCCATTTTTCATATTCCCTTAAAGCATTACAGCTGGAAACCACTTAATTTCTATCCAACATCGTTCTAACATTCATTAATTTTACAATATTTCTGTAGATAATCTTTGAACTTCTTCCAATCTTCCTCCACCGACTCTTCTCCCTGATCTCGGATTCTGCCAGTCATTTCTGCCAGTTCCATATAGTCCATCAGCTTCATCTGCCATTCTTCCAGAGTGGGTAAATCTTGTGTCTTCCAATATTTTGCAATGAGTATTCTTGTTGCTGTTGTGGCATACATAAAAAAGGTTCTATCCTTCTTTGGCACCAATTGACCGACTATGCCTAGGAGAAAGGCCTCTGGTTTCTTCAAGAAGGTATATTTAAATACCTTTTCAGTTCATTATATATCATTTCCCAGAAAGCCTTAATCCTTGGGCACGTCCACCAAAGGTGAAAGAATGTACCTTCAGTTTCTTTACATTTCCAACATTTGTTATCGGGCAAATGATAAATTTTTGCAAGCTTGACTGGGGTCATGTACCACCTGTATATCATTTTCATAATATTCTCTCTTAGGGCATTACATGCCGTAAACTTCATACCTGTGGTCCATAACTGTTCCCAGTCAGCCATCATTATGTTATGTCCAACATCTTGTGCCCATTTAATCATAGCAGATTTCACCGTTTCATCCTGAGTATTCCATTTCAACAGCAAGTTATACATCTTTGACAAAATCTTAGTTTTGGGTTCTAATAGTTCTGTTTCTAATTTTGATTTTTCCACCTGGAAACCAATTTTCTTATCCAAATTATATGCCTCCATTATCTGATAATAATGAAGCCAGTCTCGCACATTGTTTTTTAATTTCTCAAAACTCTGCAATTTCAGTCTATCTCCGTCTTGTTCCAAAATTTCCCAATATTTCGGCCATTTGGCCTCCATATTGAGCTTTTTCAGAGCTTTTGCTTCCATCGGTGACAACCACCTTGGAGTTTTATTTTCCAATAAGTCCTTGTATCTTATCCAAACATTAAACAATGCTTTCCTAACAATATGGTTTTTAAATGCTTTATGTGCTTTGACCTTATCGTACCACAGATATGCATGCCATCCAAATACATTGTTAAAACCTTCCAAATCCAAAATGTCAGTGTTTTCAAGAAGCAGCCATTCTTTCAACCAGCAAACAGCTGCTGATTCATAATAAAGTTTGAGGTCTGGCAGGGCAAATCCACCTCTTTCCTTTGCATCTGTTGGTATTTTAAATTTTATTCTGGGCTTCTTGCCCTGCCAGACAAATCTAGAAATATCTCTCTGCCACCTCTTGAAACAGTCCATTTTGTCCACAATTTGCAATGTTTGAAACAAAAACAACATTTAGGCAATACATTCATTTTAACCGCAGCAATACGGCCCAGCAGTGAAAGCTTCAAATTAGACCAAATTTCTAAATCTTTTTTCACGTCAGCCCAACATTTTTCATAGTTATCTTTAAATAAGTTCCCATTTTTTGCTGTCAAGTTGATCCCCAAATATTTAACTTTCTTAACCACTGTTAAACCTGTCTCATTCTGAAACCTCTCTCTCTCTATTGGTGTTAAATTTTTCTCTAAAACCTTAGTTTTTACCTTGTTCAATTTAAATCCTGCGACTTGACCAAATTCTTGAATCAGTTCTAAAACCCTTTTGGTTCTAGATTCTGGCTCCTGTAACGTCAGTACTAAGTCATTTGCAAATGCTCTCAATAAGAAGCAACCATTCTTTCAACCAGCAAAAAGCTGCTGATTCATAGTAAAGTTTAAAGTCTGGCAGGGCAAATCCACCTCTTTCCTTTGCATCTGTTAATATTTTAAATTTTATTCTAGGCTTCTTGCCCTGCCAGACAAATTTAGAAATATCTCTCTGCCACCTCTTGAAACAGTCCATTTTGTCCACAATTTGCAATGTTTGAAACAAAAACAACATTCTAGGCAATACATTCATTTTTACCGCAGCAATACGGCCCAGCAGTGAAAGCTTCAAATTTGACCAAATTTCCAAATCTTTTTTCACTTCAGCCGAGCATTTTTCATAGTTGTCTTTAAATAAATTCCCATTTTTTGCTGTCATGTTAATCCCCAAGTATTTAACTTTCTTAACCACTGTTAAACCTGTCTCATTCTGAAACCTCTCTCTCTCCATTGGTGTTAAATTTTCTCTAAAACCTTGGTCTTTAACTTATTCAACTTAAATCCTGCAACTTGACCAAATTCTTGAATCAGTTCTAAAACTCTTTTGGTACTAGATTCTGGCTCCTGTAACGTCAATACTAAGTCATCTGCAAATGCTCTCAATTTGTACTGTTTGGCTCCGACCTGTATACCTTTAACCAACCCTTCTAATCATATTCAGCAGAACCTCCAGGACCGATATAAAAAGCAATGAGGAAATTGGGCAACCTTGTCTTGTCCCTTTTTCTATCCTAAATTCTTCTGTCACCACATTATTTACAATTAGTTTAGCCTTTTGTTCTGAATAAATTGCACTTAGACCGTTTTCAAAACCTTGGCCTACCCCCATCCCCTGTAGGTTCTTCTTCATAAAACTCCAGGAGATATTATCAAAAGCTTTCTCCGCGTCCACAAATATCAAAACTGCTTTAGTATTTATGTTCACTTCTAGTTTTTCCAAAATATCAATTATATTCCTCAAATTATCGGACAAGTGTCTTGGTCTTTATGAATCTCTTCCATCAATACTTTTTTCAATCTCTTGGCCAAAATGTCTGCAAAAATTTTGTAATCCACATTAAGTAACGATATGGGGCGGTAGTTCTTAAGCTGGGTCTTTTCAGTCTCTGTCTTTGGTATAAGTGTAATGTACGCCTCTTTCCAAGACTCTGGTGCCCTTTTCCCTTCCAATATTTCATTGCAGACTTCCTTTAGAGGTTGTAATAGCCACTCTTTCAAAGATCTATAATATCTAGAAGTCAGCCCATCCGGTCCTGGAGATTTGCCTAATTGCATGTTTTGAATGGCACCTTCTACTTCCTGTTCAGATATTTTATAGTTCAACATTAGTTTACTTTCTTGCGATATTTTTTGTAATCCATTTGTCTTCAGAAATCGGTCTATATCCATTTCTTTCTGTGGCCCTTGTGTATATAATTGTTTAAAATACCTCTGGAAACAGTTTCTAATCTCAGTTGGGTTATGTATATTCTTTCCTTCCACTTCTAAATTTGTAATAGTATTTAATTTTTGTCTTTTTTTCATTTGCCAGACCAGCAATTTCCCACATTTGTTAGCTGATTCAAATGTTTTTTGTCTCATTTGTTTAATTTTCCATTCTATTTCCTGATTCATCATTTCCATATATTGTACTTGATATAACTTTATTTCTCTCAAAATCTCCTGCGACTTTGGTTTTGCTCTCAATTTCTTTTCACTTTCTTTTATTTCCCCCCAAATTTTATCTTTCTTCTCATTTTGACTTCTCTTCTTTATTGCATTCTGTTGTATCAGAAACCCTCTCATGACAGCTTTACTTGCGTCCCAGATTACTCTTTTTTCTACATTAGTATTCATATTTATTTCAAAATAGTCTCTCAAGGTTTTTTGGGCCTTTTTATACACTTCATCATCTCTGAATAAGGTGTCATTCATCCTCCATCTGAAGGAGGCAGTTGATGTTAGTTTCAACTCCATCCTTACCACATTATGGTCGGAGCAGGTTTTTGGGCAGATTTCCACTTTCTTTATCTTTGGTGCCATTCCTCTAGTTACCCATATTTGGTCAATTCTAGTCCATGTCATCTTAGCTTTAGAAAAGAAGGTTCCCTCTCTTCCCAAGGGGTTCTTTGTTCTCCAAGTGTCCACTAAATCAAAATTATCTGTCATCTCAAAAAATGTTTTCGGTAGTCTACCATCCTTGGTAACTACCTGTCTTTGTGCCTTATCCATGTTTGTAGATACTACTCCATTCATCATCCATCATCCTTTTTTTATTTGACCGTCAGTCAGAAAAAAGTACATTTTGTCAATACACAGTTAAAAACACTACTCCATTCATATCCCCCATCAAAATCTGATTGTAATCCAAATAATCCAATAAGGTCTCATGCAGCTTTTTAAAGAATTCAGATTTCCCCTCATTCGGTGCATAAATTCCTACTATCAAAAATTTCTCTCCTTGAACTTGAATTTCAATTGCCAAAAATCTTCCTTGGTCATCTTTAAAAATTAATTTCGGTGATAGTCTCTCCTTTGCATATATCACAACTCCTCTTTTTTTAACTTTGTGGGATGAGATAAACTCCTGTCCCAATCTCTTATTAATCAGTAGTTTCCTGTGTAACCTTGTTACATGTGTTTCTTGTAGACAGATCAAGTCCAATTGTTCCTTTTTTAGTAAATGAAAAACACTTTTTCTCTTCCGAGGAGAATTCAAACCATTACAATTCCAACTTAACAGTTGCAGAGCCATGATGGGGTTATTTCGCTTTACCTCCAACTGTGCCAAGTGTCTGTTCTTGTTCTGTCAGTGGTGTCTCTTTCTCTGGACCATGCAATCCAAAAGATAAGTTTGCTATATCTAGTATTCCTTTTTCCAGTGCTTTTGGCTCTTCTCCAGATTCCACTTCTTTCTGTAGATCTTCTCCGTGATCCTTCAGAAACCTATCTTTGTCATTGACTGATCTTATTTTTATCTTTCTTCCTTTATATTTAAAGGACAGGCCTTGAGGGAATTCCCACCTAAAGATGATTCTGTTTCTTCTCAGCAGGGCAACCAGATCTCCGTAGTTGAGCCTTAAGTCCAAAAGGTGTTTTGGAATGTCCTTGAATATCTCCACACTTGAGTCGTAAATTTCCAAAGTCTTTTGGTAATGCAGATTCAAGATTTTCTCTCTCTCCTCTTTTGTTCGAAGGGTAATCAAGCAGTCTCTCACCTTGTTCCTCCTTCCGCCTCTTCCAAGTCTAAATGCACTCACTATCTTAAATTCTTCCTTCCCCAAATCCTGTTGCCAGAAATCTGCGAATTCCTGCGTAAGAAAACTGCGTAAGCCAAATTGTCTTTCTCACGTTCTGGTACAGCCCTGATTCTTAAATTTCTTTGTTTCTCTTTCAATTCAATCATAGACAATGTCAAACCGTGGTCCTCAAGTTGCTTATATACCGGTGGTATCTTCTCTTGAGTAGCAATTGCTATATCTTTTGCTTCTTCAGCTATCTTTCGGGTCGAAGCAGATTCCTGTAGTAATTTTTCAATAGACTCTGTGTTGGTATTAACCTTCTGTCCCAAATTATTGATGCTTGTAGTATTCTGGTCAATTTTAACTGATGCTTCAGCTACTTGTTTAGCTAAATTTTCCAAAGATTCATTAATTTTTCCAAGTGCCTGTGCCAAAACGTCTTTGGACGACATAACTTTTGGTTTAACCTGTGGAGGTGCAGCCCCTGGTATTCCAGATGGTCCAGATGTTGAAGCCCTTCGCTGCAACGCAGTATCTGTCCGATAGGGTCTGCCAGACCTAGTAGTTTTTTTCCTGTGCCAACTCTAACTTTCCTCTTCCATCTGCCATAACACTCTCATGAGGATCCAAGGTCGTTCCCACGGCTGGAATTTGTTTTGGAATGGAAAATTCCTCTAGCCCAGTTGTTATTGTAGCAATGTCAAGCCTCCTCTAGGGGGACACAGTAACAGCCAAAGCTTGCAACTTTAAAAAAGAAAATAGTCCTTATAAGTCCCCCAATTCACATAAAAACAACAGTTTCAGTTGCACTTAATCAGTTACTTTAAAACCAGGAGAAGTTCAGAAACACTGTATCTCTTTTGCAGAGTTAGCTGTCAAAAGTCCTCTGCTTACCGATAGGCTTTCCACAGAGCGACATTCCTTATCTCGGGGCAGTCCGTTCCCAGGTTTTAGGCGGTGGATTTTAGCTTCCTTTTCCCCTTTTTTTGCAGATAAATACAGTTCAAACCTTTCCCCCCTCCTCTCCTGCAATCCGGAGGGGAGATCGCTTTCCAGATGTTAAGATTTAAGTCTTTTTTCAAACGTCTTTCCGAGTTTCCGCTTACAGTCTCTTTGCTTTGATCTATTTACAAGAAAGGAAGGCAGACTTCCTGTTTATACCTTCCCGCTTTGGTGCCGAATTAACTTGTTTTTTCCCTTTAGATCCAATTTAATCCTACTCACAGGTAGTTGCTTTCAAAGTCAAATTGTCCCAGGAAAAAGTCAGCGCTCTCCAATAACGGCTATGCGGCTTCACTCCGTGGAAGAAGCAGTCGACTCTCAGCACCGCGCCGCTCACCCCGTCTCGCTCCGGAGCCCTTAAAAGGGTCCCTTCGCAACTTGGGGGGGGCGCAAAAGGTGCCCGCCGAGTCCCCACGTTCACAGGCTTCACCCGCCTGTGATTTTTAAAGGGCCCCCGCTTCGCCGCAGCGGTCAGACCCAATCCCGTGGAGCTGGTTCCTCAGAGACTCAGAGGGAATCCGCCATTATCGATGGCGCCAACCCTTATCTGCTCTTATATTTCTTGCAAGTACTTCCAGGACCAGAATAAACAACAGCGGTGATAGCGGGCATCCTTGTTTAGTTCCTTTTTGTATCTTACATTCATCCATTATCACCTGATTTACAATTAACTTGGCATTTTGTTATGAATATATTGCTTGTATTCCTTTTAAAAATTTTGTTGTTGTTGTTGTTTAGTCGTTTAGTCGTGTCCGACTTGGTGACCCCATGGACCAGAGCACGCCAGGCACTCCTGTCTTCCACTGCCTCCCGCAGTTTGGTCAGACTCATGTTTGTAGCTTTGATTTAAAAAGTTAGGTCCAAAATTAATTTCTTCAAGCAATTTTTTCCATGAACTCCCAAGACACATTGTCAAAGGCTTTTTCAGCATCTATTTTACAGATTTTTTCCTTTCCTTGTACAGTTCTGAGAAATATTTTACAAATGCTGCTCTTATTTCCTCTTGTCTGTAGTCTTTCCATCTGTAGACTTCATCTTGTCTGTAGTCTTTCCATTTATATTAATTTTATTTATGGAGTTTCTCTGTTCAATTGCCACGCTAGCAGTTTTCCTGATTTATTGGCATGTTCAAAGTACTTCTGTTTCATTCTTTTTATCTTTCAGCTATTTTTTTCATTAACTATCATTAACTATCATTGGGTTTGTAATATTCTAGTTGCCTGCTTAGCTGACTCTTTATTTGCTTTTTTTGACAATTGTTTCTCCCTTTCCATAATTTCATCTAAAATCTCTTTTTTCTTTTTTTCTTTCAATTTCCTTTTAAATGAACTCTGTTGTATAAACAGTCCCCTCATTACCCCTCATTTAATGAGCTTTCACCCTGATTTGCTTGCATAAAACTTATACAGAAGTTAGACCGTGTCTAGTTTTTATTGAGTGTTTCAGGGGTTTTTTGTAGGCATGATATACAAAAATGCGCATTCATCCTGATTTACTTGCCCACTGTTTATATATCTTCTTGTTAATCATTTGTTTGCCCTACACTTTTCAGTGCATTTTCCTGCCCTTTCCCAACCACAAAAGGGCCATTAAAAAGGATTTGATGTGTCATGATGGCCAAGTACTTTCACCCGCTTTAATTGCACAGTCCTTCTGCAAAAGGCAGGCTTGAAGCTGTACCCGTCAATAAATAGATCTGAGCCACAAGGGGGCATCTTGGGAACTCTCCTGGAAATAAGAACTTTTCATTTGACTTCAGAAGTGAGCAAAATGCTTCCTTGCTTATTAGATTATATCAAAGGTAATGTTATGTTTTATATGCCTGTTGTTTTTGCCATGGAGTTTTTTTGGCAGGGATACTGGAGTGGCTGGCTGGACCATAAAGAAGGCTGATTGCCGAAGAATTGATGCTTTTGAATTATGGGGCTGGAGCAGACTCTTGAGAGTCCCATGGACGGCAAGAAGATCAAACCTATCCATTCTGAAGGAAATCAGCCCTGAGTGCTCTCTGGAAAGACAGATCCAGAAGCTGAGGCTCCAAGACTTTGGCCACCTCCTGAGAAGAGAAGACCTCCTGGAAAAGACCCTGATGCTGGGAAATATTGAGGGCACAAGGAGAAGGGGACAACAGAGGACGAGATGGTTGGACAGTGTTCTCGAAGCTACCAACATGAGTTTGACCAAACTGTGGGAGGCAGTGGAAGACAGGAGTGCCCGGCATGCTCTGGTCCATGGGGTCACGAAGAGTCGGACACGACTAAACAACAACAATGTTATGTTACTTGCCCTGTGTTCATGGGACTAGGACAGATTACTTTTTAAAATAAAACAACCACATGAGAATGGTACCTTGTTCTGATTGAAAAAAAATTCAAACTGTTGAAGGCATTTAAAAATGAAAAATAACCTCCTCTACTTGAAGAATTTGGCCTTGCTGGAGGTTTATGCTCTCATGAGAATATGGGAATTGTAGTTTATACCCCACAGAGCTACAGTTCCCAGCACTGTTAGCAAACTACAATTCCCATTCTTTTGGGGGGTATACACTATAAGTGCATAGTGTGTACACAGCTATAGAACTTGTTTGAATTTAAGGGGTAAAGGTTAGAGGGAGCATGCATGATTAGAGGAGGAAAGGGAGAAGCCAAAGAGGGTATGGTTTCAGGAGTAAGAGGCAGTACTAAAGAGACCCGGTTAATACCAGGGGCTGGCCTAGTATCTTTTATTTAGAACCATAGAATAGTAGAGTTGGAAAGGACCATGAGGGTCATCTAGTCCAACCCCCTGCAGTGTAGGGATCTTTTGCCTAATGGGCTCAAATTCACAACCCTGAGATTAAGACCAACTGAGCTATGCCAGCTAAACTTTGCTTTTATTTATTTTATTTGTAACCCTTCTATTTCTAGCTTACTGTGTTGCACTGTGTTCACTGAGTGACATTTGCCTTGTACATCTTCTGACCCAGACACTCAGAAAGGGGGTCAGACAGGCCTTTGAGCAACATATTTGCTCCACGTTTGGGAGGCACAGCCAGGAAAACAGAGATCCATAAATCTCTGGGGATCAGCTTAAATGTCTATTAAAAATGAATTGGGATATCTTAAATATCAACCACCACAATCACCCACAGAAGGAGAGAGAGTGAGATTCAAGGGAAATTTCATATTAGTCATAAAGAAGTTCCCCGCCTCTGTTTGCATATAAGGCTTAAAATGATCTCTTAATGCTATTTAATAGCTGTCCCTGGGAATTCACAGCTTCAGTGTTGATTTTCTTCCTTTGTGCTTTGCACATGGAGGAACAAGTGGAGATGGAGGCCAGAAAACTGGAAGAAGCACCTGCTGAGAAATGTGAGGAGGACAGGAAAAGAAGCAGACAAATCTGGATGCAGCTTGGGACCATGGCTGTACAGCTGGTGGTCTTGCTTGCCTGCCTGATCTGTATTGGCTTGTGCTACCTTAGGGTAAGTCTGCAAAAGAACCTTACAGGTATGACTCTCCTGACAGATTCACACAGACGAGGCTTTCCCATCCTGAAGTCCACAGATTTTGTTTATGTTTAGGCTCTCCTGAATCAAAAAGGCACACACTTTTCATATAATAAAGTTGCTTTCATATAATAGGGCTCTTTTAAAACCACATGATTGGTATTGGAAAGCCTGCTATTAAAATGGTCCCTTGGTCTGTTCATCTGCATGTATGCTAAGGAACACATACAAAAAGCTGCGGGCTTCTGTGGAGTTAGGGTATGTGCAAATCTATCTTTGCAGAAGTTACAATGTAAATGGCAGGTTATTTGAGCTCTTCCTCTGACTCAGATTTAGCCACACTGTTTCCCTCCTTAATCACAAGATTCTCCAACAATGTAGGACAGGTTTATTGCTTTGCTTCCTTAAGAGAGAAATATTACAGCCATTTCTCACATCAACTGTTGTTAGAAACGGGTGGTTTTAAATACTAGGAGCACGTAACGATCATTTCCACTTGGTGTTCAGCAGTTATTAGTATACCTCAAAAATCGCCAAGTGCCTTTGGCTAATGATAAACTTTGTCCTAGTTTTCATCATTTGTTGGTAAATCTCAGAATTTGTAACTAGTAAATGTAAAAAATCTCATACCACTTATTTTTGAAATTGGCTGATAATCTCAAAGCTTGGCAATCTTAAGGACAATTTTAAAATTCCATTCTCATGTTTATATTTTGTTAGAAAATGCTAGGCTTTATCAAGGCACACTGAAACAATTGGAAAATAAGTCTTAGAACCATAGAATTGTAGAGTTGGCAGGGACCCCATGGGTCTTCTAGTCCAATCCCCTGCAATTTGCCAGTAAATTATTTTTAAAAACCTTACCAAGTTCATTAAATAAAAAGTGCAATGCCACCCTCATTCCCAAAATTTAGTGATAAATACCAGCACTGGAAAATAACACAAGTAAACCTCACATTTTTATTTTGGCCAGATTCAACAAGGGAGGTCCAGATTTGGAAATGTACTTGCCTGCAGAAGTGGGGCTGGGTTTGCCACACACAGATTAGAAGACCACAGGGAATAAAAGTGAAGAGAGGTGGAGACGGGTGGGAGTGAGACCCAAATAAGTGATAGTTCTGATCATCCAGGGACTGCTAAGCACCTTGGGGGGGGGGGGACAACCAATTTCTAGTTCTGAACATAGAGGCTGGGGCAAAGGGGGCTTTATCACTGTTATTTATTAGTGTTTGTGGAGAACAGGAAATACTAAAATAAAGACAGTTGCAATGAGGGGGCGGTTGGACCTTAGCATGTTGACATCCTTTGAGAGTCCAGTTTGCCCTGCTTGTGAACTCCATGCCAGTTGAAATGTGCTTAGGATACTATTTCTGTGCTGGGGAAAATTTTTCACAAAATGCTAGTACAATGAATTTACAATAGTGGTTTCTGCTGTCACAGCAGCATTACACCACACTAATTATTTTCCTCTCAGTGAAGTTATTTAAGAGTAGTCCTGACTGTTTTTGGCTCAGGAAGTTTCATTTCAGCCATTTTAATCGGTCTTGGAATAGCAGCCTTTCAAACTGTGACTTAATTTTTTAAAATGTAGCTAAAAATTTTATACATATTGAGACACATTCTAAATCAGCCTAGTGTTTAACACTGTATCCACTCAAACGTTTCACTACTTCTTCATCAACCTGTAATTGATGTAATGGTCAGATTGGAGAGGAAAATATATCTGATCTACCCTGATGGATAGACCTGCAACCATACATGGAACAAAATAAAGGTCCATGAGAGAAAGGTAACAGTCTGATGCATGATGATGGGCTGGTCCAAGAAATAAGATCATCTGTCTTAGCTTTGCAGTTTTTGTTCTTTTTAATTCTAGTGTGTGGGTTTTGTCAACAGAAGTAGGGTTGAACTACTGGCTAATTAGTTCCTTCCTATGATAAACTCCTCTGGTAGAGGAATACAGCTGTCCATTTGGAAGGTCAAATCATGCCTTAATATTTAGTTTTAAACTAAGCATGTGGTTATTTAAATTTTATTTAAAATGTTGGCAATTCAAGAATGAGTTAGACCAAGTTAATGGCCTTTTAGGCTTCCTCCACGTGAGTAGGGGGTTTTGAATAATAAAAATTATATGTCACCGGGGGGGGGGGTGTGTGTCAGGTTTTTAGAGATGCTTAGGTGGGGCATGGCCCAAAAAGATTGGGAACCACTGCTCTAGATTTATTGTGGGGAACTTTGTTGCTAATTCATGAATACTAGCCTTTTGATGTGCTAAGAAAGTTCCTTAACCAAAATTGCTTCTTAGAGTAAACTCATCAGGAATAAACTCATCAAAGCAACATTCTGGAGTTCTAATTAGATGGGGAACCTGTTGGGAGATACCCCTGAGGCCTTGTGCCTTCCCCCAATGCAGCGTCACCCGAGATTTATCACTCCGGTCTCCCGTCACGTTGATGTGACCCATATCCTCCTGGGACATGAGCACACGACCAGCAGAGTCCAAAATAGTCCAACATTCAGCTTCACTGGATGTGTATGAGAGGAAGAAAAGCTTTTCTCTATCCACTCTCCTTACCGTGTTTAATTTTATAAACTTCTGTCTTGTCGCCTCTTACTTGCCTTTTCTCTAAACTAAGAAGTCCCAGATGCCTGCAACCTTTCCTGTCAGAGGAATTGCTCCATCCCCTTGATGTGGGGCTGCCTTTGTGCCTGATCTGGAAGCTCCCACTGGCGCAGAATGCTGAGGCTGGACGGGTGGTGGAGACAGACAGACAGCACCTAAGTCCCTGGAAGCTTGCCCGTGCTGCCCAAATGCTTCTGGGTCAAGTTCAAGGTTCTTGTATTATTTTACAAGACCCTTAAGAACTTGGCTTCAATATACTTTTAAGGACAGAGGTTTTAAGGACTGTATGTGGTCCCGCATGCAGGGGTGGCCCATTTTGCCATCTGAGGTGAAACGGGAAGGTGCCCCCGCACTCCCCAGCGCTGCTGCCCAAGGGTCACTTGCCAGGGTTGTGTGGCTGTGGCTTCCGGCGAGATCTCACAAAAGCTCCACAAGGTCTCGCCAGAACCTGGAAACTACAGCCCCTCCTCCCTGCCTCTCCAGTGGAGGCAGCCAGAGGGGAGAATTGAATCAACTCCTTAGGAATTGCCAGTGCTTTTTTTTTTAAAAAAGGTGCCGGAACTCACCATGAAGTTGTTACAGTAAACATTTGAAAAAAACAGTGCTGGTGCTGCGTACTCTTGAGTATCCCAGGGAACATGAACTGTTAATTGCTGCAATTTCATTAAAAACCAGAGACCAAAATGTATGGACCTAGAATCATAGAATCATAGAGTTGGAAGAGACCACAAGGGCCATCGAGTCCAACCCCCTGCCAAGCAGGAAACACCATCAGAGCACTCCTGACATATGGTTGTCAAGCCTCTGCTTAAAGACCTCCAAAGAAGGAGACTCCACCACACTCCTTGGCAGCAAATTCCACTGTCAAACAGCTCTTACTGTCAGGAAGTTCTTCCTAATGTTTAGGTGGAATCTTCTTTCTTGTAGTTTGGATCCATTGCTCCGTGTCCGCTTCTCTGGAGCAGCAGAAAACAACCTTTCTCCCTCCTCTATGTGACATCCTTTTATATATTTGAACATGGCTATCATATCACCCCTTAACCTCCTCTTCTCCAGGCTAAACATGCCCAGCTCCCTTAGCCGTTCCTCATAAGGCATCGTTTCCAGGCCTTTGACCATTTTGGTTGCCCTCCTCTGGACACGTTCCAGTTTGTCAGTGTCCTTCTTGAACTGTGGTGCCCAGAACTGGACACAGTACTCCAGGTGAGGTCTGACCAGAGCAGAATACAGTGGCACTATTACTTCCCTTGATCTAGATGCTATACTCCTATTGATGCAGCCCAGACTTGCATGGGCTTGTTTAGCTGCCGCGTCACCCTGTTGGCTCATGTCAAGTTTGTGGTCAACCAAGACTCCTAGATCCTTTTCACATGTACTGCTCTCAAGCCAGGTGTCCCCCATCTTGTATTTGTGCCTCTCATTTTTTTGCCCAAGTGCAATACTTTACATTTCTCCCTGTTCAAATTCATCTTGTTTGTTTTGGCCCAGTTCTCTAATCTGTCAAGGTCGTTTTGAAGTGTGATCCTGTCCTCTGGGGTGTTAGCCACCCCTCCCAGTTTGGTGTCATCTGCAAATTTGATCAGGATGCCCTTGAGTCCATCATCCAAGTCGTTGATAAAGATGTTGAATAAGACCGGGCCCAAGACAGAACCCTGTGGCACCCCACTAGTCACTCTTCTCCAGGATGAAGAGGAACCATTGATGAGCACCCTTTGGGTTCGGTCAGTCAGCCAGTTACAAATCCACTGAGTGGTAGCATAGTCAAGACCGCATTTTACCAGCTTCTTTACAAGAATATCATGGGGCACCTTGTCAAATGACCTGCAGGTACTCCCACCAGACTTGGAAGTATGCTCCCCCAGCAGCCTCACCAGCAGTTGGGGAGCATGTTAGATGCTATCTGTAACATTTGTGCTGGTTGGCAAGGAAAATAGGTATAAAAAGAGAATTCCTGGGTGCCTGGTACTAAGGCAAGAGAGCCCTAGCAGAGATTTAAAATCACAAAATATGCATCGAAGTAGAGCATGGAAATATAGGCTGTTAGACTTCTAAAATCCCTCCTCCTAGCTTTCTTCCAAAGTTGCCCACGTCCCCTTAGCATAGCAAGTAAAAATGGTTTACTTGCAAACTCTTCAAAGGTCAAATGCATGTGCTTTTCCGTACAGCAGCAAGAAAAGACAGGCAGTACAACTTAGTTTAAAAAATGTTTCTAAACATTTAGAAAAATGTTGCTAAAGCCACATGGTCTATGCTTGGAGCATCCAGCTTAGACATCCTTACTAGTTGATTCACATGAAGGAAAGGAAAAAGAACAAAGGCTTTGGTAACCCTTCTTCCCAAGGTGAAGGTGTGTGACCTAACTAAGCTTACACTATGGCCTTAACCCCTCCACGCATTAACTAGAGCTAAGCATGTTGGTTATATGAGGCAGATATAGCCCATAGTTTGCATTGGGGTCTTGTACCACCCATGATACAATTAAAGCATGGTTTCTCTTGTATGGGTCAAGATTGGTTTCACTGACTGATCAGATCATGCCATATTCCATCATCACCTATATTCTCTCCTCTATCTCCCTCCTAAACAACGTTGATGCCCAATATCAAACCTGTGTGTTGCTTATTAGTTCCTTACACAAAGCTGCAACCAAACCTTTACCACACCCCATACCAAGGAACAGAACCTCAGTTTTTGTAAGAGGTCTAGTTCTAGTAGCCTGTGCTCAGGTATGGGGATCCAACAGAAGACATGTTACCTGATGAAAGTGCAGCCACCCGTGGCCAGGCCTCTCAGGCCCATATTTTCTATACTACAACTTCAAGGATAATCACAGTATTTTACCTTGGAAAAACAAATCTTTTATTGGCCTTTGCCACAGTGATCAGAGGAAGGGGGATAGGGAGAACCTGAAATAAGTACAAACAGGTTGGAATAATTTTCATTTGCAACTCAACAATCTGTCTTAAAGTTGATAACCGAGTTCTCATTCTTGTCCATCTATTAAAATTCTTTTTCATTTGAGTATCCAGTGAATGAAAATTCAAGATAAAACATTGTATGTCTGGTGGATGTTTTTTGTAAGCTTACTGTGCATGGTTTAGAGATTATGGTGGCAAACAGTATATAGATCGTTGGAATGAGCAAACAAACTGTCATCATGGATTTATCAATAGTTTTAAGAAGAAAAGATGAAACGGGGATTGGAGACACTCTGTTATTGCATGCTAGCTATACCAAGTGGGAATGTCCTCGAGAAGGTTGCAAGGTTGCTGTGAAGGTGTCTGCTTTGCCTTTTGAATACTGTAACCACCATCCATAGTTGGTTTGCTTTCTGTACATATACTAAGCCTAATTAGTCCCACTGTGAATGACATCTGAAACCAGGACCGTGCAAATGAAAGCAAGCTTAAAAATGATGCCTAAAATCCTTCCTCCCACCATAATTCTGCCTTCATTTGGATTCAAAATAAAGGCTGGTTTTCTCTGCCTCTAGATACTTCCACAACATTCCAACCTACCTGTATGTTCGGTTGCTTGCAGAACACAAAGAGCATCTGCCACCACCATATGCGGTTGAGCAGGAGGACACAGAGTGGTAACCAAACCCCCAGGCATCACGATCACAAGAACTCTCTAGCAGCTGCATGCACCACCTACAGACTAAGGGAGACCAGCGCTTGCTCCCACCTCTTCCCTAGTAAGAGGCCCATTTACAAATGTCAAGAGCTCTCTAGGCAGATGCCAAAGTGCACTGGCCGTTTGGGGGCTGTTTAGGGGAAAACCCTGGTCCTTTGCTCTTTTTTTTAAGCTGTGAAATTGTAATCATCTTTGTAATTGGTTCAGAACATTAGGGATCTTTTTATATTAAAAACATCTAAATTGGGCATCCCCAACCTTCAGCCCTCCAGATGTTTTGGACTACAATTCCCATCATCCCTGACCACTGGTCCTGTTAGCTAGGGATCATGGAAGTTGTAGGCCTAAACATCTGGAGGGTGGTAGGTTGGGGATGCCTGATCTAAATCAAATGTGTTTGTTTAATATTTAAATTCATAATGGGTGCCAGAGCCTTCTGGAGGTGTCTTCTAACAGAAAGAACCAGGGAAGATGTTGCTGCTCTTTATGCTTGGAAGTACAGTTGGAAAACTGTACTTGGGGGACTGTGCCAGTCTGCTGCAGTCTAAATAATAGCCTTATGCTCACTTAAGGGATGCGGGTGGCGCTGTGGGTTAAACCACAGAGCCTAGGACTTGCCGATCAGAAGGTTGGCGGTTTGAATCCCCGTGACGGGGTGAGCTCCTGTTGCTCGGTCCCTGCTCCTGCCAACCTAGAAGTTCGAAAGCACGTCAAAGTGCAAGTAGGTACCCCTCCAGCGGGAAGGTAAACGGTGTTTCCGTGCGCTGCTCTGGTTTTCCAGAAGCGGCTTAATCATGCTGGCCACATGATCCGGAAGCTGTACGCCTGCTCCCTCAGCCAATAAAGTGAGATGAGCGCCGCAACCCCAGAGTCGGCCACGACTGGACCTAATGGTCAGGGGTCCCTTTACCTTTACCTTTAACTTAAAGACTAAAATCCTAACCCTGCTTACTTTGGAGGAAGCCCCACTGAATTCAAAAGGATTAAATCCTGAGTAGACATGGTTAGGATTGTGCTGTAAGGGTTCTGTTAGGAGTCATTTTGCAAAGAAACAGGAAAGATGATTGTAACTTTAAGAACTGTTTCTGTGAGTTCTGGGTGTGGTTTTCTAGGCTGATTAGGTTCAGCTGGTGATGACGACAAAAGGAGGAGAAGTTGCAGTTTGAATTTGCCTTCAAAAGAGAACACCCACATGCTTTGCGTTTGTAAGGTTGTAAATATGTTTGTAAGGTTGCTCCAGAGAAGTGGACACGGAGCAATGGATCCAAACTACAAGAAAGAAGATTCCACCTAAACATTAGGAAGAACTTCCTGACAGTAAGAGCTGTTCGACAGTGGAATTTGCTGCCAAGGAGTGTGGTGGAGTCTCCTTCTTTGGAGGTCTTCAAGCAGAGGCTTGACAACCATATGTCAGGAGTGCTCTGATGGTGTTTCCTGCTTGGCAGGGGGTTGGACTTGATGGCCCTTGTGGTCTCTTCCAACTCTGTGATTCTATGATTCTAAATAAAACTCTTGCTTGAGTATATTTTACACCTGTCTCATGGTTCTGTCATGTGCTGCCAGGAGGATACAGCTCCAATAGATTCTACTCAACTAAATGACTAGTCAAGTTATTTCAATGGTTCTACTCCAAATATGAGTTCCTTAGACACAACCTAACAGATCTATTGTAGTATAAACTGTTTCAGTCTAAAACTCATTTCATCAGACATATGACAGATATATATTACATACACATACACACACACAGGGAGAGAGAAAATTTTAATAATACCGCAGTCTATGTTATGGGCATGTGAATCCAGTTATTTAACTAAAACAAAGGCAGGAAATAATACTGGATAGCAACATGGCTATTTTGGAGCTACTGTATATGTGATGTCTTCAAAGTGAAGTTACTGTACAGGCTTGTGCGGGGGGGGGGGTGCTATGCGTGAGATGCCGCCAACTGCTCTAATCCCCAAGCCTGCAAAATATTAACTATCCTGCGGCCATCATTCTTGACCCCTCTGGTGTTTACTAAGAGCTCAGCTTTCCCCGTTCTGCCTCTGAACACAAACACACAGAAGTAGATACCTTGCAGCCCACAGAGGTTTTACTCTCTAGTAGCACTCCACTCTCCCAGTGCTGTGCACTGCCTCTGAAGAGGCCAATGTTCCCAGCATCTCTCGGGGGGGGGGGGGGAGGCAGTGAATCGGGGTGCCAACTTGGATAAAATATTACGGGGGGGGGGGGCAGATAAGCCCCACCCTGCTCACATGATGCAGTGCATGCACACCATTTGAATGGCAACTTTCATCAACTTTAGGGGGCCCCAGCATCCTCATATAGTTTTTTTTTGGGGGGGGGTGAAGGGACCTTAGCCCCTAGGAGTTGCACCTGCAGTGGATCTGCACAGGCAGTGCTCTGGAGTTCTGTAGCTTGTGGGAAATAGTTGTACTAAAGGACTGCAGTTGAGACCTCTTAAAACTTCCCATGCAAAAGGCCCCATAACGTTGGTTCCCTGGTGTCCCATCATGTCTGCATTTCCATCTGGAGCTTGTAGGCACCTTTCATAACCTCATGTTTTGTTGTGTTTCAGAGTCCAGACCCACAGGCACAATGGATCTACATCAAGTGTGAGTTCTCCTTCTTCTCCTCCTCCTTCTCCTTCTCCTTCGCCCTATTCCATAGGCTTGAGGTGGGTTGCACTGTTCTCTCCTCCCCCATGACCAGTTGATGCTTCCAATCTTGACTTCCCTCCAACCCAATTTGCCCAGAGGGAACTGAAGCAGCAATGAATATTCTCTGACCAGGCTGCATGAGGGAGAAGAACACTCTCTCCCAGGCTCTGCATTTGCTCCTCTAGTGAACATCCAGGCAGGAAAATGATCTAGATGGGTTTTACCAGGAAGAGAAGAACCATCTTCACCCTCTCCTACTCGGGTTTGCCTGTTCCTGCCCTCCCACCTTGTTCCAGTGAAAGAGGCAGGAGAATGAATTTAGGTTGAAACAGTTGGAGAATAATTCCTACTGGTTTCTTCTCTATTCCCTTTTACTGCAAACAGCCTGATACCTGAGCAGGGCAGAGATAAGAGGTAGAATGAAAGTCACGTTGAAGCTGCGCTTGGCAGCCTTCAGGAGGAGGAAAGCTTTTGGTTCAGCTAATGGCAGGTGTTCTGGGTGGAGCCAAGGATGCGCAGGGGTGGGGAGATCAGTAAGACATTTAACAGAAGCCTACCGAATTTGCACTTTCTCCAACAATATGTGGACCAAAAAACAGATACAGTGGTACCTTGGGTTACATACGCTTCAGGTTACAGACGCCACTAACCCAGAAATATTACCTTGGGTTAAGAATTTTGCTTCAGGATGAGAACAGAAATTGTGCGGTGGCGGCACAGTGGCAGCAGGAGGCCCCATTAACTAAAGTGGTGCTTCATGTTAAGAACAGTTTCAGGTTAAGAACAGCCCTCCAGAACAAATTAAGTTCTTAACCCAAGGTACCACTGTATTCTTCTAAACTGGCTCTCTGACCAAATAATATGTACAAAAATTTGTATATTAGATGAATGTGTGAATTAAAAATGCACATTTAGGAAATAAATATATAAAATATATTATGTCAAGGGAAATGGCTCGCAAAAAATGTGTATCGGGCAAAAGAAACGTGCATTTGAATGCTGATGAACTTTCATGAGGACTTTAAAAAATAATACTCACAAACCGATGCAGAAATGTGGAGAACTGAACACAAGATGAGAAGCTGAGGTGAAGCCCCCAGATTTAGACAGAATTGTAGCAGGAAAAGATGTATACAAAGTGTTTCCAAAACATACAGAAGAATAAAAAGCATTTAAGCAAATGGTGGGTAACAAACACACAAAAAGGCTACAGAGAACAAAAATGGTTAGTTTGAATATATTTGGTGCAGGTAGTTCAAAAATAACAATCTGCCTGGACCAACAGCTTAAACTCTCTTGTTTCTAAGACAGAGGTAGAGATAGATGGGGCAGAGCGGAGAAATGACTCCTGTCCCCTTTAGATCACCCTGAGAAAAACGACAAGCATGGAGAAAGAGGTCAGGGGACAGGTTGGAGGAGGCAGGAGGGAAATGCCAGCTGGGATTGGAGCTGAGACATATGGTAACTTCTGACAGAAGAGTTTGGATTTGATATCCCGCTTTATCACTCCCCTTCAGGAGTCTCAAAGCGGCTCACATTCTCCTTTCCCTTCCTCCCCCACAACAAACACTCTGTGAGGTGAGTGGGGCTGAGAGACTTCAGAGAAGTGGGACTAGCCCAAGGTCACCCAGCAGCTGCATGTGGAGGAGCGGAGATGCGAACCTGGTTCCCCAGATTACGAGTCTACTGCTCTTAACCACTACACCACACTGGCCAGTTTTTACCCAGAGGCCTAAGTGAGGCAACCATTTTCTTGACAGAGATCTGAAATTTCAAGTGCTGAAATGTCAGGTGCTGACAGAGTTTGTGTGTAAAATTGAGGAGTCTGGAAATGCAAACAGCAATGGCAGGTAACAACCAGTAGGGAAAATGCTTGTTGGTTAAGACCCGTGGCCCCAAAGAGATGAGAAACAGATTAGGTGGAGAGTCGGGAACTTGCATACTTTTTTGAAGATGAGAGCGAGTTCAACTCCTTTCAATGATTCTAGTTTCGTCCTTTCAATGAGGGCAGCTCCTAGAAGTTTGCTTTCTCTGTTGTGTTGCCAGATCCTTGTGCTTTGTACAGCCACTAGCAGAACAAGGGTCTTAAGGGACAGTGAGATTGAGCACCTTGGAAACAGACACACATCCCCGCCACCTATCAAAAGTGGGTGAGAGGCACCATTTTGTGGTTGGCTTCAGACGCCCAAATGTCTTGAGCCAGCCCCACCCAGTATGCTTAGGGACAAGCCCTACTTCATGCAAAAGCTTCGGCAAAGACCCTTGCTTCTTTACCTTCTTTTATAGATTTTCTGTTCTCTTGCTTTTACAATCCACCTCCAATTTTCTTTTCTCGTAAGAGAAACTAGTAGGTTAGGGACTAACACATTTGTGGCTTTTCCTGTGTTTTCTTGCATTTCAGATGAGTCCATTGCCTATAAGAAAGCGATTGGTATTAAAAAGAGGGATGGCACAATGGAAATAAATGTTCTAAACCGCTCCATCCCAATCCACTGCGATGGCCTCTACCTGTTCTCTTTGGAGGGAACCATCACCCTGCCCAGGGCTCCGCACGAACTGATCCTCAGGGTCTACTGTCAGCCCCAAGAGCCCCTGCTGGAGGTAAATTGCAGTGAGGAGAATACAAAGGTGAAGGAAGTCTTCGTGCATGAATTTCGTTCCCAAGAGGCAGTCTACTTGGAGGCACACCCTAACAATACTGAAAATAATGAAGCACTCACGCTGGATCTGAATCTGAACCTCATCATGTTAACTCCTCGTTCATATTGCCGTCCTGAAAATTAATAAAATGACCAGTGAACTCATCTCCAGCTGTTTGGGCAATTATGTACTGGCTTCGAATTAAGCACATCCAGAATTGACTCCCACTTGATGTATTTGAGAATAATTGTTCCTGGGTCTAATTAGTGTTGGTTGGCCAATGGCATAAAAATTTAAACAGACCACCTATGCCCTGACCGCATGCTGACCTTGTGTGGATGGCCATCCCTTGCAGATCAGGGTCTTCTGCCCCTTCTGAACTGAGCCTATGCAGAAGAACGCATGGAGCTTGGGAGGGGGAGCCACTGGGTACCATCCCAGTGCTGGCATGTGCCAAACATGTGCAGCCCTCCAAGCGTGTAGGTTCGTGACCGTGCAGTTTTGAGCTGGAAGAAATTCAGTCAGACTCCAACTTTTCAGTCAGTTCAGTCCTTTACTGACAGGTCCAAAGTATTAAGGCAGTTTCATTTCATACACTATATGCAGGCTTCCCCTAGATCCCTAGCAGAAGGTGCAGGCTTCAAATGCAAAGGAAGCACAACTCACAGCATACATACAGCACAGAGTTCAGTATCAAACTGGCAGAGCTTCCTTGCAGCAATGCAAAGTGGCAGTGTACAGCCCCTCTTAATAGACCCAAGAATGAACACAGTTGCCAGGTCAGTGACCTTTGAACAGTAATCACAAGACCTGCAGGTGCAAGAGAAGAGAAGCAAGTGCTACAGATTTTCCTTAATAGCAATTAAAGGAACCTAACACCCCTTCTTAATTCTGTTTAGGAAAAAACTTGTACCAGAGCATGTGCGAAGTGTTTATACAGTTAGCTTCACTAATCCCAACTTTTCAACTATTTCTTTGTGTCTTTCGAAGCTGATGGGTTTTGTCATTATGTCAGCAATGTTCTGGCTTGACAAGTTTCATTAATCCTTGTGCCACTTGTCCCTAACATGTCTATATTTTATGTCCACATGTTTTGTCCTAGACTTAAATTGTTCAGACTCTGCCATGGATATACAGGCCTGATTGTCCTCATAAACTGTCACAGGTAGCTTGGCTTCTACATTCATATTAGTAAGAATCTGCACAAAATAGGGAAGCTCATTGCTCAATTCAGACAGAGCAGCATATTCTGCCTTGGATGTAGATGCAGATACAAACCCCTGTTTCCGGGATTTCCAACCCACCAGAGACCATCCAAATTGTACTACTATTCCAGTAGGGAACCTTCTTGTCTATACATTATTTCCATAGTCTGAGTCACAGTAACACATTAACTCCTCTGCCCCCAGACCCCCGGACTCTGCCACATGACCCGGAAAAACTGTCTGCGGACAAACGCCGGCTCCCACAGCCTGTAAAGCGAGATGAGTGCTGCAACCCCAGAAAAATTTTTAAAAATTAAAATCAATGCCGAGGTGTGGCATTTTTTGCTAAACTTCTAAAGTTTGAATGCCCCATTCTCTGATGTAGGAGATGGGTGCAGCTGTCGTGGAGAGGCTTATTGGCTAGAATTGTTTGAGCAGATACTTGCATTTTTAAAGTGGAACTGACCTCAGCTGTATCCTGCATGATATACAAGTTGTTCTCACGATAACCTTGTGCACATACCATGGCATCCTTCTCAATCCAGCAAGTTGTGCTAGGAAAGATTACAATGTAATTATCTTTTGTCAAGCAGACAATACTGGAAATTTTCCACTAGCAAAACATTCTCTAAATGTGTCCTCAGACAAGGCACATACCCTGGCACTTGCCCTTGGATTAAAACACATGAACCATCGCACAAGATATAGGACACAATATAGTTTGAGGACTGGGAAAAGCTGTGGAAAGTAGATCTGAAATTTGCTGACTGTTCCCTGCTGAAAGAAAACTATACGAAAATGATGTATAGATGGTATATCACATCAGTACAAATAGCAAAAATGTATAAAACTGGGTCAAACATATGTTGGAAATGTAAAGAAAAAGAAGATACTTTCTATCATATGTGGTGGGAATGTAGAGAAGTTAAAAAATTTGGGGAAATGATATATAATGAATTGAAAAAAATGTTCAAAATGACATTTGTAAAAAAAAAACAGAAGCATTTTTGTTAGGGATTGTGGGACAAGACCTGCCAAGAAAAATAAAAGCCTTATTTATGTATGCTACAACAGCGGCAAGAGTCTTGTTAGCACAAAGATGGAAGAATGAGGAAATTCCAACGAAAGAACAGTGGCAAGAAAAACTGATGAGCTATGCGGAACTGGCCAAGCTGACATATAGATTGTGTGACAATCGTGACTTCAAGGAAGAATGGGAACTTTTCACAAATTATTTAAAAAGACAACAAAATGATTTGGACTCCTTGGCAGGTTTTGAATAAACATCCACAAATTTATTTGTTGAATATATGCTAAATAAGGCAATAATACGTACAATTGTACAATATGCAGAGGATAATATGTGCAAAGAAACCGGAGAGAGCTGAGGGATGTCCTGGGGGGGGGGAGGGAGGGGAGGGAATAAAAAGGGGGAATGTAAATGGATATATTGATTAATAATTTGGTTGTTAAAAATTTTCTGTATGCACACACACACACACACACACACACACACAGGCACACATGAACCATCAGCAAAGGCCTTAAGAAACACATAATTCCCAGGGGTTCACCAAACGCTTAGTACAGGCAGAGTCCAACAGCCAGAATCTGTCAGCAGCTCTGGTTTCAGGAACTGTCCCTTTCACCACAGATGAGACAAATTATTTGCTTCTATTTTGAATGGGGATGTTTTTTATGGCCAGCATCTCCAGGCAGTACAGTCTCTCCTGAGGTGCTGCATCGAGCCACGCCAAAAACACTGTCACATGACAATCACCCTGGCTTCTCCCTCGCTGCCTCGGCACGCTGACTCTCCTTCAAGAGCTGATCTCTGCAGTTTGCAGTCACAGGTCAGCCCCCACTTGGCTTTCTCGATGCTCCGCCAGCTTCACATGCTGTCTCTGCTGATGTTTCTGTTCTTGCTCTAACGCAGGGTCAGGTCAGCCACATCCATCGCCTCTAACGATACCACCACAACATCCAAGATTCAGGTAGCAAGTTCAGGACAATGTAGGCTTTATTCAATTCAGTAAAAGCCATTCCACGCTCTTCCAGTTCCACAAACAGCTGTTGCATCCTCTGTTGATGGGCTGATACACTCTCACCCTCCTGCAGAGTTGCCTTGTAAGCCTGACCTTGGGCTCGGCAGTGGTGCGTACATAAACATCTCGCAACACATTCCAGCACTCCTTTGCCATCTCCATGCCTTTAAAATGAACCAGCTGTTTTCCAGACACAGGATAATGTTAGACCCCGCTTTGTCTTCATCTTTCAGGTGCCGGGTGCTCACCTCCTCTGGTTTTGGCTCGCTTACAATGTCCCACAAACTTTCCCGGCGAAGAAACATTTCCATCTTAATGCACCAATCAAGGTAGTTGTGGTCATCTCACTTGCTGGATCATCACCTTGTTGTGGTGAGTGGGCTTGCATGTTCCTATAACCCTTGTGAGCAAAGCCGTCAGGAATCTCATACTCCCAGCAGGGTCACCCAAGGCAGTAAGGCCAAAGGGAAGGAGCTAGACAAAGAATGATCCAAGAAGTCCTCAACAGCAGAACAGGCGGATGATAACAAGCGATACATATTAAAACGGCTGTGAAGGTGAATGAAGGCTGCAGCAGATAGGAATCTACCAGTTTGTTGTGACTACTTCATGCCATTGGAACAGAGCCCTACTGCGAAGACTGTGCGTTGGTCAGCATGCACTGATCTACACACATAAAACAAATTCACACACAGGCGACTTCCAAAACCCCAATCCAACCCCCCAAAGTCCCATTGCGATTGGCAAATGGTAACGGGGGCAGGATCGTGAAATCAGGAAGCCCCTAGTCATGATCCAGCACATGGGCGGTGGATGCAGATTCAGTCATTCTGACTCAAGGAACGAGGCAGTTGAGCAGCTCGGCAGCTGTATCCATGACTGAGCAGCCCTTTTTAGGATCCACTCTGCTCACCCCAAAAAGGGGGAGGGGCTAGAAAAGGTGCCCTGGACATAGTCTGCCTCCCCTTTTCCCTGACTGGATTATCATGCCCAGTGGGGTCACCACCCAGAGGTCATAAAAGACAATTGAACTTTGGAACATGGAATATACGGACTGTCGGATAACACAGATAACAGGCGTCCTGAATACAGAACTGCCATCATTGCAAGAGAGCTGCAATGTTTTAACATCGATATTGCAGCACTTCAAGAGACTCAAAGAGCAGGCGAGGGACAGCTGAAGGAAGAAAAAAGAGGCTACACATTATTCTGGAAAGGTCTATCTGAACAAGAACATCGAATACATGGGGTAGGCTTTGCTATCAAAAACCATCTTGTGAAGCTGGTGTCAGAAGTCCCTACCGGCATAAATGAGCGACTCTCAACCCTTCAAATAAAGCTCACCAAAAACCAACAGGCTACTATTATAAGCACTTATGCACCAACACTGGATGCCAATGAAGACATTAAAGAATTTTTTTACTCTCAGCTGGATACCGTCCTATCAGAGATGCCAAAGGAAGATAATTTTATATATATATATATATATATATATATATATAATATTTAGTATTTTTCCAAAAACTTAGACATTAAAAAGAAAAACAATACAATACAACACAACAAATCAACAAAAACAAAACAAAAACAATAAAATAAATCAAACAATTTCGTTATCCCATCTTTCATTCACTTATTTCCACGACCTCCTCACACCTCCCTTTTTGTATTCCACTTCTGTTAATTATTTCAGCAATTCCTTTCCATCTTCCTCTGTTTTCTATCCTATAATTATCTTAACTCATTCTAACCTTATTTTTTCCCTTAATGCTCTATTAACCTATCTGTACTTAATTCCTTATAACATTTCTACTAAAGCCATGTAACTTCATTCCAACATTTTTCTAACATTCATTAATTTTACAGTATTTCTGTAAATAGTCTTTAAACTTTTTCCAATCTTCTTCCACCGAC